AATAAAATAATAACTTAATAAAGCTTTTATAAAAACTTAATATATTTTAATTAAAATTAATTTAGCTAAATTTTATTTAATAATTATTAATAAATAAATATATCTTTATAATAAATTAGCTAATATAATTAATAATAATAAGTATACTTTTTAATTAGCTTTAAGTTTATAAAGCATTAAGTTTAAAAATTATTTTAAAATACTTTTAAGAAAGTTAAGCTTATTATTTAAGCCTTTAAAACTTAAATATTAATTTTAATTATTATTTACTTTTTAATTAATTTAAATTAAAGATTTTATAATTTTAATAAATTATATATATTAAAGTAATAATTATATAAAAGCTATTAAATAATAAATATTATTATAATATTTATTAAATATACTTTTTTTAATTATAAAGATTAAAAAAATATTTATTTTTTTTTAATATTATAGCTTATAGCTTAAATAATTATAAAAAATTCTTTATTAAATAAAAATTAAAAAATAATAATAAAAATATTAAGGGAAATTATATATTTAGTTTATATTTTATTTATAATATATTTATTATAAATTTATAATAAGCCTTACCTTTTCTTATTTAATTAAAAAAACTTAAGTTAATACTTATTTAATTTATTAATTGCTAAAAATCCTATAACTTAATTTATAAATATTAAGATATTATAATAATAATAATTATAGTTTATTCAATCCTTTTATAAGGTAATTATGCAGCTAGGGCATATAATTATAGCTACCATTTTAATGGATGCAAAGATATGAAATTCAATACCCCCGTGAATTCCAAGGGAATATATAGGGAATCTACCTATATATATATATATATATATATGGTGAATTTATAGCAAATTCATCGTGAATTCACTATAAATACTAATATTTATAGTAAATTTACCGTAAAAGTACCGTGAATTTATAATTCTCCGTGAATTTATGGTAAATTTACCTAGAATTCATTATTGCCCATTTATATTGCATTATATTTCTTATTATATAATTTTATAAAGCTTATTAACTTATTAAATAAAATAATGCTATTATAAAACTTTCTTAAAAAAAGTATATTATAATTATTTATTTTTAATTAATTTATTTTAAAGCATAATTATATTTTTTAATTTAAGCTTAATTAATATAATAATTTTTATAGTTTTAAGCTTATATATATATATATTTAAAATTATGCTGCAGTTAATAATATAAATTATTTTAATAATTTTAAGCTTAAGTTTATTTACATAACTTAAGGAGTTAATTTAATAATTATTTATATAGTTTAATTATTTTATTATTATTATCTTTTTTTATATATTGTATATAAAGGGTTTAAGTATATAAGCTATATATTTTAATAATTTAAGTATTTAAAGAAATTCTTTTATATTATTGTTTTTATAAATATAAATAAAATGCTTTAAGTTAATTTTTTAATATAAATCCCGCTATATTTAAAAGCATGCTTTATTTCTTATAATAAAATTATATTAATTCTTAAAAATATTTTTATGTTATAATTCTTAAAATTATTAATAAACTTTATAAATAAGTTATAATTATAATAACTTATTATAATATATTAATAAAGGTAATGCATTATAAATATATTTAATTAATTAATTAAAAGGTTTAAGTTATTAATTATTTTATTAATATTAATTAATTAATTAAATTATAATAAAGTTAAGAGTTAAATTTTAATTAGCTTAATAATTTAAATAAGCTTTTCTTATAACTTATCTTTAAAGTTTAAAGAGTTTTTAATATATATCTTAGTTTTAAGTATATTTCTTAATTCCTATATATATAAAATAAAAAAGCGAAAGCAATAAGGGAAATAATTAAGTTAAAAAGGAGGAAATAAAAAGGGAAAGAATATATTTTTCATAAGATTATAAGTTTCTAGGTAGTATTAAAGCTAAATTTAAATAAATAAGTTACTTCTTTATTATATGCATAATATAACGCTTTTTAAAGGTAGTAAATTAATTAGCTAAATGCTTAATAATTTTATATCGCCTTAAAATAGCTAATTAAGTAATTTAATTAAGTGATTTATCTTGTTAAATGCTTAATGCTTAAGATTTTAATAAAATATTTTTTTAAAGGTATAAGTTATTTATTAAATTTTAAAATTAGGATTTAATATATAATTAATAAGGGGTTATTTTAATATATTAAGTTCTTATAATAAGCAATTAATGTTTCTTTTTTTTATTAATTTATAATTGCTTTGCAATATTAATTAATATTAAAAGGGTTTACTTGACGTAAAGATTTATTTTAATGTTTTAAGGTAAGTAATTAATGGTAATAAATAGCTAGTTTCTTTTAAATAAAGAGCGTTTTATAAGGGAACGTTTAAAATATCCTTATATAAATTAAAAAGACCATATATTAATAATATTATATTTAATATTATTATAATATAAAAAAAATTAATTAATATTATTTAAATAAAGTAATTTATTAAATTATTTATATAAAATAATATAAATAAAAAGTAAATTATATAATATTTTATATATTAAAGTTGAAATTATTAAATATTTTATATTATATAATGTAATATTAAAGATTTTATTATATAATTATAAATATAATAACGTTAAGCACCAACAAATGACGCACACTAGCGAGCAACGCACTTTTCAACACCAAAAGTATAACAACCAAAATTACAGCATTATAATTAAAAAAAATTAATTAAATTTAATTAAAATCGAAATCTATAAATTATTTTATATTTTTCTTATAAGTTCGCGCATTATACCTAGTTTTGCCATAATTGCTATATTATCTTTTTATTAATTTACCGCGAATTAACTCCTTAGCGCTACTACTTATTTTATTAGCTAGCTGCTTTCCCTTTTCCTTTTTATTAATTAACTCTTTAGCCTTTTATATAATAAATACTTTTTCATTCTATATATATATATATTTAACCCTTTAACGCTTAAAAAGTATTATATTTATAGCTTAAAGATTATTAATTTCTTAAGTTAAAAAGTATAATTATATAAGCTAATAATTATATACCCTTTGCTAATTTATTAATAATAGCCAAAATTAATATTAAGAAGCTTTTCTAGTAATAAGAAATTTAATCTTTAATTAAAGTTAATTAAGAAATTGCTTATATTAAGTTATATAGTATTTAAGAAACCTAAGATATAAGTAATATTAAGGAGCTTAATATAGCTATTGGTATTTAAATTTTAATATTTAGCTTAAAAAGCATAGCTTTTTAATTAAATAAGATAAGGCCTGCTTTTTTAAAACCTTTCTTAATGGTTTTTAGCTTAAAAACCCTTTTATATATAGTATAAAAGGTAAGGAAGAACTTTATCTTATTAATATAGGTAATTTAAGCCTTGCTAAATTAGCTAATTTCTGCATTATATGCCTTCTTTAATAAATTAAAATACTTAATATTTAATAATTAAAATAAATAAGATAAATAAGGAGGCATATAAAGAGTAATAATATTTTTAAACTTGCAATATTGCTTAAAATCTATAAAATAATAGCTTTTATGCTTATTAAGAATTAATAGCTAGTAAATGCTCTTTATATATAATGTAATATATTTTTTAAAGTATTAAATCTATTTTATAGTAATTTTATTATTTATTTATTTATTTAAGCTTATTTTAATTACTTAATTATTTAAAAGGTTGCCCTTAATATACTAGCTTATAAGGTATATCTTAGCCTTAATAATTAAGAATAGCAATTTATATTATTTATCCTTATTAATTAATTTAATAGCTATTGTTTATTACCAATTCCTAAGCTATATTTATTTTATTTATTCTTATTAATTAAAATATATAATTATTATTTTAAGTAATTTAATGCTTATTATAAAGCTTAACTTATTAAAATTATAAGTATTATAATTAAGGATATTATATTTATTATATATATTAAATATAAGGTTAAATTATATATTTATTATATTAGGATCTTTATATAAGGCTCTTTAATAATTATATATATAATTAATGCATATTTTAAGATATAATTTTAATAAGATAAGTCTTTTTGCTTAGTTAATCTTAATAACGCCGCCGCTATGGTTATAAAGCAGAAAATTTGCTATATCTTTAATATTCTTAAAAATAAATAAATATCCTTATAAATCTTAATTAAGTATATATTAAATAAGCACTTCTTCTTTTATTTTTATTAATTTTTTATTATTAAGGTAGGTATTGCATTATATAGTTTAGCTAGCCATTTTATAGTAAAGGGTAAACTTAGGGACTTAATAAATATTAGCTATATATTATTTACTTAATTTTAAGTTATTTTAAAAAGCTTAAATAGCAAGTTTAATCTTATCTTTTTTTATTTTATTTATTTTAAAATATAACGCGAGAAAACGTAGTTGTAAGATGCACTATAATAATTCCGGGAAAAGTGCATTGCTTGCTAATGTATGTTGTTTGTTAGTGCTTGACGTTAAATATAACTTAAAATTTATATATTAAATATAAATATTTTTAAGATTATAAAGATTATAAAAATATATATATTAATAATATAATTATTTATATTAAATAGTTATATAAAAAAGAGCTTATATTGGGAGGATTTGAGATTTTGGAGCGGAGGGGGGGAACACGAGTCAAAATGACAGGGGGGGCTGCACTTCGTTTTCCACACACAGCGGCTCATTATTCGATTGATACAAGATTAACTTGGTGTGAGTCCCATTCGGCTCTATCAGCCAACATGGAAGAGGAGTTCCGTGAAAGCAGCGCTTTCGTTCGGTCGAGGCTAGAACTACGGAGTTTTGACCAAGCTGGACGGACTTGGACTCTGGAGCCTCTTCTAGTATATTAAAGCTCTAGGCGACCCTGTCAGAATCCACATGATGGAATGGTTATTCTCAGTCGACACGTTGTGGAGGTCCCCCCAAGGACTGTCAGCTCGTGAGGACCGGAACGTATTGTGTTAAAGTACTGCCTGTTGCAAGCCTTGTCAAGATGCGGGTTGTACCATTGATACTTGCACCAGTTTCTGTTCTTGCTGGCATATTGCCGACATGCTCGATTCCTGGATGGTCGAGTCCAAGTCCAACCACAGTGAAGGCATCGAGTCCCGCGGCTGTCACTGGTGCTCCCATCTCGAAGCCTTCAGGAATCAGCATATCCAGCGTGACCTGTTCTGGAAAGGGTTGCCCGTCTGGTAGCGTGTCTACATCGCTCTCCGCTGACAAGACCGTGAGTTCTCAGCTCTGTGCACAGCAGCCCCTCTCATAAGACAGAATTGACAAAACCACAGGTCGTCACTCTCGGATTTGACAAGTTCCAAGCGTACATTGGCCCGGGAACGTCGGTGGCGGACCGCTCCAAGAGTTGCAATCTCATGCTTACACTCAAATACCCACCAACATACTCATTCACCGTGGTGTCCAGCACGTACCATGGCTATGCGCAGCTCGACAACGGCGTCACCGGAAAGTTCTCCTCGACCTACTTGTTCTCGTCGCTCTTGTCCGCCACGTTCAGCACGAGCACCAGCGTCCTGGGTGGCGTTTCGCTGGAGTCAGGGTCTGTCTACACAAAGAGTGACACCATCTCGACACCTAACTTGGTTCTCAGCCCGTGCGGCCTCTTGAGCGTTGGCTCGTCGGCTTTACTGAACATTGGGAACGCAATTTCTCTCACTAGCTCCAATTCTTCTGCTGTCGGGCTGATGACCAATGACGACGCAGCGGTCTCCACGACACAGCAGGTGGCGCTGAAGTGGTTCAGTTGCTGATGGTGGGAATGATGTGATAGAGTCCGATCCCATTACATACGAATTGCAAGCCTACAAGTCATGGCACGCGTTTCTTCAATGTCATGGTGAGCAGGCCTCTATCGTAGAGACGCATGAACAACATTGTTCAGTTCATCATCGTGATGGAGGGCAGGCTTGATCCGGCCAAAATATGTAGGCTTCGTATTTTGATTTAGTACTTAATACTTGAATTGCATATCGTGTGATTCCACAATTGGCAATGTAAATGCGTACGCTCCACTCAAGTATGAAGAACAGGAAGTCATGGTGGCCGGCAACTTACAAGTCCCTTGGATTCCTGCAGCAGCTAACTCTCGATCAACGCAAGATTAGTTTTGGAAACAATTACAATATGGAAAATGCCAGTTAGCATTTAGTGTGCGGTTAAAATCCAGACCATCAGACCTATCCTCATGAAGAGGAATGACAGGCTTGTCTTTTTGCACTAGGCAGTCTGTCGACATGATACCAGGGATCGCAGCACATCCAAGGCTTTGGTGATTATATCGCGCGATATTCTCGCTGAATCAGGGGTGTCGACGAGACTTGCGTGTTTTTCTTTTGTCACGAATTTGTAATCCACTGGAGCTTTTCCTTACGAATTAATGTTGACAATTATTAGGCTATGAATCTTGGGCTTAAAACGGAGAGTATTAGTTACACGTATTGGCACTGCCCCCTCTAGAGTAGAAGCTTTGCTACACCTCGGCAGCTATGTGTGGAGCCAAAAGTCTTGTACATAGTCCAGAGCAAAATGAAACTATATTTAAACACGTGCCGACTTCCGGCCTGTTGACTCTACCCTGCGGCACTATACGATGGAGAGCCACCTACCCAAGCTTCTATAACAATGTCATTTCCAAAAGGCACATGTAGACGAGCTGGGGTTGAAGCTCTTTGGAGCTTTCGTATTGTATAACAGCTGGGCTATATGATCTCCGCCGAAGTTCGTCCCGCGGGTTCCAGACCGTGTTAATGGCGGAAGGATGACCCCTTGACCAACGGAATCTGAAACGACAACATATGACCCCCACTGTTCCTAGGTAAAAGACTATTTATCTCTCACCATATTCTCGTGTTCCCATTGCTCGCTAAAGATCTTTTTACACTCAAAACTAGGCTTCGGGATATGTGACCCCCGACATAGCTTGCGCCAGCTGGACACGTATGAACTCTCCGTGCCGGGATGCCATGGAGTAATGTGGCCTACTGGGATCAGAGACGTCCAAAAGTAGCAGTTTATTGTAGATTCTGATGAGACTAGATTTGAAGTCAAGGGTGGTTTGAACCAGCCCAGGATCGGCCCCCATAACTGAAAACAGTCTTCCGGGTGCCCCGCAACAATTCCGGAGAGGGCCTTTTGTAGTCGTTCTAAAAAACTTACGTTCTAGAATAGGGTCCCCTGCCACCACTGCCAGTCCCGATCTGTATCGCATATCAACATAACGACCAAGCTAGTGTCTCGGCGCTGAAGAGGTCCAGAGGGCTACGCGTTTTCACTACCGCTCGCACCTCCTGGACTGTGCAGGTGAAGCACATGGCCTAGTGCACGGAGATGTTCTAATGTAGGTACAGAATTCCAATTCGATCTGACAGTCCGGAGCTCGGAGCCGATGAGCTCGGTCCACGCAAAAAAAAAAAAAAAAAAAAAACGTCCATGGACGACGAAACGTCCGCGACAGCAAAACGTCCACGCCAGTCCGTGCGACTGAGTCCAGGCCACACATCTCGAGCCATCGGAACAGTCTCGCTCACTAAGATGGCCCAGAAGCCACCATCTCGAGACCCACTGTGGGAGTCGTTTCGATCTGTGCGCTGTTGGCGTGTTTAGTGGGAAGACCAACGCGTCTTAAAGTCCCGATATCAAGCAAGGTGGCCCCCATACAGCATGAGATGCAGGAACCAACGAATCGATGACGAGAGCTCTGCCAACCCTCACTCGCGAGTATTTGCCCGCTGACAGTTTCTAACAAGCTGGGTATCCCAGCTATGCCTGTGAAGTTCCGCCACGGTCCAGGCCAGCGAGTATTTCTTAACATGGTCTTGTTCGCCGCTTGGTTCCTTTCAAAAGGGCCCCGCGGCTTCCCAAAAATGGACGTGGGCGATCCGTCCCGGGAGCAGACAGCCCTTCATCCGCGGCATATTCTCTTAGTAGCTTGTCATGCGGAAACATTCCGAATGCCAGGGACAGATGGGGTGGACCAGGCCTTCCCAATCCCGCCGGCAGAGCCCAAAATTCCCTCACAGGGGGACGAAAAAGGGCAAAGACAGATGGGGGCGAAGCCGGAAGGGGTACAGGGTCATCAATGCACGAGCCATACGAGGAAAGAGGCTAACGCGTCGTCTGTCCCGATCAGTCTGGCCATGAATTTGTTGTCAAGGATTATTGTGCCTCAGTGCCAATTATTTCAGCTCAGGCACAATAAACTTCCAGCTACTGCACCTCGTGTGTCGATTAAGCATCATGTATCTATAAATCGTGGTCTGAGGTGGCTACTGGACAAGGGAGGCGTAGGGGCCTGCAAATCTCCAGACCATCATGCAATGAGTAGCATCGTGCGGTGTGTGGTATCATACAGGTCAGCCCGGAGCTCAGAGGGGATACAATGTCACTCCAGCCGCAGGGCTGGCTTCTTTTTACGTCCCAGGCAGCAGTTTAAAGTGACGGAAAATCAACCACGGAGCTATGGCCAATATTGCGGAGGACCCATTTAGCACGCGGCGAAAAGCTACGATCAAGTTCATTTGGGACAAGCCCGGATACATCTACCGAGAGAAGATGCTTACGGGGGCCCCAAAAACGTGGACAATTTAGCGTGCGCGCTTGGGGGCCGGCCAGGTGCGCACTGGTGCACGCACCAGGGGGGGAGGGAAGGAAGGAAAGCATGGGGACGGACCCAACAGCTTGGTAGCTCACGCGAATTCCCGAGCGTAGGAGCGACGGGTGGTGCGTTGTGCTACAGAAGACCGTTGAGGCTGCACAGGAACGGGGTGCCGGTGGGTACCATTCGGCTGAGAGGCAGAGAGAGGCACAGCACAGGGAGACAGAATGCGAGCTGGGGGGAAGTCTCGCTCGTCGACCACAATACCGGCAGAGCGGGGCCGTACGCCGTCAGACGGCCGCTATTGTGTCTCGGGCTCCTGCTCTTGTGTGTCGTTCGTAAAAAGTCCAATGGTAGAGCCCGCCGCCGTGGTGGTCTTGGTCACGCCTCGTAACAGTTTCTTAAATGGTTGCCCAAGTGTAACATGTGTCTTTCGGCGCCAGGTGTCCAATGGTCTGGGGCTCATTTGTGCTGCCTTGTCTCCATTAGGCAGGGCAGGGCAGGGCATGAGAGATGTTCCTTGCGTGTGGGGGGGGGGGCGGTGGGGAGAAGAGAGGGTCCAGTCGATGGGCAGATATTGTCATGGGCAAATGTGAAAGCCCATGAGACCACAACACAAGAGGACGACTGCTCAGCTAGAATGGAGCCAGGCGCTGTTCCCAGCCAGGCACAGTAAAGTGGAGGAGGTGGGTGGATTGTTTATCGACTGGCCGCAGCACAAGTACGCCCACTAGTGCCACATGGCACTGACAGGCCAAAAAGGTCCCGAACATGAAAGAAGGCGACAACGAGCCCCTCTTCCCTTTGTTGTTAGCCCGTCAAGGGCTGGACCGTCGGGTAGTGCACGACGTTGAGAGTAAGCGTAGCGTGCGGGAACAGAGCCGGACGGAAATAGCTTAATTGAGGCGCCGATGAGCCTGGGGCCAGGTCCCGAGGGAACGGAAAGGACAGCCCTCCTTCTCAATCCAGGCTAGACCCTTAGCCAAAAGTCAGTGCGGAAGGGGAGCGGAACCTACAGTAGGCTAACGGGCGGTACCATTGAGGCGGGAGATTGATTTGAGCCTAGGGGGCGCGACCATGGAGCCTCTGGTCGGTTTCGGCCAGACTCGTGTCTGTTGAATCCCCCCCCCCCTTTCCCACACAGCCCGGCGCCATCCAGCGAGACTGTGCAGTGAATCAAGGCCACCGTGCCCATGCCCTTCCAACGCCAGATCATGAGCTAGACCAGGGGAACGGCTTGCCATGTGGTGGCTAAGCTGGATCTCTGAGAAACAACTCATCGATTTCCGCATTGGACCTGGTCCGGCTTAGATTTGAGATGGCGAGACGAGAAAAAGAACATCGCGCCCCTCGAGTTCACGGACCGCGGTCGCTAGTGCAAAGATGAGAACATGATCGTGAGTTTTGCCCCGAGTCGCTGGATTGCACGTGTCCTGCAGAAGTTGAGATCCACGAGCGATCCACTCTTTAGGCAACAGGATTCAACAAGCTTCCTGGAGGTTGAGGGGCGGATCGCACACGCAGGTGTAGAGGTGTGGGTGGGTAGTCTAATGTCTACAGACATGGAGTGCAGTCCAACGACCCACGCCTAGCGCGACTGTCGGTCATGAAAAGGTTTGTTCGGTTCCGAGAGAGTAGCGTTGAGGAATTCCGCCCGCGGCGGCTGTGGCAGCTTATCACTCCTTCGCGGTGGAGACAACAATGTTCCAGATTCATCGTCGCATGGCGAAGGATCACCCACCGTCCCACCGATGCCCGGGTGACGACGACGGTGGAGCGGAGTGCAAAATGAGAGCAATATCTGGACAAACCGTATTACTGATCGTCGAGAGAACAGGGCGTGCACACACAACAGAGCCAATCCCTTGCCTCCAGCGGGCTTGGCACAGCGCATCGCAGACCCCCCGAACAGGAAGACTGCAGCAAAGAGTATGTAAATTGCCGTTTCGACAGCTGGTGCGTGGCACTTGAATGGTGATGATGTCGAGGTGCTCGTCGAGCAAAACCACCGTGTGCTCCCGCATCTGACAGGCGGATTAACCTGTGAAGGCTATAGATAGACCGGGGCTATTCCGCTTGTGGTCGCCTCTTGGGGCGACTGTCGCTCCGCTCAGCTGAAATACTCGTCGTAGCGCCACCAGGGGGGGTCAAGCGGCCGGTGAGATGGCTCGTGGGGTCGTTATCCACCGCGTGCGAGTTTGTTGCAACGGTATTTCCAACTCCCAAGCTGTGGTGATGCGTTGGTATGCATGCCGAAATGCAGAGGCATGCAAGCCCCGGCTATGATGCGACATGCCTGCACAGATTGCCCCTGTACCAAGGGCGCACAACTTCCCCGACTCGCCGACTACACTACAGCCACAAGGAAGTCAGGTCGCACAAGGTCGACACCCATCGATCTGAAGCAGAGCTCTTTCCTGTTCACGACTCGAGTTGTGTCGCCCTTTGTGCAACGCTCGCAACAGGTACGTACCTGTGACGGTGCTCATAGGTACATCATGGGCTTTCTCCCACCGCATCCCGTGGATTTGTCCAGGGACCCACGGCGTCACTGCGAGGCTTGGTCCATATCCCTTTGAGCGCTGTTCATTGGGTCGACCACTTCTCCGCCATCAATGGGTCAGCTGGAGTGGCATTCAAGGTAAAACAGGCTAGAGACACCGACCGCACCGTCAGGCAAGGAGGCTAGGAGGGGCGGCGCCGCCCTGTACCGGAGTGCTGGTATACTAGGCGTAACTAGACGACGTTGACCGGCTTCGTCGTCGGGTATAGCCTCGGGCCATTACAAACCTGAGTAACCTCAGTTGCTTGCTGCCGCTGTCTCTGTGGCTAGTCCTGATGCCTCTCCAAATTCGAAATTCGGGTCTGAGTGCTTTCCAAACCTCCTAGACCCCAGCCTTGAGCAATCGAAGGCTTACACAAGGTGGTCTTTCCATACAGACCCTCCGCCATGTAGTCTTGTACACCACAGCCACGCACAAGCTCCACTGTCAGCTGCAGGGGAGATTACTGCAGGGGTCAGCGTCCAGGGTCCATCGTGGGGAAAGCTCTCACAGCGCAGCAGTGGAGCTTCCCGCACAGATTGGCGAGGATGAATCCCGATGCATTTCGGGCTGGAGACTACCACAGTACCACAGTGAGTGTCCAGTCCATTGCAGCGTTGCCAACCCCGACAGAACTCCTCGACGAAAGACGCAAGGAATCCACATGGCGGGTCAGTCCGCATGGTGAAGGAAGCGCAAAGATCTTGAATTAACCCGTTAAGATTGTTGCGGCTGCTTTGGCTGGCGGGGCTGGGCGGATGGGGACATTCCAAGCTACCTGACATTTGTCGTCTCGGGCCACCATGGTCCTCGCAAGCCTCCCTTTTAGGAAGCTTTTTTTGAGAGCCGCATGCTTGTGGTTGAGGGGCCTCGGTACCAGGAAGATAGAACAAAAACGCTTTTCGTTCTTCTGACTTCGAAACGCCTCCGCCATGAACGATCTTGCTGAGAGCAGGGTGCAATCCTTGCGCGAGCCCAAAGGAGCAACGAATTGGCGATTACCATCACGGTCCGTTCCCAACGACAGGCAGTCCCGTACTGCCCGCCGACCGCCTGGCCTGAGTGCCGGATGATCTGCCGGTCTACCACAGAGATCCTGACGATGCGAAGAAAGCTGAAGCTCGGGCGAGTGGGGTCCACGGGTGGCTGATCGATCTAGCACCTTCATATTGCCCAGAGACTATAGCTCTTATACAATTCATGCCGGAATCTGATGTGCGGAGGATCTCGTCCAGTCTGTTCGGAACATTACTCGACAGCTGTTAAGATTCCCCAGGCGCTTGCTTCTCCTCGCAAGCTCAGTTGATTTTAAGGCACCCGGATGGGATGAAACCCCTTCGCCTCGATGCAGCCGCAGGGGCTTTGGCCTCTGCTTACTGGACAGCGATAATGATAATGTTCGTCCGGGATATCCGCCCCCGCAAAATTTCCAACAGCCCAGATGCGTTTCATCGATCTTGTCAGCCTTCGACAAACAATGTGATTGGCGACAGCCCTGCCGGAGACACTCGAGAAGGGGAAAAGCAGAGGTGCACTGTTCTGCGTGGCATAGCCCTACCAGTATCCCACCTAGTCCACCACTTACTGCAGCGTGACCAACAGCCGCGCCGGGAGCTGTACCAGCTCACCCGCTTGGCGCGATGCGGGCAGGACGAGATAGATCCCAACTGCTCTGCATGTTTATTTGCCGCTAGGCTTCGTTGATGCATCGATGCGCATTGTTTGATCTCCCATGCAGAGTGACATCGCCGGACTGCGTCGCCCTCCCACGGCCTTGCGGGCGATCCGTACTCAAACCAGTCCATCTTTGCGGTACAGTGAACGACTGCGGTTACAGTAGGCAGCCGCTTAAATGCAGCCCAAAAGCAAGCAGTACCGCTTGCGTGCGATCGGGTGCCTCAGATTTACACGGTACCGTGTATGCGGGCGCTCTCAGTTGCCGGCAGGTCAAGTGCTTACCAGCCTTTTGCACTTCAAATCCAGCCCTTCAGTCCGGACTAAAGTTGGTCGACCGTGGCGTATTTATTGGCATCCGAACCAGCAGGACGGGTCACCAGTGGGAGAGCCGCCTAGAGGGAACCAACGGCTTACTACGGAAGTCGACCCAATCGCTTGTTTCCGCGGCTTGTGGGAAGCAAAAAGCAGGCTTGTCCGTCCCAGCTGTAGTCCCACATCGATCCTTTCCTTCGCTCCCGCGACCGTGTATGGATGGTCACGTCATGCCTTCCCTCGCCTTGCTGATCTCGCAGTCTATGATAGTGCTTGCATTCAATGATACCCTTGGTTTCCAGGGTCCGATCCGGAACTACATGCCGACGAACTGCACGGTCAGCATTCAGATGAAAATAGAGTCGTTCTTGCTCAGCCGGCTTGTGAGCGGCCCGCGATGTAAGTCCTTGTGGCCTGGCCCTTCTCTTAGGCACGGGATCATCTGCTGGGCACCGAAGTGCAAATCTGGCCCGGCAGGACTTCCCTTCATGAATTCACTTGTTACCCTTCCCATGTAGCTTAACCAGATTGGCGGGCTCAGAAGCGACGAAAGGCCGAAGTGTTGCTGGCAGCGTCGATATCGAGGGTCCCCCTGTGAGACTCGAACTAGCAGGTGGAGGGCTGTATATTACGCTGTGATATAGGTACCAGGCAGCCAGCCGTACACCGCAAATTCCAGCCCATGACAGACCAAAACCCAGCACTTTGGGTCCCGAGTCGTCGAGTCAGCAGCCACCCGAAGGTGATCAGCGCAGCCGGTTCGCTAGGCGATCCCTGTACCTGCCGATTGATTAGACCTCCGCACGCAACTGGGAGGTGTGACATTTCCTAATACCACGGGCACAAGTTCAGTGAGTGCGTGCATGTACCGCTGTACCGTTGTGGTCTGGCAGCGCTGCAAGACATCCAACCCCCACAGATGTCTCCACGCTCGATTCTGTGGCTGTTCACTCATCTACGCGGTCAACCAATTGTCTTGCTGGACCGTAGCGAGGCTTCCCTTGGGACTGACACTAAGGGGGAAAAGCAAAAGCTGTGATGTGATGCAGCGAGCAGGTGGGAGAGGACGGTGATGCTAGGGCATGCAAGGAACATGACCTCCACCCTGCTGCAGGAAAGTATGAAGCCCGATCGGGAGAAGCAGTTGTGCAGAGAGAAAAGAAATGGCGGAAGGGAAGGCGTCAGATATTGCATCTCAACGGGAGATGCCAAAAGCACATGGCCGCGGCGTGACCCGCCCAGATCGCCGAGCACTTTCGCCCTCTTCCTGCGCCATCGTAGGCCTTCCATCTATTGTTATTTGCCGTGCTGTTCGGAGAAGCAAAGGGCGGACCTTCGCCTCTGTCTTGAAGTGATCTCCTGAAAAGCGTTTCAAGACTGCAGAAAAAGCGATGTGCCCGCCGAAGCTGAGCTGCCATCACGCCCCCCGGAGGGGGTCTTGCTGCATGCGTCGAACGTCCGCAAGTCGCAAGAAGGAGATAGGGGGTAGGCGAACAAGTAGGGTAGGATCGATGAACCCATGGCCTCTGAGATTCCTGTACAGATCTGCCCATGAGAAGCTGAAAAGAAAAAACAACCCTGGGGTTGATGCGTCGAAGCCATCATCGAGAAATACGATCTAGCGCCAAGGTCATCGTTGTCGGTGCGTAGATTACCTAGGTAGAGCGCAGGGGGGTTAAGGATGTGGGTCCTGGGGAAAGATGGGCCTCTCTCCTTACCGCCGGAATTGAGGGCTGCGTCGGGGAGACCATGTTTCGGGTGAAAATATCACAGCTATGTACCGTCGTGTCGGTTCGCTGGCATGGTTGTCCAAGGCTGGTAGTGTCAATGGCAGGCGGTGGAAAATTTGCCTAACAGGCCAGGGGCGCTCAGCCGTACAGTAGTATCGTGATCCTCTGCAACATTGGGGAACAGCTAGGGCTCGGTGTGATGGGGACCGCGATGGGGACAAGCAGACGGGGAGGGGGCGGCGGCAGGTCCGTGGCGCGAGCGACCGTTGCGGAGCCCAACCTGTCGGGTTTTGCGAGATCTGAATCTCAGCAAAGTGGGGACGGCTGTCATCATGGCGACGTGTGCCTGGTCTGGCCTGGCTGGGCGGCGGGAGCCCGTCGTCGAGAGCTGGAGGGAACACTCGCAGCAGCCACACCAAGAGGCCCACAGGTGAGGGCGTGGACGCCTCATTTGATGTGCTTCGACAATGGAGACCGGATCCGGAAAGGCTGGGCAGATGGCGGGCAGGTAGCGAGGTGACACAGTCGTCGGTGGCCCCCTCTGTGAGATGATGGGATTGCGGCAGCGGAAGGCCAGCTGAGGCTGCTGGTGGACTGGAGTGGACGGGCAGGTGGCCGGGAGCAAGGGCTTCCGAGATTTCGCACCTCCACCGCGCTGGGGTCATGACGATGTCGTCTTTGCCGCCCGCCCAGTTGGCAGCGAGGCCACGAGGGCATGGGGCATGGGTTGACCTGAGGCAAGCGCACACAATTTGGAATGCCTGGATAGGGTCGGGCAGGTAAGGTTGACGGTGCGCAAAGGTTGCTGGGCCTGCCCAATGGCAAAAGCAAAGGGCTCTCATTGGCAACCGGGCGCATTGTTGCGAGTGCCTTCAGCTGGAGGCTCGGGCCTGGACCTTTCCGTTTTGGGCGACAGATGCACCGTTATCCACAGCGCTGCCGTTCCCAAGGTCTGCCGTGACGGAAGGTGGGTGGGTCCTGGCAGGTGCTGGCCCGCAGTCACAGATGCTCTTTCAGTAGGGATTGCTCAAAGTACTCTCTCTGGACACTCACCGACGTGTCATCCCTATCTCACAGGTCAGGCCAAATGAACGAAGCATTGATGATTTTTCAGCTGAACGATCACCATAGACAGATAGAGGCAACCTGCATCGACACTCTGGAGAATACGTAGCAAGATCGCGCGCGAGTGAGTGACCAAGGGAGATACTGTAGGTACGCAGAGATAGAGGGGGACCTCTGGTCTTGATCTGGCAAGACCCGCTAGCCTGTTGCGGCAGTATGCTATCCAGACCCTCCCTTCTTAGCTCGACGCTGCCAGCTCCAGGCGGGCGACGTGACAGGCCTGGCTGGCAGGCTCGCTGGGGTAGCCCCTGCTGGCCTGCCGCGACCCCGTCTTGTCCATGACCCCTGCCCTTCGACCTGAACCTTGACCATGTTCCGCCGTCTGCAGGAGATCTTCCTTGCCGAGAGCTCCTGGCTCCTCGCCCTCGTGGGTACCCAGCGCACCCAGCAAGACTTGGCCTGCCCACCATGTACTCGGAAGTCTGATCTGTGGTGGGGTCTTCCCTCCCGCTAGCACGACCTGGGCAGACTTGTCCAGAGTCTCTGCCTCTAGCGTTGACGCCGTCCCCGTGCGAGAGCACATGTACTCGTGGGCCAGGACACAGGCCGCGAGCTACATGGCGTGGGTACACTCCGTCCAGGTAGCTACTTCAAGTACTTGGCTACCGCTCGGATGGCCAGAAGCGTTCCCTGCACCAGCCCACACTGGGCCTTTCCCATATAATCCTGTAAGTCTGCACACTCTTGACTTTGAAACATCTGCCACCCAACATCAACACTCTCTACAACACTTCACACTTTCACACGTTGGACAGTTGCCCACATACCATAGTCTTTGGTCTCGTCAAAGGTACTGCCAACGCCCACAACGCTTCCAACGCTCCAACGACTTTACTCGTCACCAACACTGCGGCACGGCTGCCATACTAGCTGGTGTGCCCCAGTCTCATTGTCATCTTCATTGTCATCAACACCACACACCACTGTATCGCCATCGTCATGGCAAGCTTTGGCACCATGAACCAAGGCCCTGGCCGTCCACGCAAGCAAGGAGGGCCGTGGACCACCGCCGAGAACGAGCGACTCACATTCCTGGTGAACCGACATGAAAGCATCAAGAGCCAGCTCCACTGGGTCGAGATCGCCCGGAATCACGGTACCAGAGACGCAAAGCAGTGCCGCGAGCGGTGGGACAACCACCTCAAGCCTGGCCTGAACAGGGAAAAGATCTCTGCGGAGGAGGGAGTATACATCTTGGATTGGGTCAAGGAGAATGGCAAGCGCTGGGCACCGCTCGGCCGCGAAATAAAACGTCCCGAGAACATGGTCAAGAACTACTACTACCAAGAGCACAAGAAGTCAGAGCGCGGAATCACCAAACACAGGCGTCACGGGAGTCGCCATCGCCCATTGCACGACCGTCTTTCATCTTCCGTGCCAATGTCGCGGGACAACTCGTCCTCTTCTTCCCACCAGGCATACGGACGCTCTTCGGCGTCGCCTGTGTACGCCTCCGCCCCTAACGACTACAACCACAGAGTAGCTGGTCAATATTACCAGCATTACACACCCTACGATTACTCTTCTCGGCGCACCAGCGTGGCGTCTGTCATGACCAACCCTCCGTCGCTGACCCCAGATCACGGCTCTCCAGCTGAGTCGCCCCGTGCCGGGGCAGAGATTCCCTACCCTCCAGGCCAATTCGCACTTCCGTCATATCATCCGCAGCCTGTCGAGATCCCATTGTCCTCGGGCCATTATCTTGTCGTCGAGGGCGCAGGACACAAGCGATCAAACTCGGCATCATCTTACGGCTCATTCTCCATGGCACACCCTCACAGCCCAACTTCATTTCCAATCCGCATCGGATTCTTGGACAGACAGAGGCAACCCGCTGTGCAGGCTCCATCCATTGCCACCCCTGCCTTCTCTGACAGACGGCCTACTCAGCCGTCACCGCCACGGAATTCTGAGCAGGCCGCCTCCAATTCCAGGAAGAACTTGGATGTGCGCATGTCTCTCTCACACATCCTCGGTTGAATCCCTTGAGAAACTTCAGACCAAGACACTGTGTTACTCTACGTGACATGCCGGCAGGTCTGCTCTCATTGGGTTTTCAAAACGATTTCAAATTTATTGTCTCTTTCCTATCAGTTTTAACCAATGTTCACGATATTTTGGGTATTGATGTTTGGCGTTACCGCGGACCGAGGCCCTTCATGGCTGTGGAAGGCGTACTGGGTAGTGTGAGGAGCCACAATGTGGCGTGATTTACACTGCATAGCGCAGGAGTTCACGGTTTGGAAAAGGCGGGCGGCTACAGGCAACCTGGAGCGCCCTTTGTTCTTTCGGGCTGTATGTACACACAGAAGACGTGAGGTACGGCCTTCGTGATATCCGCCTTACAGGAATGGTGCCATTGGAATTTCGGACGCCTCGAGAGTACTCTTGTGGAAACAGCGAGGCTCGATGACGCCTTCGGGCTATTACTAGTATTACTTGTTTAATCCGTGAATGGCACAAATTTCTAATAGTTGAAGACCATGGCGCAAGAAGCTCCACACCTAATCTCACAACAATGTTCAACGTGACCGTTTTTGCGTGCCTGTCTGTGATGTCTCACGGCTTGCCCACCCAGTGGTATGAAATGCCGAACGGGGGGAGGGGAACCCCTAAGGTGAGGAATGGAGGAAAGGGGCCGTTGAGAAGGAACCCCGAGTGGAATGTTGGGGGCTTCCAAATTCCGCTCCCGAGAATGAAGAAGACTCAAGCCACAGCCGCTGCGGGAATAGGGAGGGCGTCTTGCGCGCCCAGGGACCGGCGAAAGAAAAGCTCGGATGGTTTTGGACGAGAGATAGAGGCTAGAGACATGGTGTGGGCCCGCCCTTACCAAAGCTTCACGATACGAGCTCCCCTGTCAGTCAGGAATAGAGAGTGTGTGAGAGGGAGGCGAGAGAGCCCCCATGCCATGGTTCAGCACTCGACCCTCGACCCCCGCAGAGATGTTTTTCTCCCTCACCTGCAGAGGGCTCTTGGGAGTGCGTCCCAAGTAAAACTCGGCCGGGGGAGGGGGGATGGGGGATCAGAGGGCAGGGGGCCAGGTCGGGCAGACCAGTCACGTCATATTCCCAGAGGCAGGCGGGCAGATCGCTGGTTCCTCCCATGCGCGCGTTCGTTCCCCCCATGTCCCCAACCCAGATCCCAATCCACCGGGTTATTGCTGTGTGAAACACGGACGGAAATACAGTTTGCAGGCACAGCTTTCTCCTCGGCCTTTCGCCGACCTGCCTCCCACGGCACGACGAAGCGATACGAAATAAATAGCAAGCGCACGGAGCAGCAGCAGCAGCCCAAATGCAATCTGTGTAATCTGCGAGGTAGTCCCTGAACAGTAATGCTTGAGAGTATTAAGGCGAGGGAGAGAGAGTGTGTGTGCATGTGGGGGAGGGAAAAGGAAGCTTCGATCTTTTGCTTTCGATCTGGGCTGTGCTACGCGAGATCTTCTATGCCTGTTTCTTTGGTCCCTGCCCGCACAATTTGCGGGCAGGTTCGCAGTGGTTTTGTGGTGCCTGCATGTCTCGGTGATGCTGTCTCAGATTGCGGTTGCACAACGGCTGGGCGGTATTCTCTTTCCGGTGAAGGGGTGGGGGAAGATCTGGAATTTTCGGACTTTGTGCGGAATACGCGCCGTTTTTTTTTTTTTTTTTTTTTTTTTTCTCTCTCTCTCTCTTTGCCAAGATGATCAGGAACTGATTCAGACGATTATCTCCTTTCTTCATGCCTCTTCGATCGCCCCAACGCCATGGGCATACCGGGCTACCTATGTGTGCGTAAGTCGTTTTCGAGACCTCTATCGGGCCGTTCCCATTGTCCTCCTCAGCGAGGCTCAACGCCATCTGCATCATGGTCACACAACCGGCTTTCGTGGGGAGTACATATCAGACTTGTCATTGCATGCTGATTTGAAGTTTTCGGACAAGTCGTTTCCATGGTTCTGGTCTGTGTCTCTTATCTTGCCCTCGTTGCCTACACGCCTGATATACCGGCTTGACACAAAGGCAGACAGGGCACGCCAATTGTTTCGAACAGCTGAGCAGTTCCAAGCTCTGGGCGAGCTCATTGGAACGGCTGGGTAAGGGAGAGGCGCGCCGTGGCGTTCCCTAGTGTTCTGCCCCCTGTTTGTCCTCAGCAGGATCAACTCATCGATTTCCTCGTTGGGGACCCCAAGCGCCTCTGCGGGAGGGCCAGCCTAGCTCTTTCCGAACGGGCATGAGAAAAAGGCGTTGAAGGGGAGCTAGGCCCGAGGTGAGGACAGCAAGGCAGGCCGCCCGGGAGCCCGAGAGCTTCAGAACACGAACGGCTGCCCCAAACATCAGTGCGATTGCATGATGTGAGACAGATGCTGTCACTATTTTTGCTGGCGCCTTCCGGTATTGGCCTAGGATGTTTCCTCGTTGCAGCTGTCATTCAGACAAAGGCTCGACATGATCGCAGACGGCGCCTAGTCACGGAGCATCAAGGTCATCATGCCCATTGATTGTGAAGCGGCAGGGAAGCATCACCGTGGAGGCGGGCGGCCGGGCCCAGCCACTCCCGCTCGCGAAGCCGTTGCTCCTTTGTCTGTCGGCTGGGATGCCGCCATGGCCGTTGGGACAGTTGCGCAACAGGCGGCAGATGTAGTCCTGTAGAGCGTGGGCGTAGCTTGCCGTGCCACTCCGTCTGTTTTCGGGCAACCGTTCGGGGTCAGCCCAAGTCGTGCATGCACGCGGATTCGTCACCACCGCGGGTTGCAGGTGAGGACGGAGAAGCGCCGATCTGGGGGTGGAGAAAAGCAAGACGCCGGCCACAGTAGGGCCTCGTCACCTGAGGCAAGTTGTCGTCAACGACACCCCGAGGCGCTCACTACCGTACCTCCACAAGGCGCACGTCGTCGTCCTGTGTGTTGTACCATGTTCCGTGGCGGTGGTGATTGTCGATCTGGCATCCTTGAACGTCAAACGCAGAGCTGAGCCCGAGCCGTACAGTTGGGATGGACGTCGTCGCTATGATCGCCGCTACCCACAACGATGTAACCCTCGGATAGGTATTTGAGAATCTGGCATCGGCCTGGGGGGACAAGGGTGGTGTGTGGGCGGCCGGGGAAGGACCTTGGAACAAGTGGCAGGGTGCCGACGTTCCGGCCTCGGTATTGTGACCGTGCTGGCGGCTTTGAACAGAGCAGACCCCTGCCTTTTCAACTGCGGGTCCAGGTGAAGGCCAGCACCCCTCCGATCTGTGTATCTGCCTCTCTCGTCACTGTTGGGGTGGTGGATGCGGTCGTGGCCCGACACATGCACTGTACTAGATCGATACTGTACGGTAGGTAGATGATCGCATGCCAGCTGCAGGGCTTGTGCACGAAATACGGCAGCCTGGCACCATCACACCATCACGCCCTCGCCAATCTCGCAACCGCCCGATCGCCGTTGACAAAGGGCCCCGGGACAGCACACCACCCCCCATCCACCCACACTCCTTGACAGCAAAGCACAACAATGGCAGGGCATAGTTCTGCGTAGTAGAAGAGCTTAGCAAAGCGGATATGCTACACACGACGCAGTAGAGCAGACTAGACTGCATCACTGGTGGCCCGGATCAGGGCTGGAGATTGCAACCCCGCGATGTCACGCTGGGCTGGACCATGGGCGGGCGGCAACTGATGTCTCCGGCCGATCAGCGGATACTTCAGTCGAAAGCTGTCTGCAGAGTGGGATCGCTCTGGTGCCTGGGCTGAAGTTGTAGCCAAAATTGGCTGTGTCGTCCTATCCCGGACGTAAGACTGGAAATTGCATTTGGGCTGATCTGGCTCTGCCGGCCCCCGTACCAAAAAGCTCGCATTGTCGGGGCTGCGACGAGACAACCGAAGATTATTGACCATATTCAGACGGTTTCTCGACTTGGTCATTTGCAGCGGTCACACAGCTCCATATCCGATCGCCTGCAACTGCGTCAGGAGAGGCCATGGTCAGGTGGCAGACAACACCGCACAGGCAGGGTTTGGGCGAATCTGACGCAGGCTCGAGCAGAAGCTAAGGCTACTTGCCCCACGACGGCGATTCCAAGATGCCCGCCCCTGTTCTCACCGTCACCTGGCTGCCTCCTCCAAGACAGACTGCCACGACTCTTGTCTGTGTCTGCGTCTGTATTTGTGTCATGTCACTAGAGTCTAGCCACTGGTGCAAAATTGTTCCCAGAAAAGCTTTCCAAGAGGGCCTACCTACCAGCCTATCTTGGGTCGAGACTGACTGCCGGTCGGCGGCGGCGTGGCTGGCCCATCCTCGTCTGCATAACATCGAGTGAGCGACCTGCCGTAGTCCCAAAGTCTGAGCCGCGTAGCTGGGAATGGGCAGGCCAATGACGGCCGCGGCGCAGGCATTGCACTCCCAGACCCGACGGCCGAAAGCCTGCACAGAGCAAGGGTTCGAGTTCTTGAGAAGTTCGAACCCACTGTTCTCGACGCCTGTTCGGAGGGAGCCGCCATCACGGTGGTTTGGGCCTCGACCCCTTGGCGGCGACAGGCGACAGGCCGGGAGGTCAAGATGGAGATTGAAGTGCTTCCGAGGTCTCACACAAGGTTGGACAGATCCTCACTCTCGGGCGGTAGACAATTATTAGGTAGACAGACAGGCAGGAAGGCATGAAGGCAGGCAGGTTGGGCCGGGCCAGGCCAGGCCAGAATCTGCTGTGGGTATTCTACTACTACCTTGTGGTGAGAACCAAGGTAGGCAGATAGACTGCCTCGCAGGCCGGTGGTAATGAGTGGCACTACCCCGTCCTGCGGCCTGCGCAGTGAGTTGTTGAGATTCGGGTTGACGAGCGAGGGTTGGGCGGCGCACTGGTACTGTAGCCTCTTGACGTTCCATCCTCGTCATCTCGGTTGCCCCCAGATCGCGAGGGGGTCTCGCAGAACCAGACTCGCAAAACGAGACCAGACCTCTATCTCGCCCTCCGCGACCCCTGCTTCTCGAAGGTTTCCCCCCAAATCGCTCGAGTGACACGGCAGCACAAGGTGGACACTTCGGTGTACAACCTCAATCTATAATCCAAGACAGTCGCCGTTCTGTGTTCCCCTGCCGAGCGCCGGGCAGCTGCAACTTGCGCTGCACCGTCCGTGCCCCCGCGTCCTCGGTACCTGGGGCCAGTTGACCGGCTGCACGCGCGAGCAAGGGAGCATGGCCGCCTCGTTGCCTCGTGCGCACTCCGTAGTACCTGCCTGCTGTTGTGTGTCGTGTTGTGTTGTCTCCAGACTGCGCCTTCTTCTCGCAGGAAACCTCCACACCTTCAGTTCCTGGTGGGCCGAAACAGCCCCTAACGACATACGTCGACTGCGCGCCCCACCTGTCTAGAAGAAGCACGCCGCCCCAGCCCCTGAAACCGAAATCTCGCGTTCTAGTTTCTTTCTGGGAATCCATCATTGTCTGAGTCGTCATCCGTGGCCCAGGCGTTGCTTGTTCGCCGTGCGGGCGTCAATGGACGTGAGCAAAGCAACCGTCGGCGGTCGCGCCCGGAGCAAGAGGGGAGCAGCCCTGCGAGAGACCTCGACTAATGCAAGATCGCCCACTCGCTCTGAAGTTTGTGGGATTGTGACACAGTCCTGCCGCTCTGGATACTCCGGACCAGACCTACAATTGCACAAGGTCCACAGCTTCTGGCCCCATGATGGTTGAACGTTCCATCTTGGTGGCAGACGCGTGGTCCTTGCCCAGCTACACTCGACTCAACTCGCTTCCCAGAGCCCACATGGGGTTATCGAGTCTGGAGGAGGCTCACGTACGATCCTGGCTCGGGAAACGACCTCAACAAAGAAGATTTAGCGGCCGTTTCCGCTTGAAGGGCCGTCATGCCGATCACCTGGGGAAGACAAAGAACACGTTCCAATCTGGAGGCGGAAACCCAGCCTCGACCCGAAGCAGCAAACTCACCCCTCTTTAGGTCATGTTTCCGTCCCCCCAGGTTCTAGGATAGACATAGATTCAGGCTAAGTGATCATCCACCGTTCGTCGCGGGAGACAAAAATGACAAAAAAAGGTTTGAATTTCTGAAACAGGAACACGACGCTGTGCAAGGCTGTCAATAGACTCGGGGAGAAAGGCAAAACAGAGACCCCATCCATGGACGTCAGTTGTCTCCTCGTGACAGCCGTTGAAAGAGTCAGGGCCTCGGCAACCTGACATGGACGGAGACACGCAAAGCAGAACGGCGGCGGTTTCGGGGCGGCCCACCCTCACCGTGCTGCCAAGTTCGGGACAGGCCACACCCCTTGAGGTCCGGAGTGTATCTCCCTAGCGACACGGCTGGCAGATTTGTATGCCGCAGTGTGTCGAGGTGGACAGGTCGTGCTGCGCATTTTTCTGTGATGTGCTGGGCCGGGCTGCATGCTCACACTGAGTTTCGCACGCACTTCGGGGGCGCAATGACCTCCAGTTCCCTGGTTGCACTCGGTCGGCTACGCGTCCGAGAAGTTTCAACTCGATTGCCCACGGGCAACGGCTGGGCCAGCGAACACCTGTTTCCCTGCGCAGGCGTTTGAGCGGGCGGTTGTTCCGACCTGTCATCCGGCGCATCATCAGGGGGGCAACTTCAGACCCAAACCAGCCCTTGTTCAGCTCATGAGATTTGTGATGATCGATCTGGGCAGTTCTGTCTTGGCCGCGAATGAAACCTTAAGGCAGACTGAGAATTACCATGCTAGGAAGGTCAAGGGCTGATTCGTGTCAGATGATTGGCTGCACCGCCATCTGCAGGCTCGCGACCTCGACTTTTAAAGGCATCGGATGCTGCCCTGGCCCCACAATGCAGGCAGGGCCTCGCACCTGCCCCGGTGCAACGCAAGGGCACAGTACCTCCAACGGCTGGGTGCCATTCCTACAACTGCATCAGAACCCTATCTGGGTGCGACCTTCTCTGTCAATCGTTTGGCCTTCGGACGAGTGATGTCATCCCATTGTTCTTGCAAAAGAAGCAGTCTCCCACAGTCCTGAGACGGCATGGGAGGCCTGGGTGAGGGAAACAGCCAGTCCCGTTCCGTCCTTGCAGCCGACCCAGACGGAAACGGTGGATTACGTTCGAGCTGGTGGACTGTGAGACGGTGGGCAATCACAGTGATGGATTTACAGTAGTGGTGGGCTATTATTGCCTAACTGGGCAACCAGCTTGCTCCCCAAATGCCCCGACTGCTCCAACTTGCTCTGTGCAGACCCTCCCCCCTGCTCTCGACTCCCCCGGCCAGCAACAAAGAAGCCCTGTCTGCCGTTCATTCCGGTTGGGGGAACTGTATGCGCACAGGACAGCCCGCCGCATCTGTCGACAGCGACGTCAATCTGGCAGATCTTCCTCGTTGAGTTGTTCTTTTTCCTGTCGTGCCTGAATGACCCCCCTACTGCCTGCAGGCGACATCGCCGACATCCAGGATTGATGCAATTTGAGAACAACGCCCGCCCCACCCCCAACGGCCAGCGCGGCGGCCGGTCCTGCCAGGCCAACGCATTCCTGAAGGCGTTAGGATGAAGGAAAACCGTCGTCGACTGTCAGCTTGATTAGTGCTCTCCCCGCCCACAGAATCAAGTAACGCCTCGTGCAGGCGGGTTTCACGGACATCCGCAGAAACGAAACGGGACGGGCGCCACAGGCGTTGGCATCTGAAGCACATCTATCAGGAGGACCGCTGCAGCTCTCGCACGGTGCCCTCGAGATCGACGGAGTGGCAGGTTGTTTGTTGTTTTGTCTGAGGTCTTAGCGGGCGGAACGTTACTGTCTGTGGTGCTCTCTTTGTAGCTCGAGTGGCCTGTTGCGCAGATGCTCGTGGTCACCGCGCTGCACCTAATCACTCAGTGTTTGAATTTCCCTCAAAACTACCATGGACCTTTGGAAATGGTCATAAATCGTCTCAATATTTGATGCGCAGAATTACACACATGGCAGCAAGTGAAAGGAAAACATGGTGCTGGTAAGCAATAATGGTATTCTAACCGTAGAGCACCTTCATGAACACCCACCTCGTTCCCCATGCCAAGTAGTAACGAAGCTGACCCACTGGCCGGGCAGTCTCCCTCCATGATCACATGCCTCGATGATAATCGTGTTGTATCTCGCCCAAGGCAGATTCGAGCCAAATCAAGAATGTATAGAGGTCCGTGGACAGACAGAAGACGTTCTGTACCCAGAGCTGCGCCACCCACCCACCTCCTCAACGTGCAAGAAACACGTCACGACGTAGCCAGTGGCAAGAAGCGAGTTATCTTCTCATCGTGACTTGGACCTTCAATCGACATCCATGGCCGTTGGTCTCGAGTCAGCTACACACCGTCAACTCCTCCTGGTTGCCTCCCGTGGGGGCCACGAACACAGCTCCTCCACATCACCACACTAGCTAACGGCGTCCTCGACCACAACTAGCAAGAGTCGCCAGCACTCTAAGCTGGACTTCGACGACTTTCAAAAGGTGGGGGAGGGGCCACCTGGTGCTAGAGCTGTTGAGTCACAGTGAGAACTGTGGCTACACTTGCCCGGTTAACTGCCTCGATACTAGTTCAACCACCGGCTTGGACAGAATAGCGTCTTTAAGTGGACAGAACAGCATCAGGTAGGAGCTCTATCCAGCACAAGCTTAAAGGCGACAGTGGGGACGTCTCTGACCATTACCAGAGCGGTTCGGCCACCTGTATAGTGTGGAAAATAGTCCTGTGACTGGGGGAAGGAGCTCGCGATCAAACCCACTCCAGCTCGAGGCACGTGCTCGTTGGTCTCCCACGGCTCTCTTCGGCATGAGCTTCGGCGGCCACATGAGTCCAAAATTGCATTTTGACGATGCCGGAAGAATAATCAGAACGCACCTTTACGAGAGTATACGAGGGAGTCGACGACTGTTAGCGGATAGGAGAGTAGGCCCTAATGGCCGGCCATGCTATGTTCAGGCCCCGGAGGAGTCCAGAGGAGGACTATGCAATCAATGATCACAGTTCGTTTCTTGTGATGATCAATACACCCCCTCCCCTCCCAAACCCCGAAAAAAAGATCCACGGCGCCGACCACGTGTCCATTTTGGTCTTGATGCTATAGTATCTACGTATTGGTATCACTGGAAAGCGACACACTCATCCATCGTCCGAGTATGCGCATGCCAGCTTCATCGAGGGAAACATGTGCCATCACCATTTACTCATTTTTATGTCATACAACGGGTAATAACGTCTATTTCTACCCCTGAAATAGCCCTGCTGCTGAAGATTGCAGGTAAACCTACTCGGGCAAAGGGGCGGCCGTTACTGTCCACCGTCACCTCCCACAGTGCAGACAATGGCTACCGGTAATTGCACAGGAGCGGTGTAAAGAAGGTTTCGTCGAACAGCCATTGTGTATTAGAGCCTCTAGTGGGCTGTCAAGGCTATCAAAACTGTCAAATACCATGCGCTCGGCCCGAGCTATCACACGCGCGGCGTTGGGTCGATTCATGGACACCAGGCATAGCCTACCCGCGATCCTAGAGCCGCGCCTCCTTTTGCCGTCCGTGATGGTCTTATACTGACGACATCCGAGCCATCAGGGTATCAATCCACCAAGAAATTCCACCAAACACTGATCGAGGCCTTCTCTAAGCCTCCCTCACACCGCGAGCCGTCACAAAACGTGTCCGCTCTCTTGGCTAAAGCATCCTCGTGCGCGCAAGTCGGTCCGACGGACACGGTGACTCAATTCGGTAGTCGGTCCTCGCGCATCGACAGCGCTCCCCCTTTTTTAATTGGCACAGAGTCCTGTGAGCCAATAAAATGAATGCTCGCATCGCATTTCCAAGCTCCAACTTTTGATATCATGAACCACTGCTCACATGGCCCAACCTAGTCCGAGACGGGCTCGCCTAGGCGGCTTGAGGGTGCGACTCGTTCGGACCACTTTGACCGGATGTCGACTTCTTGAGCGCCTTTTGCGGCGGCGACTGCAGCCTCTTGGTTGCAGGAAACATCAGTCGACAGGCGTTTGACAGCACTTGGCGTAGCTGAATCAGCTGTGCGGTCCTGAGCACGCACCTGGGTACTAGCCTGACGGTTGGGGACCCAAGCCAGCTCTTCGTCGCTAATGAAAGCGCGGCTCTGGGGGTATTCAGAGTTCTCTAGTCGGAGACGATGAACTGCGCGTGGTACTTGAGCCTGTTGTACCTTCTTCGATGGACTAGGCACGCTCCTCTCTCTGGCCATTGCAACTATCATTGGCGAGCAGACAGACGCTACCTCAAGCTTCTTGAGCTCGGCAGCGGCAGCCTTCTCCTCGTTGGCCTCCGTCGCGTGGTTGTGACCCATTGACCTCAGCACGGATTCACGGCTGCGGCGCCGCGATGTATCACTCGAAGATGAGGAAGGGCCTGACATCTGATGTTCTCGAGCATTTGAGGGTGTCGCATTAGAGAACCGGGATGTGCCATCGAACTGAGAGTCAAGTGGCTGCTCTTGTGCCGCTGACAGTTGTGGAGACCTTCGTGAAGTCAAGCCAACGTTTGTGGTAGTCCTGGCGATTGAAGGTGTGGCTTTATCTTCTGTTACGAGTCTGTCGTCACCATCCGAGAACGAAAACGCTCGATGACCTCTAGGGTCAACAATTGATGATGAGCAGCTACTCTCATCATCAATAGCGGCGTCTGGCAGGCCACCATTCTGTGCCGCGAGCTGTCGTATTGTTCCCAAAACATCACTGCCCTTCTTGAGCTCTTCGACTGGTCGACCACAGAGGTTCTCGTCCTTGGTAGGGCTCGTGTGTGGTGTGACCTTGGCCTGTGCTATCTTGGCGAGACCCTGCGCGATGAGCGAAGAGCTACAACTGGCATTGCCACTGGACGATTGCGATGAAGACTCATTCGAGTTCTGTGCACTAGGGGCTGGCGGTTTTCCAGTCGTCTGAAGCGAAATTCGTGCAGCGACCAGTCTCGCACTAATGTCCTGATCTTGCTTGCGGTCACGCCCGGGGGTTGCGTCTCGGAGCTGCTTGCTCAGATGGACATCGTTGTTACTATCGAGCAGGCTGGGCGTGGATCCTGAGGATGGCGGATGCTGTTAGCTGGGTACCTTGTTTAATGTTTTCAGGGTGGTCTGTATGAAGAGAACCCACCCAGGACATTGTACGGAGTCGTATTGACGGTCAGGCCGACATCACCAGGAGACAACGCAACAGAGTCACGTTTCTCGTGCTCAACGAGATAGTCCCGGTGCCTGTCTGTGGGGTTACTCTCTTCAAGAGCATTGCCATCTCCTGCAAGGCTCGTGTCAATACAATCTGTCTTTTGTGGGGACCAAGTTGAGCGAAAGCCAGGCTTACCTTCGTCACTCCTGCTCAAGCGATTCAGCTTGGCTCTAAAGGCTCTGCCATCATTGCGATTGACGACGCTTCCAGCCCTTGCCAGCATGACAGACTCAGCACCTTGCTGAGTGTCGGATACGATGTGCTCCAAACGATTGATCTCGGCCTTGAAGTCCTTCTCGCGCTGCGCCCACTCTTCTGTGACTTTGGAAAATTCGATGACTTCTTCCTGCCGAGTTGCCTTTAGCTCCGCGATCTCAACGCGCAGACTCTCGAGTTCTCTAGTTTGGTGAGAGACTTCCTCCATCATGCCGGCGATCCAGCCATTCAGGTGACGCGGAATCGGCGCAGATGAACCATTCTTCATCATTGTGCACGACACGGTCTCCACCATCTGCTTAAGACTCGGGTTCTCCCAAGTACATTTGGATGCTTTGTATTTGGGATACTCTCTCTCCTCCTTGGGTAGGGGTTGCCAATCGCCAACAGGGCCCCCGCCGTCGACTGAAGTTACGTGGTGACCGGCAGCGCCAGGTCTGATCGATTCACTCCGCTCCATGACGAGTTCAGGGTAAACTGGGACGGTAGTAGATTCGGCCTTCGCCGGATTGACCAGGTTGATGAAGCTCGAGATTTTGCTCAGCTTCTGGGGCTTGTGGTGGTGGTGGTTCTGCTGCAGCGGGACTTGTGTCTGGGAACGATGAAGCGACGCATTTTGCGCCTCATCTCTAGCTTCGCTCTGAGGATCAGGTGGTGCGTTGGTTCGCTGCGCTTGCTGTTGCGCAGTATGCGCAGAGCGCCCGCGACCGAACCAGCCGCGGTCGGTCATGGCGGATTGATTGTTGTGGAGACTTGCCGTTGTTATCGCAGTTGCAAGTAACAAGCGGACGAGCACGGCTGTGACTCTGGTGTATCAAGCGTTGACTCGGGAGATGGTGAGAGAGGGGTAGAAATGCTGATAGCTGCCAGAGGAAACTGCAGGTTGACACAAACGGTGTTGTTGTCTGTGGGCGAAATGGGATTGAGGATGAGTTGAGGTGAGAGCTCAGTTCGAAGTGGGCGGGACCTCGAGGTCGGATACCATAAATGAAGATGAATTGGGCGAAGGAGTGAAGCTACGGGTGACAAATCGAGTCACCGCATACAATGGAACTCGAAAAGATTTGAATATGTTTGCTGTGGAGGGGGGAGTGAATGGGCAGATGTCAGTACTCGCTGCCGGGGGTGCAAAACTCAATCGCGACAATAGCATCAATGGGCATTGTGCGAACCGCCGATTTGGACCTTGTTGCCATCACACAGATGGACGAGGCAGATGGCACCGGAGGGTTTGCTCCTTGGTCGAGGATTGTGTCGTCGCATCTGGCAGTTACGCCCCCGCCCAGCGCCTTCCCTTTCCTCAGATGCTGAAATGCTTCACAGCCAGCCCATTGATACACCCCAGGCAAGGCCCTCTAGAGACGCACGGCAGACTGTGCAGAATTGCGCGTCAACGGATCTGGGGGGATACTCTAATGAAGCACGGATGAAGCCATGTACTCACGCGTCCTCATCAAGCAATCCATCACATGTACACCTGCTCCCAAAGATGGCTTGTTCAGCGGACGGGGTATGTCCAGAAGCATCCATGATTGGCATTGCATCTATCAAGGACCCAAGTCATTCGCTCATGAAAACGACCCGTAGCTATTGTGATCATTGCGATAACCTTTATTGCCTCCTACTACCTCCACCGGGGCGGAACTTGCACCGACAGCTGGTGTGGCTCCATGCCCAGTCCTGCAGAGACCCGAGGGCAACCTTCTGCGAGAGCGTCAACAATCGTGGTTGCCATGAGATAAGGTGTGAGGGCGTGAGGGCCTAACGGCAGATAGAGGCGCAGGGGTTTACTCACCAATGCTGGACGGCATACAGGCAACTCAGTGAATCTGAGTTGCCCCTGTGGACTCTCAGCCCAGAACCACCAAGTTCTTAAGCCTCATTCGTAGCTTGTCGTGTGCATTGTGCCACATCAAGTCTCGCAGGAAGCGGCCAGCAACTGTGTCCCCGAGCCGCAATTTCCTCCCCGCATAGCCTGGTTTACTTACCCACGCTCTCTTCTCATCATTATGTGCAGTGAGCAACAACACCCAGAGCATTGTTGTGAATCAGGTCAACGTCCATGGAATCGGAAAATGTACTCGTCCCATCTCATGGACGTGTTCGCCAAATGCACATTCAGAAGTACAGGTCCTCTGCCTTTTGACGCCTGCGACCCCGGCCCTCGAGCTTGTCAGCAAAGAGCTCCTTGCCGGAGTTGAGGCTCCCGCCAAGTTTGTCCGGGAACAATTCCTTCTTGATCGCGCTGCCCTTGATCGAGATTCCCTGTTGTGGATTGGGCTGGCGTGCCAGACCCTTGATTGAGATTCCGTTGCTGGTTTCCGTTACGCGATCTGCAAATTTGAGGGTTACCATCTTGATACTTTGGCTTGGTGTGTGCCGAGAACGAAACGCAGAGAAAGAACAGGGGAACTCGGCACTGCCATCGTAGGAAAGTCGTAGCATACCGGCTAGCACATCTGCGGGCACCTGGTCCATCTGTGCCTTGCTACCGTTCGATACCTTGTTGGGGAACAGTTCTCTCGCGTTGCTAGACCTGGGCCTGGAAATGCGCTCCTTAAGTGACCGCGCCGTATCGCGATTGCGCTGTACCTCCCTGTCCTTCGCAAGATCATCCATCATCGCGTCCCGCTCATCCCGGGCCGGAGACCGAGACCGATCGCGAGAGTGTGCTCCCCGCTCTGAACGAAGCGCATCCCTGGGCTTCTTGTTTGGGAAGAGCTCCTTGCCGGCGTTGAGTGGTTTGTACCGGTCCGAGTCTGCTGGCTCTGATGGTGATCGTGAATCACGTCGTCGTCGTTCCCTCGGTGTTACACGTCGAGCGAGCGCACCCGTATCGTCATCGTAGAGGCTGACATCGAAAGTCTCAGGCTCTTCCTCGTTGCGGTCGTCGTACCTGCCTCTTCCACTTCGACGGTACCCTCCCCGGTCCTCGCGGTCACGATATCTCCGATCTCGGCCCTCGCGCCGGCGCTTGCCTTCCTCGGTCTCTGGGTCCCACTCAGGGTGGAAGAGGTAGAACCTGCTTCTCTGCGCCGCGCCCTTGACTTTTCTGTCGGATTCCAGGGCGAAACGCACCTGCAGCGCGACCTCTGGCTTCTCGGCGATGGGCTTGGCTGGCAGAACTTCGAGGGGCGGGAGTTGGGTCACATCCAGAATCTCGACGGCCGCGAGGAGTTTGAAGGCGTCCTGAGCGGCAGATTCGGAGTTGAAGACAAGGTTGGCAGAGGCGTCGTCCACCCACTCGATGCGGTCGGCGCCTTTCCCTCCGACGTGTGCAGAGACGTACTGCTTGAGTTGGGTTTCGTCCAGCACTTCGAGACCCCGGATGTGGATTTTGTTTGGTAGGATGGTTGGCGTATCGTCGCCTACTGCCTCGTTGTTGATAGGCTCCTCGACCTCGCCATCCTCCTGAGAGACATGTGGTGAGACTCTGGCAAAATCACTCTTTCCCTTTGTGTTTGACGAACCTGTTGATCGTCGCCGACTAATATGTCCGCAACCTCGTGCTCTTCCATTGGCACGTCGACAGCATCGCCCATCTCGATGTCGAAGTCATCCATGGTCGCAACCGGAGCCTTGCAGATGACTGGTTCTGAATACGGCTCGAGAGGAGGACAAAGAGGTGATTTGTTGGCTGGGGAAGCTGTCGTTTGAGACTGAGAGGCCGATTGTCGGTGAGCCGAAGAATCTGGTGTCTGCTGAGAAGAGTGCCGTGGCTAAGTATGAAGCAGAAATAGAAGCCAGGCTGGGCTAGGAGGCGGTCGTTGGTGATTCAGGAAGCTTGGTCGAAATAAGGTTGTAGGAACGGTTGTAACGTAAACTGGCTTATCGATAAGCTGACAGTCTGCAGGGGAGACCACCTGGACTGATGGATCCCGGCTCGGGGACGCTATAGGCCAGCATCAGACAACAGAGGAACAATCCTCACAATGCCTTCCTTGTCAGCTTGTCCACAAGGCACAATAGAGAATTGGGAAGGCACCAGCTGCGAATGAGAGGACGTGGTTACACAGTGTCTCAGATAGCCCCGACTTTCAAGACATGTCTCAGGCCCCGCAGTAGCCGAAATGTACACTGTTTCTCACCTTTTCAGCAAACAATGTTGACCAAGCCTCGTCCTCCACGGCACCATACTGTGGACCGTTGTTTCCCCTCTAGGACTCCTCTTGTTGTCCGTATAGAATGGAGAACCAGGAAGACCGCCTGAATAGCAAAGCCTCCATTAACTTAGGACGCCAAAAGGGATTATAAGATGACATCAGCTATTCAATATCGCCTTGCCGGCCTCAGCCCACTCTTTGCCTGTCAGCAACCGACCGCCTTTGGCCCGGCCCCTTAAAAATGTTTTCTAAGTCAAACAGCTGGGAACCAACAACACCTTCTTCCGCAGCAGACACCAGGACAAACAAACTTGGCCGTCGTTTTATCACAGGACGCACATACCCAAATTTTTTTTTTTTTTTTTTTTTTTTTTTTTTTTACGTTTATCAAAGCGGACGTAATGTGGCGAAGGGCATCTGCTTGAGAGATCGAGCAGGCTCGCGATCCCCTTGGATCACTTTGCAAAAGGAACAAAGCAGTCGTTCCTCTTCACCACAGGTATAATCTCGAGAAGCTTTGCATTTGAAGCCGCTAAGAAAGTGCCGCTTCGCCGTAGCTGGCGGCGGAACCAATGTCCAGGAAGGCTCTCGGTAGCAGGAGAACCCTCGGGCTGAACAGCCATCGACTCTTCCCTGTGTGTATCATTCATTCCACAGCAACCCACCATACAAAGTTCGATAACGCATATCTTCAAATTCTGTACAATCTATCCCACTTCTCGCTTCCCAATATCATGTTGTTGAACCTCTGAACAAAACATTTCTATATCGTCACTCCGACTCTTTGGCTGGGGGTAGTGCTCAAGTCAAAGTTGGTATCATCGCATCAGCCAAGCAAATCAGCCTACACTGAACACCTGCAAGCGCCTCCCAGGAAACACAGACAATAAATGCACTAAGCGGTCTCGACCCTCCGCCTCGTAACCTCTTTGAAGGGAGGCGGACAGGTCGTCCGCGCAACTTTTTTGGGGACCCGTCCCTCAGCCCCATCCGCCACCGTTGTCGTCGTGGACGACCTCGACATCTCCGAGGCCGCCCTCTTCAAGTTTGGGAGGCCCCCGACCAAGTCCCCCGCCGACGGTCGGTCATTCTCGTCAACGCTCTCATCGTTGTCAAAAGGGTCGCTAGAGTCTAGGATGGGGTCATACTCCCAGCTTGCCTCGAGACCTTGCAGGAATACAGGCGAGTGCCTCAGCGCATGCCACGAGAGCGAAGAGTGGCGCATGGAGATGTATAGGGAGTCCATGTTCCCGTGGATGTCGAGCACGGCACAATGGGCGTGGAGGAAGTCGACGTCAAACTTGGAGCTCACAAGTGATGAGTCCAAGGGGCGCAGCATTGGTAGACCTTGAAGGGTATCCGCGTCACACAATTTCGCCTGAAGGGGTACCCAAGGCCGGTCCTTCAGGACACCCTTGAACGCTCGTGTCACTGCAGACACGAACGCTTCAGCCGACGTGCCGTTCACGGCAACCATCTGGTGCAGGCCTCTGGAGAGACATCGCTTGTAGGCGTTGGTGTCTCGTTCGAAGGGAAACGGTAGCGAGCTGCTCGGAAGCAGAGAGACGTGGACCGTCCATAAATTTGAGACGGCCGACTCAGAAGCCCGGGCAGGCACGCCTCCTGACCTCATTGGCACCAGCGTCGTTTTTGGAGAGCTGTTCAATGTTGGTACGGAATCCGATATCGACTTGCGTCTTTGCCTGCCCCTGGAGGGCGTGACCTCGGAGGCCCCCTCGATGCTCTCGACCACCTCTAGCAGCTGCTCTTCCAGACTGAGGTCGGCATCGTTCAGTTCGCATTGTCTCTGGTGCAGTCTTTGTAGCTCTCCGTCGACATTCCTGAGATGCACGCCCATGGCCTGGAATCGGTTGTCGACGTCCCCACCCCGTCTCTCGAGCTCTCCGATGGAATGCCAGGCTCGGTTTAGGTTGCCATACGTCTTCTTGATCTCCTGGCCCATCTCCTCCGTCCTGGAGTCCACAATCCCCTCAAGCTCGCTCACCCTCTGGACCACCTCGTTCCTCCTGCTGGTGCCCTCTGCCAATAGCTCCTCAAGTTGCTGGACCCTCTGCCGGAGAAGCTCCAGTTCCCGCCTGTCCGTTGGGGGCTCGGCCGTCTTGTGGTGGAAGCAGGCGAGGTGCCCGCATTCACAAGAGGCACCGGGCAACGCCTTGTTCAGGGTGAAGTTGACACATGCACATCGGCTGCCTTTAATTTCTGTGTTCATCATGATGTAACGGCAGTTGCCTTGAGGCAACTTGGCTTCATCGACCTCGGTGGTCGGACCCAGCAAGGGTGATGGCGACGATAGAGCAGACATGGTCGGTGTGTTGGCAACGCCACGGTCACAGAGCTAATACCCAGTAGCGAGGCAGAGCAAGGCTCCGGTCCAGAAAGCCCTTGGGTCGCCAGCAGGGACGCAGCTTCCTTGAAGGACAGCGTATGGAGTCGATGGAGATGAATCTTATCACTCGCAATTCACAACAGTCTCTACCCTCAAGAGGTAAGAGAAGAAGGCGAGCATTGGCCGGTGTTGAATAGTGAAGAATGGATAGGTATGTTGGCCGCACTGGTTGGTCACGCGGCCCCGTGCTGAATCTCGGAAGAATGTTATAAGTAGGGCGACGGGTGTCGAGGGCGACGGTTTCCTCTTATAAGACGCAGCAAGAGCGGGCCGTCACATATCGAACCAAGCAGGGGGTCCTCAGGTTGTCGGGCTGTCAGTGCAGCAGCGCGCACGGCATGTGGATGCAGCCCTCACCACTCCGCAGGCTGCAGGGACTTCTCAAGAATCGAGGAGAGGGCACGGCCTGAGACGAGACCTGACAAGAGGCAGCGGGAGCACGAGTAGTTGTGCAAAATCGCGGTCTGGAGAGGTGGAGCCTGGAAGCCGGGGAAGAGGAGCCGGTGGACATGGGGTGGAGGTGGATGCCCCAGGTTGAAGTGATTACCGACAGAAAGAGAGCAGGGGCCGGCTGTGGGGAGGGATGGTGCAATGATATCTTGATAACAGCACGATATCTATGCGCGGTGAAGTCCTAGATTCCGATTGTCGCGATTGGGGGGTCTGCGCGTGAGGATATGCGCGGATGGCCGGGCAGCGGAGGCCGTTGAGCGCGGCCCAAGACATCCAAAGGTCTGTCGAGATAGTGCCGAGGAACCACCGCGACAAGGCGCAGGGAGAAGTGGTCTCGCGTGGGCACTCAGGCTCCAAACAGCTTTGCGCTGGGCGAGGTGTGGAAATGAAGTTGAAACTGAGATCGGTGGCAACGGGGGGAGAACTTGAGAGAAACAAGGCGTGTGGGATGGGATGGGATGGTGGAGGTGGACGGGTGTGGAGGGGTGTGGGAGCAGAGGAGTCAGGAGTCGAGCAGCGATGATCAGTCAGGTCAAGCCAAGTGCAGTCGATACACATACATGCACATACGCATACAGAGCACCAGGGGCCAGATGGACCTGACCTGGCCGATCCATCCCACCCGTCAAGCAACCCATTAATCCTGGAGATGTCGCAGTCCGCTGGCTGCGAAGCGACTGGCCAGAGGGCGCCGATAAGGAAGATGGCGGGATTCGATGCAAGCCGGGGGGACGGGGGACAGAAAGTCAAAGAAAATGGCACAATATCATCCCACAGCGCAGTTAACTCACGCCCACGGTCTGACCGGCCCGTACCTGAGTGTGCATGGGACAGGTACCTAGGGCAGGGTCCATCTAATGTGGGACCCAGGTACCTACCCCATCATTGTTGGGCCTGGGGCACTCTGGCACTCTGAGCTCACCCTTGTCAATCTCGCAGTCTCGCAGTGCGTGCTTGGGGGGAAGGGGGGGGGGTAATCTGTACCTAATCCCAAAGTGGGCGGGACGTTATCATCGGCCGCTGCAGCTCCTTGGTGGGGCACAGGGATGGGTGCCCAGGTGGGCCACGCAGACATATCCATCTAGGCATCTACAGGCGGGCACATGCATGTGTGTACCTTGGTACCTGGATCTTGTTGCTCACCTGCGGCCGGGAGACCACGGCAAGATCCTTCCCTCCCGTCTCCTCGTCCGTGTCGATTCTGGCTGATCTGCTCTTCATTTGCCTTTTGTTTTCTTGTGACGTCGCCGTGTACCACCCGTCCGGGGCGGTGTCTGATAACACAGCCTGTGTTGTCGTCTGTCGCAAGACAGGCGGTAAATCTCGTCACTGACAATCCCCAAAGTCAATGTTGGGGTCGCCCCTTGCTCGACATGCCCGGGTCTCACCCAGTACCACCTCGACTGCTGCGATAAAGGCTGGGCATGGGCGGAAAAAAGGGGTCCTCGGGTCCTTGAGCTTGGTACCATCATTCACGCACGCATGCTTCTACGGATGCACCCTGATCAAGCACAAATACCGGGCCAACCAAAGTCATTCATCCATTATCACCGAGCCGAGCATCGTCGACGTTTCTTTTCTTGGTCGCCCAGTGCAACGAGGCCCTTCCGCAGGGCTTAGTCTCGCTGCCTCTGTTTTCTGGTCCCAGGCGCACGCCACGGCATGACTGGACCGATGGTGGGGGGGGGGGGAGATAAGGGCAGAAAAGAAGCTCAACTTAGAACCCTTGGATGTGCGCAAATCCCACCCTGCGGTCTCAAGCCCCGGCCTGTTTGCTTCACCTTGGCCTCCGGTGGCGGCGCGGGCCAAAGAAAAAAAAAAGTGTAGACAGCGGGCCAGACAACTCTGCCAGCAAGCAAGCCAGCAGGCAAACCAGCAAGCATATGCTTCACGAGGGCGGAAAGGCCTGCAACACGATCCGATTTGCACAATTCCCGGAACGCCCCTGGCGCCCAACCCGGGCAGGCTCGCCTCTGCCATCTCAAACTCTTGCACCTCGGTCGTCCCACGGTCGTCCATCGGCATGGACAACAATGTGCGCAAACCGCACCACGGCAATCGCCCCGTCAGCAACGCATGCCGGCGAGGCGCCCGTCAGCACACTCGACGTGTATCAGATTAGGGATTGCCTATGCTGCCCACGCCTGTGCAACACAAAGGACTGCTCGGGTACCTGCAAGCCACCTCGCAGGGGACTGACTGTGGCCCTATGCTTTTGATTCCGCTGCTGCGGACCCCCACGGAGCCTACATTGTCTTACCACATCCTGTGTCCCTCGCGTGCAATCACCCACACGCCAGGCGGCCGTACTACCGCTCGCCACACCTTTCCAGGCCCTTTGTTACTGCACCTTGCCAGTGCCGCAGACCAGACCCGCCCCCGGCTGCTCGGGGAGTGAAGGGGTAGTGATGCAAGTGATCATCAGTATCGCGGCATGTCCATCCCTCCCGTCTGGCCCCCAGCCACGGGTGTGATAGCTGCAGTCGAGGTAGGGAGGGCTCATGGATTCCCTGTTTGAGCAAGGGTACCGTGGGCGGCGCAACACACGTCGATGTGGGAGTCCACGGCACGGGTCACTGGCCGGTCAAGCTTGTTATCACCGCCCTCAGCTCGACGACATCCTTGGTAAAATTGCGCCAGCACCGCCAGCCCGCTGCCTGCAAGATACCGACACGGGCAGCGAACTGCATTTTAGCCGAGGAAGGACCACCGGCGGTACTGCCGAGCATCACTGCGTCACTGTCCTCCAGAAAATGATACCTCATGCTGAGAGTCACTATTAGCCGAATGGAGGCCAGGTCTGCTGGATCGAAGAAGCGAGGTGCATCGCTGTACAGGTTTTGTCCCCCGTCACCATCTTGGCAGGGACCCTTCCTTCTTGGGATCGATCGGGTTTCGGGACTGCTTGTTGCGCAGCATTCGGTCAGGGTGCCGAGCATCTCTCGCATTCGATTGACCTGCGTTATCACCTTCGCGGAAGCAGCCTCTCAGCAGCCACGCAAGGCCCATGGCACAACAGAAGCAGTGGCCCCAGGTGGATTGGACATGACAACACACCGTTGGTAGCCTGCACGATCAGTCAAGGAGTCAGATTACGGTGCCTCGCATCCTCGCCTGGCGAGGCGCATACCGTACGGACGTATCTGCATCCCCTGTCACATCCTGAACCAAGCTTATCCCACAAGATTTTGCTTCTGATAACCTCCTCTGGGCGAATATGCATGCAAGGCCTAGGCCAGAGCCCTAATGCTCGAGTCTCGTCTTGGACCCCCTCGATTTGGTTTGGCTTTTCCTGCCGGGAAATGTTGCGCAATCATGGCATGTTCCAGGCTGCATAGCCGGAATGGGTGTGTTGCAAAAAAAAGCGAGGGCAACAGAGGTTGACATTGTTTTATTGAGCATGTTTCTCCATTTTTGCCCAGATGGGGCCGAGACTGTTACCTAATTCCGACCCACCCACCCATGGGATGAAAGGTGGGAAGCCCGCCGCTACGCAGATCGCAAACCAGAATCCGACAAGCCGGAACGTGTCCAGCCTGGCCTGGCTGGCTGGGTGACCGGGACCCCCACTGCTCCCGCGGCATGTTCCAACACACCTTGGAAATGCCCAGTCTACTAAGGTAGTATTATGGCCAACAGCGGGCAAGTTGAGTAGTTGCCTCCCGCGCCGGACCAAGATGAATTCACCGTTTTGCCGCGCAACGATGAGCGCCCTGGGCGCGGACGCTGGTCTGCGCGCACTGACAAGGGTCTCGCTTACGGCGCCATGTGAAGAAGACCGATGTGCTTCCCGGGGTGACCGGGCCGGGCAATAGTGTTCTGAGAAAAAGAGCAGATATCCGAATGTGAGCTTTTCCCAAGAACCGCGACACTCGGCCCTCTTTTATTATGCAACTGTAGGCTTGGATCATGATTATTGTCCGGCAAACGTATCTGCAACGCGTCGATTGGCCATGCAAATAGCACAGGACGCTCCAAGCGTGCGTGTCTAGGAACCTATCAGTTGCTTGCAGTTAGCCGCCGACTGCAACAATGGCCCCGCACGCAGCGTCAAGTTGAGCTCTGTGAGTCGAGGTTGTGTGAACGGCCAACTCCCTTTTTTGCCCTGCATTCTATCGCGGCATTGAGGCAAGATCCTCGAGTCTGTCCATCTCATCTCTCACATATGTAATTGTTCAATGCCGTGCAAGGAGCCCTGCCTCCCAGGTCTGCCGGAAGATGGGCTTCGGCACGAGCGTCTCATCCCTTCTCGAGACCTACGATAACTGCATATCGCTTCTGAAAGCTTTTAAACGGCGGGACAAGCAAGATGGCAGCCGCAAGGCCGCAAAGTCAAGCGACCAGCAAGCGTTGCTGAAACGTTCACTGAAGACAGACCGCAAGAGAGTCGAGCGGGCCTATTCATCTCGGATATCTGAGTCTGGAGATCGATTCGAGAAAGGCGACAGCAAGGCGCTCTCCGCCCTGGGCCGGGTCATCCAGAAGCTCAATGCGGCTATCGCCAACCTGATACGGACGGCCAGCAAGAGCCATGGTCCAGGCTTAGACTATCAGTCTCTGATGTCGTTGTCCAACACGTCCCGGTTACAGGCTATCAAGACTTTTGACCAGCTCTCGCGCCGGCTGGACAGCAAGTCGTCGCGGAGCTCGGTTGCCTCAACCGCATCTTCGAAATCGTCGCGGACGTCGAAGTCCTACAGCAGCAAAGCTTCGAAATCAACGAGCTCGTCCAAGTCGAGCGGCGCCTCTAAATCCAGTGACAGCGGGAGGAAGCATAAGAAGACCAAGACGTCAAGGAAACACGGTCAACCCGATCGTAAGGAAACGAGGAGAAGAGGCACAGAGCGGGTGGGAGAGAGGCCATTGCGCCTGGAGATGAGCATCGCGACACCGCTACTGGACTCAATGGACCACAGCTTCGAGCACAGCGCCAGAAGCTCTCTCAGGCGACGGCCCAGTTTCGCGAATCGGTTCTCGCTTATATCGATGTCCTCGGACAGCACGAGGCTGGGGGAGATCCCAGAGAGGAAGTGGGCGCATCGTCGACACGACAATCCAGTCGGTGGCTTGGACGAGTACAATACCCCGGTCATGTATCCAGTTCGACCGTACCAGCCGCAGGTCAAGGAGAGGAGGTTCTTGGGGCTTTTCAGGCGCGGGCCAACCTCGAGCGAGTATTGAAAGGCAGATAGGGGATAGAGATCCTGTTGGAATAGCTTTCACGTGATAGCTGAGCTTACTTCTGCGCCACCGGTGTTGGTGATCGATCAGACCTGTGGCAAGTCGCCGACGAAGAGGATGATGATGAAAGGGACTGTCCGTCCGTAGCACATCGATTCCGAATGGATCTGGCTTTTGACGACGAGCTGGCGAGGCGCCATACGTGATTTACGGTCTCTCCTCTTCCGATGCTCACGTATTTGGGCGCGGGTACAAGTTGTTCGTTGTCCCAATCTCGTGTATTCAATGCCGGCATGCATGAGCTTGATTGACGAGGATGCAATCACGCAGTCGCACCGCGTCGGGGGCTCAGGCAAAGGTTGTATACAGAGGACAATGTTGAAAACATAATTAAAGCAGGTACAGTATCCAAAAACACGAGTTATTCATTTTGTAAGCCGTTGAGGCTCGTCCGATCCCCTGATCCCCTGGTCCGAATTGTCGCTGCTGCAGTGGTAGACTAAGAAGGAGCTCGAGCTTCCAGGGTTACCCCTTCCCCACAAATCAAGGTGCTGTGGAAATTTCAAGTGGGGAAAGAACACCTCGCGAGCTTCCATTCCAAGCTTCCCTCCCACGGCGCACACCACACCCCGAATTGCCCCTCCATTCCGCCAACGACGTCGCGTGCCGCACACCGTACAAGACCGCACACACGCACGTCCGAAGCTTGGGAGAGGCTCGGCATCTTCGTTTTTAGCCATTGGATACTGTGACAGCGCATTCCTAGGCCATGCGCACGATATAGGCTACTTCCTGCTCATCGACTTAACACCGTCACTACTGCCTGCCCACCTTCTTCCACCATGGCCGCATCCTTGACATCTCTGCTCGCGCGCGCCAGCATAGACGACCACTCCGAGGCCCTCTCGATCGCTGACGCCGCCCTTGCATCGTCCAAGTCCGACCTGACTGCCCAGCACACCAAGGTCGTCGCCCTGCTGCGGCTCGATCAGTATGACGATGCCCTCCGCGTCATCGCCGCCGCCGGGAGCGCCCTCGAGGACCGCTGCATTCTTGAGAAGACATATGCCCTGTACAAGACGGGTGCCCTGGACGATGCCGCTTCCTTGCTCGAGGGCCGCGATCTCTCCAACGCCGAGCGACCACTGAAGCACGTCGCTGCGCAGATCGCCTATAGAACCGAGCGATTCAGCCAGGCTGCCGAGCTGTACTCGCTGCTGAGGGAGGATGACAGCACCGCGGTACTAGGCGAGGACACAGACCTCGTCATCAACCAGCTGGCCACGCATGCGCAGCTTGAATGGCAGGGCCGGGGGGACTTGGTGCCGGACAAGAGCAAGCAGCCCAAGAGGGAGGACATGGAAGCCTTCGAGACTGCGTACAATGCTGGGTGTGGCTGCGTCGCGAGGGGGGACTTGGCAAAGGCATCAATCCTGCTCAAGAGGGCTGCTGATCTCTGCGACGCAGCAGAGGACCTGAGCGAGGAGGACAAGAAGACTGAGTTGCTGCCCATCAAACTGCAGCAGGCTTATGTATTTTCGCTACTGGGCAAGACGGAAGAGGCGGCAGCTCTACAAAAGGAAATCGAGGGCTACGAGTAAGTCTTCGAGAAAGACCTAGTCGGGAGCGCGTGCTGACCACCGTGGCAGAACCTCTGATCTGTCCATCAAAGCTGCAGCGGGTTGGAACTCGCTGATTGCGAAGTCCCTTGCTAACCAGTACATGGTTCAAAGACTCTCTGAGCTGGTACCTGAAGCAATGGTCGGCAACGACAGACTCTTCAACCACCAAGCCGTGGGCGTGACGCGCAACCAGCACGCAAATGCATTGCAATGTTACAAGCAGAACGAGGTAAAGGACAAGACCGCCGGGCTCCTGAAAGAAGACTCTGTACCTTCGATAGATCTGGATCGGGTATACGCTGGATACTTCAACGCAGCAGCGCAAGCCAAGTGTCAAACAGATAAAGCTGCGTTGAAGAAGATCCTCGCTGTTCTCGAGAAGCGACCCTACGACGTCGGCCTTCTGCTCACAGTCATACATCTCTACATCCAAGCCAAGAACTACGACAGCGCAATCGACGTGCTCCAGAAATTCTTCAAGTACGTCGAATCGGCAGGCACTGCCGACCACGAGGATGTGAGGTACGCACCGGGGCTTGTTGCTCTAGCCGTAGCTCTCTACCGCACGCAGAATCGCCGGAAAGACATTCGGAATGAGTTGGGCCGGGCGGCAGCATATTGGCAGAAGATACCCAAGAACTCCTCCACGACTCTGCTCCGCGAAGCAGGAATAGAGCTCCTCCACTCATCCAAGCCATCCGACCTTGCGACTGCTGGTGCCGCTTTTGAGCGCATGGTCGATCAGGATGCAGAGGATAGGATTGCGCAGGCAGGACTCGTCGCGTCGTTCGCGACGACCGACTACTCCAAGGTTGAACCACACCTCTCATCGCTGAGCTCTGTCGAGGAACTTACCTCCGGAATCGACGTTTCCGCCCTTCTTGATGCTGGAGTGCCCAGCTTTGCTGCCCCCCAACAGCCATCCAAGAAGCGAAAAGCCAACGAAGTCGAAGCTGGGACCGGAGCACAACCATCATCTGACAAGCCGAAGAAAAAGCCCCGTCTGGGCAAGAATTACGATCCTAACGTCAAGCCTGATCCGGAGCGGTGGCTGCCCATGCGTGATCGGTCATACTACAAGCCCAAGGGCAGGAAGGGCAAGAAGCGGGCCGCTGAGTCGACACAGGGTGGCGCGGTCGCCAACGAGGCCGAGACGCTGAACCTTGCTGGTGGTGCTGGACAGATCAAAGTCGAAAAGGCGCCTCAGGGAGGCGGTGGTGGCGGGAAGAAGGGCAAGAAGGGAAGGAAGGGCTAGAAGTCTCGGACTACATTTTAAGCCTCTTCTTTGACCAAAAGATGAATGCATCTGCAAGATCTGCCAGATCTAGCGCATGTAGACAAGCTGTGTCTCGGGGTAGCCTCCCCCAACTGCGCATATCAAGTCCCAAGTCGCAGACCACCCTTGCAAGTAATTGTGACAGCGTCCCTTTGCGACAGAGGAGGCTAAACCAGCGCAACTATGTGCATAGGAATACTGCGGTAGCAATCGGTCATGGCGGACAAGATAATAGAAGACTACGGGTGACATCTCGCCCGACATTGCTCTTAATTAATTTGGACTTGGCAGTTAGTATTCGTGCCAACCGGACCTTCCGAAAATCTAATTCCTACGAAGAGAAGTCGCTCTTCATTGCATCTGAAAATGACAACGCTGTTCTGGGCCAGCCTCTGAGAAAAGAGGGGGGGGGGGGAATAGTTACGACTTTGCGCACTCGAGCTGGGCCACGTTGTACACTTCTCGATAGCCCGCTCCACACGCCACAGAGTAATGAAACGGGACGGGCGGCATCGTTCTATCCAAGACTGAGGGCGACTTCTGTCCGGTCCGGGATTAGGAAGGTCTCGCGTTCTAGTCTGAGAAGCGAAGAGTACAACCAAAGTATTTCTGGTGCAGAAGCCATGAGGCCCCACATCAAGAAAGCTTGCACACTCTGTGACGTTAAGCAATGGCCCATGCACGGAATCCGGTGCTGGGAGATAATCATGATTCCGAGGCTGACGGATGTGCTTTGGAGGCGGGCAGAAGCAGAATTATACACAGATAATACTGTGGCAGTGAGTCAGGAGGGCGTCAAAGAACCATCACGCCCCAACACCTCAGATTGGATGACATGGTACGAAGCCTGGACACAAAGTGCATATGAGTTTGATTCAAGACGGGCATCCTGGCCCATGTGTACGTGACCCTCCCAGGCCGCAGAGATCCCCCCGGAGAGCCGGCGAGTGAGCAGATGCTTGATATCGAAATGTCCCATTCAATTCCCCCCCCCCCCTTTCCACCGGTGTCTTCTGTCTTGGGTATGGCTGGAGGAGTAGCAACCCATCCATCAACAACTAAAGGTGGGCCTGCAACCCAGGCCTGGTCCAACAGGCGCCCTGTCTTCTCCATCTGGATAGATGAGGCAATTGATATAGAGGAAGAGAGAAGGAGAAGATAAAATAAAAGTAAAACATGCCACTTCGGTGGCTTCCTTGCTGTCTGGTGCTTCCTTGCCCCTTTCCAACCCGCTTTTGCGGACAAGTCCTTTTTTTCAATCAAGTCAAAACAGGGATGAGACACGTGTGGGTGGATGTAGGATCAATACTCTCTGTCTCTCTCTGTCTCTGGGCCTTCCAATTCAGTGTGCATTTCAGATGCCCAGCCTGATCCGTAAAGCCAACTGTCCACAAACAGTGCAAGGGTCTTGTTGAAATGTGGTGGTTGTGATGGTGGTGCTGGTGGTATCAAGTCTCGCCCTTTATTCCGTTCCCTCGTTCCTTTGTCTATGTACATAAATACAGATGATGTCTGTCATCGGAGAAAACAAAAGACTGAAGGATCCGGGCCAAGTCTGCGGTCACCCCAATCTTTCGGCGTTGAAGTTGATTATTAAGTAGTATCGTAGACAGAATGAAATCGTATCGTCATGACCTCTCACCTATCCTGCGATCGATTCGCTAATGCTGTAATAGGTGGGATGCGACTCGCTAGCAAGTCGCTATGGTCAAACAAGCACGGAAACAGCCGGGTTTACTTCCCCTTGGCCGCTCTCCTTGGCGTCGTTTTGATCCTCACCCGAGTCCTCCTTCACACTGCCGGCGGATGGGGATGCTGGTGGCTCTGGGGTGAAGAACAAAGTCTCCCTCGTCTTGTTCATCGTTGCGCTCTTGAACTCCGAGTCTTCACCGTCGGCATTGTCTCCCGGGCCACTATGCTCTTCCTCTTCCTTCAGCTCTTCGACATGCTCCGGTAGCAAAGGGCTGCGTCTACCATCGGAGAAGCTCAGAGCCGGGTCACTTTCGCCGTCTGAAGGGACAGTGAGGTTGCCGCCCGAGGAGGACGCCTTGGCCGCCTGTGCCGAGCTATACTTCCTGTGCAGATCTCTGAAGCTCCTGGCCGTCGCCGTGCTGGTACTGGCTGCCGACGATCGCCGCTTCGTGGCACTCTTCGGGCCTGAAAGCAGGAAAACCCGGAAATCACCATCGCCGCTTCCGCTTCCGCTTCCGCTGCCGCTGCCAGCGGCCACATTCATTGCCTCGGCGCTGTCGCTGTGGGCGACGCTGCCCTCCACATGCGACGCCTTACGCGCGCGAAGATGCTCGTCGGGCGACAGACTGCTCTGGAGCTCAGATCCAAAGGTGATGACCGAGGCTTTCTTTCCATGCACCACAAAAGAACCGGACCCACGAGTAAGCATCTCGGACTCGTTATCATCCATCGAGCCACTCGTGGCAGGCTCTTTGCCCTTCCGGCTCCGCGCATGAGACAAGTGGCCCGCACCCTCCCTCAGAGTACGTTGCAGACTCCGGCGGATTTTGTTCTTATCAGCTTTGTCCATGGAATTGCTGTGAGGCGTATGCTCCTGCCGCTCAGGTGTGGCATCGAGATCAATGGTTCTTGTCTGTTCGATTGCCTCGGGGCTTCGCGTGACCTCCGCACCGAGCAGACCTGCCTGTTCCAGGAGTTCACGTTCGCGTGCGTCTGGTTCATGGTGATCCTCGCCATCATCAGGGACAGCGGCCTCCTCATCAACCTTGGAGTTCGTGTTGATGGCCGTTCGAGGTGGGGTAGAAGGGACAGATACGTGGGATGAGACCGCGCTTGACACAGAAGCCTTCCTCATGCTGGTTCGATCAAAGTTCAGGGCGGGCAGTTCCCAAGAGTTCTGGTGTTTGTGGAACGAAGACGCGGCTGCGCTCGTTGGCGGTGTCTGGAAAGCCTCGCCCTGGCCTGACTCAGCGTCTGACACTGCACCTTCTGCTTGGCTGCGCTGAGAGTTGGTCGGTATGGCAGTCAGAGGGCTCGGCATCACCGTGCCGCTGCTAGTCTTCGAGATCTCCCGGCCTAGGGCGGGCTTCTCGGGACTGCTGATGGCTTCTGACATTGGGCCCGGAGGGAGCCCTAGCATCTGCCGCTCTTCTTCGAGATCCATGAGGAGAATATCGCGATGGCACTTGATTTTGCAGATCTCGACCCTTGTCCATTTGAGCTGTGCTGCCATGCGCCCGGCTGCCATGAGCATTTGGTCTCGTGTCTTCGGCTGGACAGGGGCCAGTAATTGAAGGTGGCGGGCATTCCTCAGCGCTTGCTCAAGTTTCTTCTCCTCGTGTTGAAGCTTCTCATTGGCTTCAGCAACCTTGTGAAAGATAATTTCGCGGCGTGCAAACAGAATGTCATGAGCCATCTGTTGGTCAACTTTCGAGCGCGCAATCGTCACTTCACCACTGGCCGTTTGAACCGCATCGGTATCCAGCCTCCTGAAAGCTCTTCGCCCTTGGCCATCGTAGTTGCTGCCCAGAACGCCTCTCATGCGTACCCCGTTTGTCTTGAATGCGGCCGCATAATTCAATTTCGCCAACCAGTCGTTCATCTCATCTTCGTTGTCGGCAAGCAAGACCTCTTCGAGTCCTCCTTGTCTCACATACACGAATGCATGCTTATGCTTCTTGTATGTCGCATCCAACAGCGAGACTGCGCCGTCAGTGGACATCAGGGCGTCCGGCTTGAAAGTCTCCAGTGGCGGCTTGAATATGATCGGCATGGCATCGTGGCCTTGCTTGACATGGGCGTCATATTGGTGCATGAGGTTTTTGACCCAGGCTGTGTTGCGAAAGAAATACAGCTGCGCCCCAGTGAGAATAGCACCCCATTCTTGCCACGGTGATCTCGTCTTTTTCTTCTTCACGTCCTTGCGCCACAGGAGACCCACTTTCGTGACCTTTATGTCAACGACGCCGGGCTGGGCCTCCTGGGGGTTTGTAGCGGTCTTCTCGGTCATGAAGGCATCAGGACGGGACCTTGCTGACACGATCTGCAGAATCCCAGTCCTGAAGAAGGTCCTCTGCAGTTCCTTTAGGTTTAAGCTCTGGGCCGTCCCAAGGTAACTGAAGTGATCATCCAGGTACATCACGTCCTTCAAATTTGGCCGCAGAATGTCAAGTCTGTTGTCCAAAATGATGGTATAGGGATCAATGGGCTCCTTGGCGGCTCGTTTGCTTGCGGCATCTGGCGCGTTAGCATTGGGCAATATGGATTTCTTTTTGGAGACCTTGTGGGCAGTCATTCGGTCTCCATTCATGTCCAAATCGTCCTCGACGTGGATGAAAGGCGTGTAGGTGATGTTGTCGTAGAAGACCTCGAGGATTTCGTCGAAGATTCCTTCCCCCTTGGTATTCTTGATATAGTCGGGTTTCTGCATTTTGTGTTTGTTGTTCTTGTTGAAAACGTCGGTATGCAGTATCAAAATCGAAAAGGCTATGAAATACGCCTGGTCCGGGTTTGCATAAATCCCGGGGTTGCATTCATGATAGCGGTTTGCGAAAGCTTGCAGGAAACGATCAATGTGCTGCGTCTCCTTAGGTAGCTCCGCGGACATCAACAGCTTCCTTATAGCCATGTCCATGGGGTCACCGAAGAAGCCAAACCTTCGCATGTAGCTCCGAAGGACAGCGAGGGAGAAGGCGTCCGAGCTTTTTGAAATCGCCGCAGCTATGACGCTACGACTTGCGACCTCCTCCAGGCGCTCGAGATATCTCCCAGGGTTCTCGTCCTCCCGGCGTTCAGGCAAGACGACAGATTCTCTCTGAATATTGAGCGAGTTATCCTTGGAAGTGTTGGACCCCGGTGTGGCAGGTGTGCCCGTTCCTTGACGCAGAGACTCTGGGTTATTCCGTAACCGACTGATTCCTAGGAGGTCACCGAAGCTTTTGCGACCAGTGGAAGTGGATGCTCGTGGGAATGACGGTGCCAGACGCTCGTCCACGGACTCCCGTCCCAGTGAACTCATAGTCGACGACCTCCCTCGCAAGTTCATTTGTGATCTTGTTGGAGAAGAAGCACCACTGTTCGTAGATTTTGGCCGGAAGAGAGCTGTCGCTGGTGAAGCATGCGACTTCTGAAACAAAGCCCTCGCAGGCGACGGTCCTGGAGGTGTGGTGACGCCGTTCCCACCGTTCGGGCCTCGGGCGACAGGGGTCTGCTGGGCCCCATTTCCAGAAGCGGCAGACGAAGTACTCGCGCGCACAGGAGTCGAGGGTACCAGCGATGGGTTTGAGTTGGCATTGTGTTCATGGCTGCGGTTCTTCTGGAGATGCGCTATGGGAAACATAGGCTCAGGCTGTTTTGGTTTTCGCCGTGGAAGCCGAAAGAAATTGGTCGTATTCGAGCCGGTAGACGCATTGGGGGCAGTGTTGCCGCGTATACGGTCTGAGCTGTCTTCGGACCTTGAGGACTCAGACAACCTTGTCCCAGGGAGTGGAAGCGGAGGGTGCTGAACGGCGCCATTGGTCAATGGTGCGTTTGACGATTTTGGTCGCTTTGGTTCCTCTATACTTATAGACATTTTGCCGTTGGAGGACACGCCTGGTAGGAAGGATTTTCGCCTGTCTTTCTTGCTAAGTCCCTGAGTCGAAGGCCGCTGTTGTGGTTGTTGTTGTTGTTGTTGCTGCTGTTGCTGCTGCTGCTGCTGCTGCTGATCGACCCGCATCTCCTCTCCAGAACGCCTGAGACGACCAAACATGCGAGATGGTTTCCTAGGGACGGCACCAAACTCGACTGTCGGGGCGGTGGTTATGATCTCCGGGGGTGCTGTGATGTCTCTGTTAGCCATGGCTCTGTGGGCTCCTCCGGTGAGGACTTTGAGGGATGAGGTGCAACGTACGCCGTGGCACAGGGGGCGCGGACTCGTCAATATGGGCCTGCTTCTTGGCCCTGGCCGACAGCTGGGAGTCGGAGGCATTGCGAAACCTCAACATGGAGAAGCGGCGGTGTTTTGGTGTCTCGTCTTGGATCGGCGGCGAGTCGGGACGGTCTATGGGGTCTCGAGGAGGGACGGAGAGGGCGTTCTCGGCGGCGGCGGAAGACGAGGGACTGTCGTGCGGAGGGGTGACAGGAGGAGCAGGTATGGCAGGAGTCGAGCCATTAGCAGGAGCGGCGTCAGCGTCAGCTGAGGTGTGGGAGTCGAAGCGCAACAACTGTAGTTGAGGCAGTTCGACGTTTGAGGTGGTGGACCTCAAGGGCGGTTCTTTGGGGTCCTGGACCTGATCTGGGTCGAGGGCTGAGCGGCGCAACTCAGACTCGCTGGCCGGAGTTCCACGCTTGGTGCGAAGAAAGGGCATAGTGTGAGTTGGCGAGGATCACCATAGCTTCAGTTTGGAGAAGGAATGGACGGCAAGGACACTATGCGGTTCTGTCAGCCATAACCGTTGGGCAATGGTAGCTGGATCGAAGAGTGCGGCGGCAGAGGTTCGAATTGGAGGGATGGTGGTTGGTGGCGGCCGGCCCAGAGAGGCAGTGCAGTGCAGGAAGGACAAACAGAGCTCGCAGGATTGAGATGGAGCGGCCTGGTGTTGTCGAGAAAAGTCGCGGGCTGCAGGGCGGGAGGACTGACGAGAGGATTACGCCAGAGCTGTCTCCTGTGGCTCCGTGGCTCCGCGGCTCCGTCGAGACAAAGTCAAGCAGGCTGGCAGGCAGTCAGGAAGGCTGGTAGGTCAGGCCCAGGTTTAGGTCCACGTCCAGGTCTCGCAGGTCTCGGTCTACCCAGGTCGGTCTCAAGCCAAGGCGGTCGTCCAGCTGGGAGCGGGATGGGAGACGGAGGGTTGGGAGATTGGGATGTCGGAGTTGGCTGGAGGTAGGAGGCTGGATGCTGGCAGCTGGAGGGGTTTGCCGTCGCTGCTGCGGTCGACTCGATGCGCCCGGGGATGCAATGCAGGTAGGTTGCAACCTGCAAGGCGAGTCGGCTCCTGGAAGCAAGGTCTCCCGTGAGTGCTCTGGGATCGATCAATGCTGAAGTGGCCGGCGTGCCGTGACAGCCTTGCTCTCTGTCTCTCTGTCTCTCTGTCTCTCTGTCTCTCTTTCTCCCTGCAAGCGGGCGCAGGACAAGCCAGCCCTGGACAAGCAGGGCAGGAGACAGGGAATAGGGGATGGCCGCTGTTGACGGTGTACCGGGCTAGCACTGGGCCCCAAAGGTGCTAAGGCATGTGCCTGGCTGCCAAAGTACGGGAAGCGGGTCGGCTTCTGCCAATTCCCTTCTCTCCACTTTCGAGCCACTTCGAGATGACCGGCATGGCATTCAATCCCCACAATCTTCTTTTCCTTCCTGTTCAGCTGCAGCCATTTTGAACCGCCCCAGCACCAACGTAACATTGGAAATTTCCCCTTGCGGTCGAGCTCGCCCCCAGACGCATACGGATTACACGCAACCACACACGCGCACCACGCACGGGGCACTGCATGCTCACGTACGATGTCCGCCCAGAGATCCCAACTCGCGCCAGGCCGACAGAGCGTGAGCTCGACGGAGGATTGCACTGGCGCCAGGAGACGACAGGGACCGAGATGAGCCCTCGATGATCAAGCTGTCTGTCTGTCTGCCCGCCACTCCGGTGTGAGCTGCTGCTGGGATTTGGAATCGTCCTGCCAGTCTTTTGCCCAAGGTGTCAGTCCGCCTCAGCCTCTTACACGACTTGGGACGAGTTTGATATCTCCACTCGAATCCTACAGTAGGCATGCATGTGCAGCACGACAAGCTCAGAGTTAAATCTCTTGAGCACATGTTGACGGAAGCTAATTGATTCATCTCACGCCTTATTGTTGCACCAGCACCACTCCAATGAGGCTGCCCATATCTATTATCCACGGCACCAACGGGCGTCCCAAGGTTTGTGCTAGAAGTGTGTCAACCATGTAAATCCCATTCTCTGCACCCTGGCCGTCATGTGCTGCTGCCGCTACTGCTGCTATGCAAAGCTGGACAAGTCCACGCAATTGGCAGGGGGGTGTTCCCTTGTGAACTCGCCCGCCCGTGCCTGCCATTGGTCGAGCCCGCGAGTACCGTACCTGGGTAGCTATCCTTGGGTGTGTGGCTATGCTTTCAAGTCCAAGCTTCCATTGAAGGAGGAGCCAGGTTGAGGTGACGGACGCGGGAGAAGCAGCCTCTCCCGTGGGCCGACTGACGCCAAGCGCCCAAAGCAGGTGCCTGGGCAGGTAGTCTAGTCCAATGCTATCAAGGTGGTGGGTGGGACAATGCCATCCCACGGATGGCATCCTGTCTGTACAAGGCAACATCATCGTGACTGCCGTTACAACGACCTCAGCATTGTGCAAAAGCCGACCCGACCCGCGCCAGCTGCATCAGCTGTTGTCTTCGGATGCTGGGCCGCTCTGCACGGTGGTAGCCGCTACGAGCCGCGACGCAATCGGTTGCCACTCTCAACGCACGCTTTTTGGAGACCGAGGACCCGCGCCTAACTAACCGTGCTGCCGTATCGTCAATCCCAACGTGCGTCGCAGCATAGCCGCTCCCCGAGCGCTACATCACCACCTCGTCTGGCGCATGTCTCGCACGACCCTGCGACGATAAGATGCAACTCCCGTCCGCCTTCCTCTTCCCACTCCTCCTCGCCCCTTCCGCTCCCGCCATCGCCGCCGCCGCCGCCGCCGCCGCAGCACACGGCCACCACAATCACCCACACCCAGACCGATCCGTCTTTCCATGGTTGACATGGCTTCGCGATAGCGCCGTCCAGATGGTCTTCGGCCGGCCCGCCTCAAAAGACTTCGAGCAACGCATACCAAACCTGGGCCGGAAATATCAGGATGAGGTCATCCTCCGTGTCAACATCACCACCGCCGAGGAGGAGGCCGCGTTGGCAAAGGCGACCGAGCGCCTGTTCCTGGACATATGGTCGTGGGACGGCACGGTCGACTTGAGGGTCCAGAAGAACTACGTCAAATCGCTGCTCGGCCTGCTGCCGCCGTCCCTGGGCAGCTCGTACTGGGTCATGGTCGACGATCTGCCATCTGCCGTGTACGCCTCCTACCCTTCGCCCTCAACACCGAAGGAGCAGTCCCAATTCGAGCGCAGGTTCAGCGTGGACCTGATGAGGCCTCAGCCCCCCAACAATGGCGATGAGGGCCTCTATTTCTTCCGCAACTACCAGCCCCACAAGGTCGTCATACGGTGGATGCGTCTGATCGAGGTTATGTTCCCTTCCTTTGTGCGCTACACCACCATAGGGCAGACCTACGAGGGCCGCGACATCCCCGCGCTGGTGGTTGGCCCCGGCTTCAGCAACCAGGGGCAGCCTCGCAGGACTCTGGTCATCATGGGTGGCTCCCACGCCCGTGAATGGATCTCCACGACGACGGTCAACTATCTCGCCTGGGCCCTCATCACTAGCTACGGCAAGGACCCGCTGATCACCAAGTTTCTCAACAAGTTCGACGTCGTGTTCATCCCTGAGCTGAATCCGGACGGCATTGAGTACACGTGGAGCGCCGACCGACTATGGAGGAAGTCTCGCCAGCACACGAGCCTGCAGTTCTGCCGCGGATTGGACCCTCGACCACGCATTTGGCTACCAGTGGGACGGGTCCGGAGTGCACCAGAACGACCCCTGTTCAGAGAGCGTATGTCCTCTTCACTTTGAATACCCCGAGTCTTCCATTGCTTGTCAGATTCGAGCTCCCAGGCGATAAGAATCTTTCAGGACGCTGACATGATAGCTTGTGGCGGGTTCGCTGACAATTGATTCGATAGTACGGCGGTGATGAACCTTGGGAGTCAGTTGAAGTCTCCGCGCTTCGCGACTGGGCGAAGGTCCAGGTCGAAGAAAACAATGTCGACTTTGTTGGCCTGGTGGATCTGCATTCTTACTCCCAGCAGATCCTTTTCCCTTATGCTTATACCTGCGGCGTCGAGCCGCCGAACATTGAGAAGATGGAAGAGCTCGCCCTTGGGCTGGCCAAGTCCATCAGGCTGTTCTCTGGCGAGAGCTATTCCGTCAAGGCCGCCTGCAGGGGCGCGGTGACAGATTCGAACACGGAGAAGGCCCTTAGGATAGAGCCTACCGGAGGCTCCGCTATCGACTGGTTCTACCACGAGCTGGGTGCTCATTATAGTTACCAGATCAAGCTGCGGGATACGGGCAGCTATGGATTCTTGCTGCCCAGTGATCAGATTATTCCAACCGGGGTATGTACCTCTCCCAACTCCAAAGAAGCAGTCTCTTTTCACATTCTTTCCCATTGTCACCAATATCGAGTCCTCGTCCCGGCTCGTCCCGCACGACGTTTGCTGTTTCGGGAATGATGTTGCAATATTTGCGCGATTATTTCTTCGTGCTACTCTTTATTCTCACAGACATGGCTGACTTTGTTGCAACAGGAGGAGATTCTGCATTCGATCAAGTACCTGGGAGACTTCTTGCTCGGTAATGATGGCATCGAGAATTTGCAGGCCCACCCTGAAGCAGCGGCTGAGTCCGACGAGGAACTTCTCGCCGGCTCGGAAGCTTACGATGACATTACGGAGCTGAAGAAGCGCCGCCGCAGGAGATAGGGGCTGAGCGCCGATTCCCACAGATAATTCCTTGCTCGATCTTGTCCTTGTATTTGTTAGTGGCGTTTTGTTGGTGTTGATGGGACGGCAGGAACGGCTCCAGGGGCATTCGTTCAGTATCGCACGCGTGTTATGACTGAATGTGAAAAGCATGATATTTTGGGTAGGCCTAGCGAAATAGCAATGTTCACTGCTTTGAGAAAGTCATGATAGTCATTCGCGCCCAATTGTCAACTGTGACAACGTGAACTCAATTCGGTCAGTCTCTAATCCTAGACAAATAACAGCCCTTCAACATGGCCTCCTCGTGCGACATTCTTGTATTTGCCTTGCGGTAGTGGGAGCTTTCACGGGTTGCCCACCCAAGTCATTCTCACTCGACATTGTGTCAATCTTAAACGTCTTTTGCATCGCATCCGATTCCAACAAGCATAGCCACGTGTAAATACCCCAGATGAGACGGCGGTTGAGTTGCTGATATCGCGGGGGTACTATCTGTCTACTATAGTACAGTGAAGGCACAACAATCCTCCCACATGGTCCTCACGACCCACAACACGTCCAGTTCTTGAAGCTCTCCCTTAGGCCCCCCGTACCATTTGCACGCTCGTGTAGCAAGCGGTAAGCGCCAGGCTCACGCCAAACAAGTAGTGGCCGGCGGAGCCCCTAGGAAAACTGGGTCAGTCTCAGGTTTTGGGAGGTAAGGCAGAAGTCAAAGGGAAGGTTCGAGAGATTGCTACTTACGCCACCCTCCCCTTGGGCCCGTTAGACGTGTCTGATAGACACTCAAGAGTCAGTAAATTGCCAATTGGGGGAACACACGAGCCGCCGTCTTCGTCCAGAAAAGGCGTTTGCTGTAGATGACCACCACCGTCACTTACAGCCGGCAGTGTACACGATTCGGGAGACCAGCCACCCCGCCCCCAGCACGGCGGCCTGCAGAGGGTATCTTGTACCCGCGATCAGCAGCGTGGCCATGAAGGGCGTCAGGTTCTCGGTGAAGTTGGCATGAGCACGCTGGGCTATCATGCGAACACTGTCAGTCTTCCATATTCTCCAGTTGTGGTGGGTACACAGAAGAGGGCATGACTTGCCGCAGTTTAGCTGGAACGCAGCGGGGCTCGCCTTCGCCTGCTCGTCCGTCGCGTACGTGTTAGGGTAGCCGATGCCCTGTATACCACGCAAAGAGGAAGTGTCAGCGAACGGTTGCGCCTGGCTGGTTTAGTGCTCACCGGTGGCTTCTTGGGGGAGTAACACTGTGGGCTAGGGACGGCCCGCTGGCGGTGGATCGCTTGAGCGTTGAATTGAGGCTACATACACTAGCCTTCCTGGCCTTCACGGTTTGGGAGCCATGCCAGATGTTGACGAACACGGTCGACGCCGCGGCGAGGAGGACGTATCTTTGGGCGCAGCGTCAGTCAGTGTTCATGAACTCGCCACCGGATCTGTCTCGGCTCACCCGTAGTTGTTGGAGATCTCAAGCACAACCATTTTGGCGGACGTTCACGTTGATCAACTTGGGAGAATTTCGGGATGGAAATTTAGAGTTTATGCTTGAACAGTCGCCGACTTTTATTCTGATTATTCTTCTTCGCTGGGAAAAGTAGAATCCGCCCTAAGGGAAAGGTTTGCCGCCAGCGGGCGGAACCCAGGGAGGTAGTGGATGACATAACCGCTTTAAACTCGTTCCCACGGACCATAGAACCCTGACGTTAGAGCCGTCTCGGCCAGGTGTTTCGTCCGGTTGCGGCTCTGAGGAAGAAGCCAGGTTGCCCTCACGATGCCGGCTGGGTCCCAGTAGCAAATCCTCAACCCAGCAAAGTCCCCGAGGGACGGTGCTCGACCAATCAATCTATCCGATTTGTGGTACCTGGTACAATGGCTGATGTGATCAGCCAGCGCAAATGGCACCGAGTGCCGACGGGGTTGAGCCGAGTTGCGGGGACGGGGTTCAACGTCGAGTCACCTCCCTTTCCGTGACTTGGGTCATCGTGTTGAAGGCTTGCCAAATGGCTGGCCGCTTTGATCACGATGGCTGCATCGTCAAAGGTGGGTGTCCAGGGGGGACAAAAAAGGAAAGCGACAGCAGCTAGTATTTATTACCATGTAATGCTCTTCAGCGGGTGCCGGGGCCTCCGGATCACCAACGGTTTAGCTTGAAGGCACGTCAAATCCGCCAGGAAAGGCGCAACTTCATACAAAGTGATTTCATTGGTGAAGTCAACACACAGCATAATGTTGTTGGTTTGGATAGTTGAGTAGTCAGTCTAGTACTTTCTCGCAACGAGAAGCTGCTCGATGTACTTCGTCGCATGCACGAGGATGCACATCCTGAAAGCTGAAATGGAATATCTCACCCAGTATTGAAATGCACAGGATTTCTTCATCAGGCATTCTTCACACTCGCTTTCATTTGCTCTCTGGCGGTTATTCTGGTCCGAGGGCTGATGTTAGCGAATGCGAAGACTGCCTGATGAAGATACCCTGTACATTTTTCAACATATTATAAGAACAGGTCCTGGACACCTGGAGCTGCTTGAACACCATTTCATCCGGTGCACCTCTCCGCTGGAGCTCTGAATACCAGTCCCAGTCCCTCAAATACCCTCTTCTCTGCCTCCTCCATGGTTGCTGGCGGTCCTTTTCCGCCGTCTTCTAGGTCCACCCAGTCGTATGGGGGCTTGCGGGACCTGATGCCGCTGCTGTCGAACTTGAGGTTTCTCTCGTACTTGCAGTACCTTCGAAGGTCGCGTTGAAATGTTGTTTCCGAAGACCAGCCCAAGACCGCACAGCCGACGGTCTTCCATGGACTGATGAGAATGTCTACTCTGCGATGGGGATTTGGATTCGTGGATGCGGCCGCAGTAGGTTCGTATCGAGGATCCTGCCAGACCACAAGAGCCTTGTCAAGCGTGTCGAACCCTGCGCCCCCGGATGGTGATGGCTTGAAACTTGTAGGCCGCTGGCCTCGCTCACTGTTGTGGGTACTCAAGGTGAGCGTGTGGGCTGAGAGTCCATGGCTCGTTAGAGTCTCGAGGAAATGTTCAGATGATGGAGTGGCTACTCACTGATAAACTTGTCGTTTTCCAGGCTGACGACCAACTTGTCGATGAAGCTATGTGTGACTTCCTCATCCCGATGGCTCAACATGATGTCGACGTCACCGCCCATCAATTTGCCTCTGCGGTATCCTCCGACTATGGTCATCTGGAAGCCTTCGTGGATCCTGTTCGCATGCTGGAGAACCGTTCCCGCAATGGATTCCGTTTCTCTCCGCGGTATTTTCGTCAGAAATTCCTCGTAGTACTTGACACCGATTTGTTGTGACCGGGTGATTGTGTTCCAACCATACTCAACAATGTCGTCGAGATCCCGCCAGCCTCTCCGATAGAAGCTTTCGGCCGTTACGGCGGAGACCCCAAAGATATTGGTAAAGGTCTTGATGGCCGTCATCTTCTGATCCGAGGCTGCCTTCTGAATCTCAGACAGCTCGCCGGAGTCTTTGAATTCCGAGAACAAGAAAGCGATCTTTCCATCACAGCCCGGCAGTCTTCGCACTTCTAGAATGGTGTCAGCAATTTCCATACTAATGGGAGCCGGATTGAGGAGGCCCACCAACGGGGCTCTGCAGTCGGTAGGGGTACGCTGACAAAGAAGCTATCGCAGTAGAATATGCTCTTATGCCAACCTGATCACCCTTTATGGACCTGAGCTCTCTGACCTCCCTCAACTTCTCAATGAATGCTTCATTTGGTGGATGAACAACTGTTGATCGTTGGCACGCGTAGCTGGTGTGCAAGTACTCGGGGACCGGGGGCAAGTCAGAAATGGCCTTTTCCTCCGATGTAGACTGAGGCAGGAGAGGCGGGACCTTGCGATGGTGCTCTTGTCTATCCCTTCGCCGTCGAGATGGCAGGACTGAGGATGGGGCTCGCTGGTCTCGATGCGGTAGACTGTGTGGCGTAGACGGCTCGACTGCCTTGTACAGCCTTGGCGCTGGGGCTGCTGGTTCTTTGAGAGCCGTGTATACCAGGTAATCTCTGTAGTCTAGCAAGCTGCCTTTCGACAACGAGTCTTGCAGCCAGGCAAGTCGAATGACCTTCCTCGTAGCCGTGGTCGATGTCTTCTGGTCTTGGGTGAGCTCATTGTCGGAGTCTTCGAATGAGCTGCTGCGCAAGGCATAGTCCTCGGTACTGGAGATCTTTCGCCTCTTTGCCCTAGGGGTTGAGTCTGGCTCGCCCACCGAAGATGATGCCTCCTCTGCGGACAGCTTCAATTTCCGCAGCTCAAACTGGGCCCGCAGTCTCTGGGAGACTACCAAATTCAATGTCAACCATCTATTTTTGAGCACAAGGCTAGGCTCTGCGCATTGTACTGGAGCGGGCAACCGCCGAGCGGCTTGTGTGGTATATAATCAATCTCACCCGTTGGGGACTGGGAAGAGCGCGGCTTGAGCAAACGGGGAGGACGTACTCTTTCCAACGATGAAATCCGCTTCGCTAGCGACCTGAGTGACGCGAGCGATACTCGCTACCCTGTCTCCCCACTGGCGCAGCTCATCAGAAGTCAAGTGAGTTGGCAAGAGATAAATTACTGGTGTTGGAGGATCCATCGCATGCGGTGCAAACGGAACTCTTGAGCTGTGGTTGAGAAGTGGAGGGGTCAAGGGTGTATGTACAATCAAACAATCGCGTCAAGCCACCGCGCCTTCCCCCCGGGTGACGACATCATTACCACCAACTATTCATAAACCTCCTTTTTACTACGGGAAGTGACTTTGTATGGAGTATTTTCTTGCGGTTCCACCTTTCAGAAGAATGTACTGTGGGATAAATTCCTTACGGTAGCCTCCTACAGCAGGAGTACCTTGCATGACCTTGTACGTGGTGGCCTCCTTTTGGAACCCCTCAGGAAGTGATCTCCTAAAAATGGCCCGCTGCATAATAAGTTTCAAGGAAAACATGCTTGGGATAATCTCCTGAAAAAGGCCCGTTTGGGGCCGAGCACGATGGGGGTCGAAGATGATGGAAAGATCGAACAGATGGTGGAAAGATCGAACGGTGCAGGAAGAAATGTGCGATTGCTACGAGGGGCAATTTCGCAGCACTGCAGTGGCAACATTTGAATAGCAGAGCGAGTCCCAGGAACTTCTTGTGGATTACAGACCAATGCGATGAGAACAATTAAACTCACTTCTGAGAATTTTAACAAAATAGGACAGGTTGGGATGCACTGCATTGCATCTACATGGACAAATATCATGGTCAATGTGAAATGTGCATTTCATCGCAACATCAATAGGGAATGTCTCTAGAGAACCTAGGTAGTCAAACTGTGTACCAGTGAGTTGTGAGTTGGGATTCCAGCTGCAGCCTTACTGCGCTAACAGGGGCTGATGCCTGTTGCCTGCTTGTGGGTCAAGGCTTTCAATATCCCATTGTCAACCTTGCAGTCTGCAACGTCCATGCTCTCTTCCTTGGTCCTCACGCTACTTTCCTGTCCCATCACACACCTGGGAGGCTCAACCTTCAGTCTTCAATGATTTAGGCCCCTCCCAACACCATTGCGACGATTGTGACGCACCGCGCTCGAGTCGTACATTCCACGCGCCACCGCCTGCTATCATCATGCAACCGTCCTGATCCAAAAGCCCGACGTAGTAGCATCTCGCTGCTACTTCAGCCCTCCCGAGGTCGTTCCACTCCTTGCGGTCGCCTTTTGTCCACCACTTGAAGAAAGGCGACGCCCGCCTCAGCCCTCGAGAATTCCGCCTGACTAGCCGCGCTTCGGAACATCCCTCTCTTCTTCACCAGACCGTCGTCCGGCACAACGGGCTGCTTTGCGCAATGGATTTGGCAAAGCAGCTGGTGCGCTCCTGCGTGCGCGCATTCTACCAGCAGCCCAACTTCGACGTCCGCCACATTCTTGTCATTGACGCCCTGGTCATCCACTCAGCGTATGTTGCGTGCCAGGTCGAGGGAACGCGCGACATCCAACTTGCTAAACCACTGCTCCCAGGCTGCGCGACGATGATCTTGCGTACCTTCTTAGTATGACGGCTTTGAAAGATCTCCACAAGCTCTGCGCGAAGCTCAGGGACGACCGCTTTTTGGCCATGTACGTTTGCCGTTGTGTGGGGGCTCACTTTGTCCTTGGGCTTTCGTAACTGACTTGGTATGTTCGTCTAGACACGTTCGATCAGAGCTCAAGGAAGGATCCGTACGCCCCGTCAACCGAACCTACTACTACATCGACTACCGCCAGACGATCGACTTTATCAAGTGGAGGGTCTACAGGCTGGGCAAGGACATGCAGGTACCCACCGTGCCGGCAAACGAGCGCAAGGAATATGTCTGTCCCAGGTGTAAGGCAGACTACACCCAGCTGGAGGTTCTCGACAACGTGAGCGCCCAGGGCTTCCTGTGCCAGAGGTGCAATCACGTTCTCAATCACGAAGCCGAGAGAACCTCGGCCGGACACGAAAAGGTGACCCGGCTCAACAACCAGCTGAAGTTCATTACCGACTTGTTGCTTCGCATCGACAGTGTCGTTGTTCCAGACAACAACTTCGAATTTGCAATACAGAGTGCCCTACCAGTCGTCAGAGATGCCCAGCACCAGGTCGCAAAGAGTACCGTTGTTGAACAAGCCAGGCCTACCAGTGTGAAGGGTCTAGCTGACACCGGCCCCAAAAAGATCGATATCAACATCTCAAACTCAGAGGGCCCGACAGAGGAGGAGAAGGAAGCAGAGCGCTTGCGCAAAGAGAAGCTGGCTAAGCAGAACGAACTGCCGGAATGGATGTCGAGCAGCACGGTCAATGGAGCTTCTTTCTCTACCACCGGAGCTGGAGGCGCTATAGTGTCGAACACCGACAACGAGAAGCAGACCCTGAAACGGCCGCAAGCGCTAGACGAGACGGAGGCACAGAAGCTAAGCAGCTACATGGAGAACCTGAAGAGGGAGCAGGCGGCCCTCGCAGCGAAGCAAGACGAGTCATCTGAGGATGAGGATGATGAGGGAGACTTTGAGGACGTGGTTGCGACGCCTCCACTGAACTCCTCTTCTCTCCCCGGCGGCACCGGAGTAAAGCCCGCACCTTCGCCTCTTCGACAATCCAGTGTCCCAGTCAAGAACGAGCCGGGAGTGGCCATCAAGCGCGAGGCTGACACCAACGGATCCGGAATAAAACGTGAAAGCCCTGGTTCGGAGGACAGGCCCGTGAAGAAAGTCAAGGTCGAGGAGCCCGCGGAAGACGACGGCGATGACGATGAGGAGGACATGGAATTTGAGGATGTATGAGTCTTGGAGTACCCCGTCGTTCATGGACATGTCCGGCCCACAGACTGGAAGGCTCTGGTGTCGTTGATGGACGACTAGCACGGGCAAATCACCCATGAATGTGGAAATACCCAAGGGTTACTCAATCATCGGGGGACAGGGCTTATCCCATGGCGGCTGAACAGAACGCCGTGGATTTAGAGTGTTACCACAGCTCAGCGTGGAAGGCCGAATGGCCTATGGCTGAGGTCCATTTTCCCCAATTGGGTATTCTACTCTGGTAGTCGATAGATCACAGGAGCATCTTGGGACACATCGTAGTCCGCAGCTCAGGTTCGGCACAGAATGACAATCCCATAAAGACATGTGGTTCTTGGTGATAATTAATTACCGGTGAAAATCAGCGCTGGGAGAGATATTCGAAATTAGACGGCTTGAAAGTACCGCAGGGAACTACAGCAATCGAAAGAAAGCAGACGAGTGATCAAGCCGCTTAGGAGAGAAAGGACCCCTGCCAAGACCCCAGCATGGTCCAAGCTTATTCATAAATCATAAATCTGCGCGAAATCTCGTCAGATGTCCCGAAATGAATCGACCAGAAATCGGACTCAACTTCTCTCACACCGAGAACAAGATCACGGAGAATGCTACTGGGAGTCGGCGCGCGGCCTGTCCTACGAGGACTGCGCCAGAAGGGCCTGCGCCCTCTTGTGGCGCATCACCCCTACAGCAGCACCTCGGGCGCCATCACCACCGTTCCCTTGGTGTACGACCTGCACGAGCCAGCCAAGCCGGTCTCGGACAGCCCGGACCGGACGTCGCCCATCCTGTTCCTGCATGGACTGTTTGGGTCGAAGAAGAACAACCGTAGCATAAGCAGGTGAGTATCGGTTTGTAGAAGGATCATGGGGGCACAGGGCTAAGAAAAGTGTGTCTTTGCTGTAGAGCACTTGCTCGGGACCTCGGCCGCTCGATATATGCCCTTGTAAGTAGACCGACCAGCTTCTTTATGATACCCTCAAAGTCTATGAAATTGCTTGGGGTCGTCTGTATCCGCGACGAGACTGATGTGTTGCAAAGGATCTCCGCAACCACGGCGACTCACCTCGTGCCCAACGCCATGACTACACGGCCATGGCAGAGGACGTCGGGGCCTTCATAGAAGAGCACAAGATAGTAGAGCCCACCATCATAGGCCACTCGATGTGAGTCCGCCCCAACCGTAGCACTCGCTGTGCGCGGCCTCCGACTACCGCTGACTGCCACGACAGGGGCGCCAAGACGGGGATGGCGCTGGCCCTGCGCTCGCCGGCCATGGTCAAGGACATCGTCTCCGTGGACAACGCGCCCATTGACGCCGTCCTGTCCACCGACTTTGCCAAGTACGTCCGGGGCATGAAGAAGATCGAGGACGCGGGCGTGACCACGCAGAAGGCAGCTGATGCGATCATGGCCGAGTTTGAGGAGGTATGTTGATTGATCCCTCAGAGAGAGTGGGAGGGCTAGGCGGATTCACTGACATACGTATGATTCCCCTTCAAAAAGTCCCTGCCCATCCGCCAGTTCCTCCTCGGCAACCTCTTCACCCCGGAGGGACAAAAGATCAAGAAGTTCCGCGTCCCCCTCGACGTGCTCGGCAAGGCACTGGCGAATATGGGCGACTTCCCCTACAAGGACCCGGGGAAGGCACGGTTCGAGAAACCGGCGCTGTTCGTCCGGGGCACCAAGAGCAAGTACGTGCCCGACGAGGTGCTGCCGGCCGTGGGCGAGTTCTTCCCGCGCTTCGAGGTCGCCGACGTCGAGGCGGGCCACTGGCTGATCTCGGAGAACCCGGAGGCGTTCAGGCAAGGTGAGTTTCCAGGCTCGTTCGTTCGCGAGCTCTCTTGTGATTTGTACGGGCTCATGAGACATGTTGAATGATGCTAATTTGCGGGACAGCTGTTGTGCGGTTCCTTGGTCCGAAGGAATAGAGATTTCCCAGAATACATAGAGGAATGTATCCCTAGAAGGTGTGAGGCAGCATATAGACAGCCCTCGCGGGCCTGCTGCTTGTATGTGTATTTTTACCAGTATTCGGTCCGAAAAGATAATGGAATTGCTACAGCCTTAAGAGGTCCGAAGTGAAGATGAAGCGCAGCAAAGCAAAGCAACCGGCGGCGCCTCTCAGTATCCATCGCCCGTCTATTTGCAACGCTTTACTATGCCTTTCATGTGCTCGATGCCACGTAATTCCGTCTATCCGTCGTCCAGTCATTAAGTGAGCTCACGTCGCAGGGACAATAGTTTTGACAGTCTCAACCACCCCAGGATTTTCCCCCATCAGCAAGAACACGACGACGCTGCCTCGTCCTCCCCCACATTGACAGTCCCCTTACTCCCACCATCCGCGGCCCTCATCACGTCCGGGTGGCTCACGACGGCGTCGACGATCTCGACAAAGGGCTTCCTCACGTTCTCCCTCGTCTTGGCGCTGACCTCGCAGAAGTTCGCGCCGTGGGCGTCCGCGAGCGCCTGGCCCTCGGCGGCAGTCACGGCCCGGGGCTTATCGACCTTGGCCCCGACCAGGTACAGCGCCACGCCGGGGACGGTGTTGACCTCGACCTCGTCGAACCACCGCTCCATCGAGGCGAACGACGTCCGGGACGAGGCGTCGTAGACGAGGATGACGCCGTGAGCGCCGCGGTAGTACGAGGTTGAGAGGGTGCGGAAGCGTTCCTGGCCGGCCTTTTTGGGAAGGGTTGAGTGTTAGTACTGTGCATCCCGCCCTGAGCAGCCCCTTGTTTGGCTGTTGTGCATGCAAGCAGGCGTGTGGCCCGGCTAGGGCGCCGAAGAGCGGCACTGTCGGACTCACAGTATCAAAGAGCGTCAAGCGGTATGCCTTGCCCCTGACCGAGAGTTTCTTTATCTACGAACGCAGTGCATGTCAGAACCTCTCATGTAAGAGCCAGTGCTCCATCCATGAGATGAGAAGTGACAACCGCTCAGGGGGGGTACCCGGGGTGACATACTTTGAAATCTATCCCGATGGTCGCCGTTGCTGATTCAGGCTCAAAGACATCCTCACAATATCTCATCAACACTAGCGGGACGGGTCAGATGAATACCTCCTCTAAGTTTTCTCAGGGACGAGCAAAGGGGGCAAGCTCGTGGCTAATAAGGCGGTGAATGAGTCCAGGGGCAGCTTACACGCCGATTTTCCAGCGCTGGAGGGCCCGATGAGGAGTATCTTGAGGGTCGGCAGGGAGTCGTCGGAAGCCATGATTAAGAAGCAGGAGTACGGAATATCAAAGTAAAGTTAGGAGAGGTGCATGTAGATTGCGGCAAAATCTTAGGTGGCCATGTTTCTTTTTGGAGTCCTGGGCGGTAGGCACGCGTGTGGCCAGGGGAAGATGATGCAGGCAGGTAAGTGGGTTGGGTACCTGGGCAGGACAAAGACTCAGTGAGGTCAGAGCCAGTCGAAAGCTTGTTTGCCCCTCCAGAAAGTGAACCCATGACCACCACCAAAACGGCCCGGGATACCAGAAACACGGGTAGACCTTTCTCGAATCGCGCCAACTATCTCGCATTAGAAGAAGTCGTACATGCGGACTTCATTCATTGCGCTGCTTTTGCTGTTAGAACAGCGACGCGAATGGCCACAACACCGACCTTCAATGCCGGCACGGTCGCACGTACGCACACGAGCCTGTAGGCATACGTCTACACAGGAGAACACATGATCCGAGCACATCAGAAAAGACAGGCAGGGATTTCGAATTGCCTCTCGGTATTTGGCCCTCTACGGGCCAGCCTCTACATCCACACCACCCCCCGATGCTTTGCGTATCCGAACCCGAAGTACGCCATCCTCGCATCGTCGTCTAAGACGACGCTCCAGGGCCGAGCCGAAAATGACAGGGCGGACATCTCACAGGCTTGTAGTGGCGCTCGTCGTCTTCTTTTTTGTGTTCGATTTCCCTCTTTGATTCATCCCGGCCTGGACTCGTAAAGGCACAGATATCCATGACTACTCTGTACCGGTCGCCACGCCAAAAGTAACGAATAAGCAAGACCCACGCCCCTGAGAGATATTGCCTGAAGAAACCGTGTCCATGCCGCGCTCCAAGTCAATTTTGTCGTCGCCTCAGCCTTACACCTCCTCGAGAACGCGCTCCTTGAACTCCCGCTCAACCTTCTGGCCCTGCTCGTCCGTGGACGACTCGCCGTGGAGGGCCAGCAGGGTACCGAGGTCGAACTTGGGCTGCTTGAGCAGCTTGACCTTGCGGATGTGCACCTGCGATAACAGTCAGTCTCCCGTCTTGTCTGATAGTCACTCCCTTGCGCCCAGCCGGATCGGTGTCCACGTACGTTCTGGAGGGGGTAGATGCCCTGGGTGGCCTTCTCGATCTCACGGCCAATGACCTCAGGGATGAGCTTGTTGGTCAGCTGCTGCAGGGTGCAGCTGCCGGCCTCACGGGTGATGATCTCGGTCATCTTTCGTCGGATGGCGCGGATCTGGGAAGAAGCAGCGTAGGTGGTCTTCTTGATCTGGTTGGGTCGGCGCTTGGTGAAAGCAATGGCGAACAGGCGGAGGAGGTAGTCGTCGGTGGTCTTGACCGTGACGTTGGCCTCGATCAGGGATTGCCACTTGCGGACGAGCGACCGCAGCTTGTCGGATGTGAAGTCGAGACCGTGGAAGTTGGTCAGGCAGTTCTTGCCCTGGACCTCGTCGATGCGGAGCTTGATCTTGCGGAAAGCGTGGTCCTCATCCTTCTGCAGGTCGGCGAGGGAAACCTCGACGATGCGGCCCTTCAGGGAGTCGTTGGCGTTCTTGAGACCGGTGGTCCGGTTGACAAGAGTCTTGCCGACACTGTAGCAGGTGCTGTCAGATCTCGTTCTTCAACCTCGCGGGGTCGTCGCGTTTCGCGTATCGGATTGCTTACTCTCGGACGTTGAAAGGCGCAGGAGCCTGTTCGCATGTACTTGTTAGTCGGGGTTTCTGTTTGCTGTGGCGGTCGGGGCGAATTGCATCGTACCTTGATGCCGTACCAGTCCTTGCGGGAGAAGGGGTCGACGGTCTTCTTCTTGAGACCCTTCTTGCCCTTGGACAATCTCTTGTTCCTGTCAAAAGTATACCCATCAGCGGACTGTTCGTCTTCGCTCCCACGGCGTTCGGTTTGGGCAGCCGTGCATCGTCGCTGGGACCGGAAGAATCGACGTACTTGCCAACAGCCATCTTTGCGAGGTTCGGATCTCAAAGACGGGCAATGGTTCGTTAGGTGGGTGGAATTGGGAGATCGCGAGATTCAAGGTTCTAGGCGGAGACAGGCGTCAAATCGACAAAGCGAATTTTCTCTGAAGAGCTGGCCGGTGGTGCGGCGACCTGGCCCGAGCGTTCGGAAGAAGGAGCGACCTATTTCCGCGGCGCCCCGATAGCACATTATATCGTGTTAGGGGGATGCTGCCCCGACAGAACGATGCTCTGTCATCACATGTACAAAGCAGTGATATGCACCTAGCCCTCGTCGCTCCTGAATATCCTTGACTAGGCTGATTGGGTGCTTTCTGAAGGAATCCGGATATTTCACTCCCACACGTGGTATAACACACCCAACACCCATACACCCAACATGCATACGCCTAATACTTGTGTAAATTGTATAGGTGTTAGGTGTACGAATTGAGAGTGTGAATTGGGTCTGTGAATTGGGCGTGGGTGTTGGTTTAGTGCTGGCGATGTATGGATATACCACATGTTTTTGCGGGTGCAAATATCCGTTCTCTTCTGAAGGACACCCCAGGCCGGAATTGACTTTGATGCCGATTGCCACGAGGCCACCAGCAACCCCCCGGACGCCCATCCAACCCAACTGCCCGAGAAAGCTTGCACTGAATCGCATGGGTGAGCTAATAACAGCAGCGGAGGAATGCCCAACGGTCCCAGGTCCGCGAGCTGGGCTACGTCTCAGCCTGAGCGGAACTCTTACAGGAGGCCAACAGGAATCCAACTGACCCAGGTTGCTCGCCTCATGCTGCTGAAGCAGCATCTACTGGAAACAGACAGCCTCGTCAACCATCAGGGGCAGCAATTTGGGAACACATCACTCTCTATGCGTTGGAGGTCTGAGTGGCTGGCAAAACGACGACGACGAAAACAACAGCAGGAGAAATGGGACAACTAGTCCCTAAACCAATCTGTTCATTGGTAAGATGAGATCGACACCGGGGACAAGAGGCGTCAGGCTTCCAAGTCTCCCGGGAACCCAACGCAGTCAGTCGGCTCAGGGCGCGCAGATCAAAGTCCCCACGCAGAACAACACGCTGGCTTCGGTGAACTTCTAAAGCAGACACACATACACACACACACCGTGCAAACTCAAAAAAAAGAGCCGTCAGCGGCGCGATCCACCCCCGTCAGCCCGTCTCGGCAGCAGGATTGATAATGCCGCATCCGCAGTATCCCAGGCCCCATTCCTGCCGCGACACTCACCTCATCTATCTCGACCTCGGGACGCTCTCACGCTCACGCTGCCTGCCAGCGTGTCCGTCTCACCTATCTACGTACGTAGGTGCTGACGGGCCCGAATACACACACACACACACACACACACACACAAAAAGCTATGGGCAATGACCTCACCCACTCACCTAGCTGAGCGGAAACTGGGCTCACCGCCTCACCATCGGCCATCCCTGTTTGGCAGGCTCTCCCGCCAGCCCGCTCACACCCCCGTGGCCCGGGAAGGGGGGGGAGAGGGTAACATGCTTTCCTGTCACTTTATCTCGCTTCGAGTAGGAAGCTTGCCATGCGACGGTTGCCCCACAGAAGCTTCGGTCTGTTCCGCGGTTGGACCGGACCTGTCAGGCACGAGGTCAGGAGGAACCCGCCGGGAGGGCCCAGGCACGCCCAGGAAAGTCACATTCTCCCAGAAGAACGGGCTCGGCGAGCAACCTTGCATGGACATGCCGATGCTCCAGTGCGGGATCACGATTTCTCCTCCCTGTGGGTGTTTTCTTTGTTTACACCGTACTCAACGTCGGTTCAATGATCGCGATTGATTGTGGGGCTATGCAAATGGGTATCGTGGGAAGTGGTGCTGTATGCTACCAGTGTATGCGGGCCCTGCCTTCTTTGCGTGTTCTCTCTTCCCACTCTCCTGAATTTCTCCGTCCTTTCCGGTCAACAAGCGGGCGAGGCCTGGGTGCCTGCATTTCCTAGCCTTCTTCTTCCATGCACCGACCCTGGCCAGGTCTAGGCTCTGAAGGAGAGCGTCTGGAAGCCGTCATATCCTGTTCTGAACGCCATGTACGCCATCGCTGAAGGAAGTTGACCAGCCCTATGACCTCATCCTGAGCCCATGTCTCCCCCCTGCCAATGATCATCCCCCCTGTGGTCTACCGACTGTTCGGGGCCAAACGTCCACTCTCCCTGCCAGGCTGTGGCTGACCTGGCACCCCAGTGAGCAGTCGCATTTGCTCGACTGCGTCGTCGCCGTCACCCCAGCGTGGTATGCAAACACACGAGCTGGTTGACCGGGGGGAAAGGGAGTGAGTCCGGGTGGTTAAAATGCTATGCCGTCTTCAATATGAAGGGCATGCTTGAATCCAAAATCCTCGTAGTTGCCATTGCCGTTCCATCCAAGAAGTCCAAGACGGTGGCAGCCCTTCATTGAGTCAGGGGGATTGCATCTGCATCTGCATCTGCATCTGAGGCTCCCGCTCCTCTGGCTGGTCGGGCTGCCAGGTGTCGAAGCTCGGGAAACTGAAATAGCGTCCAGAGTCTGCTGTGAAACCCCCCACTGTCAGCACGAATGACGTTGAAACACCAGGAACGCGGGTGGGATGATGACATACCTAGGTGGGGGCGGAATCCGTCCAGGTCGACGTGGTCCCTCGCAATCCTGTCCGGGCTGTCGTACATGGTCGGGCTCTGGGAGAGAGGTGTCGATGAGTTTGGTGGTGAGCTGGAGACGGCGACCTGGTTCAGCAGGTCTGTTGCCCGGCGGCTGGTGCCAGGGGTTGCCAATGCGTTGCGGCTAGCAGTGGACGGCGTGATGGAGGGCTCTGTTGCGCTGGAGCGGAGGAGCCTCGGGCGGCGGCTGCTTGACCTAGAAGAGGTCCTCCTCTGGGAGGTGCCCCGGCGAGACTCTGTTGGTGATGCCATATCGTCGTCCGAATCTGACACGTAGTGAAAGAGACTGGGGATGTAGATGGCGAGGTTGTTGATGTTGTCGAGCATTGAGCCTGGTATGGCGACTCGCTTGGTCGGGAGGGCTGCAAGTTGCAGGGAGGATGTGGTGAATTATATGGAGGGGGAGGCGTGAGGTGAAGTGAGAGTGAGAGTGTGTTGGTGGTGGTAGGAGACGGGGGGCAGGGAGGTTATGTCAAGTCTTGTAAGTGAACAGAGTTCAAGCAAGATATAGACTAGTTGGAACCAGAGGGACTAATTGGATCGCAGCAATGAAACGGTCAGACGAAGGTGTGAGCGAGTGGGTGGGTGCTGGGAGTGTGCGTGTGTGGGTGTTATTATGTATTGCGCAGACTTTCCAAGTTCGTATGCAAGGAGCCCGGCCCGCCGTGTGCTGTACTCCAGTCTGCAACAGCAGAGGGAGCAGACAGACACTTCCTGGGGGGACAGTACCACAGCATGGTACCTGCTACAGTACCGAGCGTCTCGCTCCTGCCTCCCTCGCTTTGTCTTTGTCATTGCCGTTGCCCGCCAGCCCACTTGGGCTGAAATGCTGGGCCGCGGTACAGTGGTGAATAATAAATAGAAGCTGGCTGGCGTACTGTGGTGTGATACTGTTCTGGGCAGGTACCTACCTCAAGTACTGTGCAAGCATGTGCATGCATTGTGCAGTACGTACCCCAGACAGTGGCCCACAGCACCCTGAACACCCACCTGGCTGTGCATTCCGACCCGTCGACCCCATCGTGGCAGCGTGGGACCACACGGTCTCGACGCGGCCTTTCCCACCTGCCTGCCTGTACCCCCTCTCGCCCTCCTCGGACGCAGGGGTAATACTGCTACAGTATGTACATGCCACACGGTGAGGGGGCGGGGGAGGGAGAAAAACAGAGACAAAGAAAAACAAACCACCGGGCATCTCACTAGTCAAGACCAACCCGCCAGTTACGAAACGGAGTGTGTGCACAGAGAAGCAGCGAGAAGGCGAGGAAAAGCGAACATGAGAGAGAAGAAAAAAACCATCGCGGCATTTCTCGGCCTTTGTCAGATCTGGCCTGTCCAGTGCTGTGAAGCTCGAAGCTTTGCCACCTGTCGTGTGCTACCACACACACACACACACAGAGAGACTGCACCCGTCTGGAGCATAAGCGTGTCTCCTCACCTCCCCGAGGTTGGGTAATAGCTTCCACAGGCGTCGAGCCGTTACGAGGCTTGCGGGCCGCCGATGGTGGTGCCGCGGTGGTGGTGGCCCAGTGGGCAGGAAGTCACGAAGTGCTTGGGACGGAGGGAGGGGGAGAGAGTTCTGGGCTCGGCCCTAGTTCCAGGCACCACGGGCGGCATGGATGCGGTTGATGGATTGGCAGGGCGTGGGATGAAGAAGTATTGGGTCGGGCACTGATACATGTTTTTAGTACATCCACAGCACAGCACATTTGTCGTTGTGGTCGAGTTGATTTCGACGCGACGCAGACTGACAGACGGCGCCTGCCAACCGGCGGCCAGCTACCACCTCCTTAGTTTGCTGGCTCCTTGGTATGGTGCCAGGTTGCCTGGTTGGCACACTCGTTGGGGCACCACCGCCTGGGGTCACCCACGCTTGCCAGCAGCCTTGTCTCCCCCATGCTCTCCCAATTTGTTGCTCCGGTGCTTGCTTGCTTGATGCTTGCCTGTGGCCTCGGCCTCTTGGTGGCTTGTGGCCTGTGGCCCGGCCAACAGGTCTGGACCATGGAGTCTGCATGCTGGATTTGTCTGTGGCCGTCACTCATCGCAACACCAAGGACAGGATCGATCGGCAAGCAGGATGGACTGAGGTAGCCAAGCTGCCAGGCTACAAATCACAACGCCAGAACGCCTCACTCGTCCACCCTGGCCACCGGCAAAGGCCCAGACCCGCTGCTCCTCGTTGCTGGGTGTCATTCCTGCAGCAACCAACAATCTTGTCCTGCACATGCTTTTCAAGTCCGCGCTCTGGGGCCGTTGGTTTGGTCCGGTTGGAGGAATCAGTGACTTGAGAGTCCAGAGTCTGCTCCGTAGAGCCAGCGAGGGGGCACGAGACACGCGCGTGCCTGTCAGGCTTCGTTCATGACGGGTGGATGATGGATTATCCCGCGCTATCAGGACCCCAGGAACGAAACCCGAGCCCGTCGTCGGCCTGCCACACGCTCCTTAACCCCATGCCGACTTCGACCGAAGAACCACACACCCACACACCACACAGGCTCGTCTCCAGCTCACTGGCCCGGCCTGAAGCCCCATCCACCGGCCTCGTCGAATCGAACGCTTCGTGTCAGCTCACTCCTGCAGCCGGTCAAGCTCCCAGACTCATCGCTCGCGACGCTCCACAGAGTGCCTGCCCACGACCAATCGAGGTATTCGGGCGCGGGACTCGCTCCATTTGGTCCCATCTGGCTGCCAGAACCGGCACGGGCACGGGCGTCCTTCACCCTATCAATCACGAGGATATCCAATGCTTCCTCCTCGGGAACAGAAATTTCGCGGTCCCCTCTCGGTCCTGTCTCGTGGCTGCTCTCCGCCTTGTCCCCTTCCCCGCCGCTGTCAGTGGGTACGGGTGCAAGGGGCTGTAGGGCTTGAGGGCCCCCCTTACCACGTGTCGCCCGCTCGATGTTCCGACGGCACTGCATGGATTCGCGATCTGGGCTGATTCGCTTCGGACGAAACCAGCACAACCACAGGCACACACACCCCTCCCTTCCTCCATCTCCAATATCAGGTACTCAAACCGGCTATTCTCAGGATTGTGCTGAGATGACGGATCGGCCCCTTCGCGTCGCACAATTCCATCATCGGAGCCACAGCCGTAAGACTTTGTGCGACCAAGATTGTGCTGTCAGAGAAACGCCTGAACGCATCTGTGCCCCGTACTCTAATTAGGCTCCGTGTGCTTGCTACCTGCTACCAAAGCACACACAGTATCTGTCTGCTGTCTTCTGGACTCCTCTCGAGTGGCCGGCCGGCGGAACGGACACAAGGTTTGCAAGGTTCACAAGCCCGGGGAAGTCCCCCCCCCCTACAATGTCACCCGTCATCTGCCCACTGTCCCTTGGCGAGGAGCTCCTGATGTTGATGGTGAGCTGGGGTAATATAATTGAACTACTGTAAGACTACTGTCCACTTCGTTGGCGTTGTCGATCGAGCGTCAGCCCAACGGCATGGGCATTAGTATTGTGCATGACGCTTGCTGTACCCGGCAGATACTCTGTAACCCTCTTGCTTTTTTCTTGTGACGACTGTGAACCGAATGAAGCCGGCCTTGTGGAAGGCAAACCCGATCGAATAGTTACATTGGCCATGAGAGACAGGACAATCGATAGGTGTCATTGCAGTGAAGCACTCAATGTATTCCAGTCTAGACTTCTACCCTACATGTCATCTACCCCCTGTACCAACCAAATCAACTTACCCAGGCTCATGGACACATTATTAACCCCCCATGTTGCTTGCATACACACGACTGGTTCCGGTGTTACGTCTCCCCATGGAGTACAACATGACCTGGGCCGGGACACTCGGCCCCACGGATTTAGTGGTCGACACTGCAGCAGAACAAGAAACGCTCTTGTCAGCCCGAGATCACTCCTAGCAGCCCAGCCTTGGGACCAGGCCACGTTTTTTTTTTTTTTTTGCTCCGGAGGTGGGACGGTGTTATGGGGGACTTACTCTTCCCACAGCCTGCCCTGGACAGCCTTGAGCTCGTCGGCCGTCATCCTGTGCCCGGTCGTGAAATAACCTGCAGACACGCACTCCTTGTCAGCTCGCAGTCGCCTGGAAGGGTGATAACTAAACAGCCTCTCGCTTTGTCTGTCTGTCTGTCTGTTTACTTACCGGCCGTGATCTTCGCGTCAATCTCGACCCGCGAGTCCGCAGGGATCCATGATTCGGGCAGCTCGACACGCTCGTGGATCGGGATTCTAAATGGGGGGAGAACAGGGTGGCACCCGTTAGTAAGACCGACTCTCTGGGAACAAGCACACCTCCATCCAGCCGCGTGTGCGACCCCAGACTCATGCTGCGCGACCGTCGCTTACCCTTGGCCGACGATGGCGTCGTGTTTCATGCTGCAGTTCGCGGTTGACGTTAGTCATTACTGATCGAATCCGGCCGTCAAGTGATGGGGGATGATGGTTTCGTTAGGAGGGGGGTACAGCGCGCCCGGCCGCGCCGTGCAACATTGGGCACAGGTGTGGTATACGTACTTGCTCATGCTTAGCATCCTGTCGATCTTGGTGATACCGAGCCAGTGCAAGATGTCCGGCATTAGGGCCTGGAACCGCATGTCCTTTACGCCCGCAACATTCTCTGTGCGCTTGAAGTAGTCGGACGCCCGGTCCTCTCCACGCTTTCGGGCGTTGTACACGACTGTGGCGAGTGTCAGTCACGAGGCCGAATCTGGAATGGCTTGGTACTTTTCGCGATGCTCCCTCTGCGGTGGTGCTGCCCTTCCCCAGACACGCCAGCAGCCAGACCGGGAAGATCTCGGAGCGACGGTAACACTTACGATACTGCAACCATGTTAGCTAGTCACACAAGGCGGGGGCCACATGACACTTACCTTGGTGACTTCACCGAGAGCCCTGCCTTCTTTTCGGAAATAGATGACAACGCCGCTGCCTCCGTTCTGGGCTTCCTTGACGGCCTCCTCGATTCCAAAAATTACTGCAAGCAAAGTGGAGTTAGCCCTGGGGAAAATACGCAAGATGTGGGCTCAAAGAGGAGTTGCAAGGCGCTCATGAACACAATTCGCGCTCATTGCCTCTTCTCCGGAGTGTCGAAAATGTCTCGAGCATGTCCGGAGAAACTTACGGTACGGCCGGCAGGTACAAATGTCAGAACCGAAGACATCACTCCCGTTACACTATGTCTCATTAGATATCTCGGCACTCGCGCATCGTCAGTCTTGCGATGTCTTACCTCGTCGTGGATTCGGAGCGCGAGCTTCTTGTTCGGATTGGACATATTGGCGGGATCGCCGAAGCAATAGACCGTCAAGCCACCTGCAAGCTGTTAGATACTGGGACCCATATCCCTCAGATTGGCTACATAATTCATACCGATAGGTGGTAGGAAAACTTTGATGTCTCCGCGGGTTATCAGCTGGTGAATTGTCAGAACAGCTCGAACGTGGCCCTCCAGTGTCGGCGTGGGACGGATCTCACCTCGGGATAGCTGCCGCCGGTGTACTCAAAAAGAGACCTTCGGAGAGTTCCCTCGTCTGCATCTAGTCAGTATGGCGGGAACTAAAAGCCGCATGCACTCATCAGGGAACTCACCAATGCCAAATCTCTCGGCGACTCCGGGCAGGTACCAGGCTGGTTCGACGGCGAACTTCGTCACAGCGAGCTCGCCTGAATCGTTCTTGCATATCTTGCCATCCGGCACACTATTTAGTCGATTGTCAGTGAATGTGCTGCATAGATTTGGAACCTGCCAGAAAAGTGCCTGTGTTGGCCTCGCGGCAGTAAAAAAGGGGCACCCACAGTCTTCCTTTGCGCACGCTGTCCTCCAGCTCCGGAAGCTACAACTTGATCAGCACGAGTCCCTCGCCCACCTCAGTGCTCACGAGCCTACCTTCATGTGTGCCTTCGTGATGGCGATTGTTGGACGGATATCAACTGCCCCACGTCAGAATGTCTCCTGCAAAAATACAATGAACCTGACGCACCATCCTCCCTTTCGACCAGATCCTTGAACAGCCAAGGGGCAATATGACCCCAGGGGTCCATGGCCACAATCTTCTTCCTGTCGCCCCACTGTGGGAAAGGTCCTATCGTGGCTGCCGGCTCCGTGTTGGTGAAGTCAGGTCTGCGCACAATTGCTTAGCTAGACTGCAGAGGTGAAAGCACCCTATGTTCTCGGGGGCCGCATACCGGTGATCGGCCTTGAGCTCCTTGCTGGCGAGAGCCAGGGCGTAGTAGATAGAATAAGAGCCTCCATGAGCTGAACGGAACCTGTGGGTCAGCGTAAAGATCGCGAATTCGGCCATGCGGGCTGGACTGACCGCCGATAGCTATACAAAGTCAGCATGTAACTCCACGCCGTAAAGTATATTATATATAACGCACCATTGCGCCTCCGGATGGTACTCGAGTAGCGGGAGACCACAATTGGGCCTCGTTCAGTAGGTTCAGGAGCGCCCCAGTTCAGAGGGATTGGCTTGATGCCAGTCTGCTTGGGGTATGTCCTATGAGGCGTCAGACCCGCGCTTCCTCGCGCAAGAACTCGGGTAACGCAACTCACGTCAGGATGATGCGGGAAGAGAAGCCGGAGGCCTGTGTCGGCGACGAGCTTCCGATCGGGGAATCGGACGTGTCTGTAGGGCGCAGAGGCGGCGTTGCAGTGGACTTCGCGGCCAGAGCAGCAGCTGACGAGGCAGCGGCTTCCTCGATCTCCTGTTCGTTTTGCTGCTGGAAAAGGGAGGCTGGAGATGGTCGTAGGCCGGGAGCTGCTGAGGGTTGAGCGGTGCCGCGGGACATAGAGTCCACGACGGAGAGGAGCTCATCCTGCTTCTGCTGGATGGTCCTCAACTGGCTAATCACATCTTCCAGGCTGGGCCCGGAAGCTACACCGTTGGACGCCATGGAGGAGAGGGAGAGGGAGAGGGAGAGGTTACGACAGCCTACACAATTCCTGAGGTGTCTATCCTGATGACTCTGGGCTGACGGGGGATCACTGGAACAGTTGACAACAATGCTTCAACAAGTCAACATTCACGGATCCTGTGAGCGGGGAATCTCTGTTGGCTCTAGGACTGTTCACAGGGGACCCAAATCCAAGCCAGAGCTTATCCTGTCTATCACGATCTGCCAGGATGGGCGATTGAACACCGAGGACGGTAAGGAAGATCAAAGGCGAAGGGGAAGGAGAGGGAGAGAGGAAGGTCAAAGCAGACGTAGCGTTGTTGAGGAGGAGCAAGGAGCTATGCTATTATACATAGATACGTTGCTCCAGCCACGTCGCCAGCCGAGCGAACCGACCGCTGCCGGTTGGAATCAGATCGTTATCACCTGGGCAAGCAGAGGAGGCACGGGAATGCAAGCATGCCTAGCTCTGGATGCACGGCCAAGGATGCTACAGCGAGATCGAGCTTCTGAAAGAGGCACCGGCCGGTTGACATTCTGGGCAAGTCGGCGAGCTGCGGCTTATTCCCTGGGTGTAGTTAGCGGGGGGAAGCTCTTAGAGTTGCCGGCACGGGGCCACTGTGGGGCGCTGTCTGATCCGCTTGGCGGGAGATCCATCTGACTGCATCTAGCTCTTGCTGTGCTGGGCCTGAAGCTACAGACCGTTTTGACGCAGGAGAACGCGGAAGATGTTTGACGAGTGGAATTTTCTCTGCATATGTAGGTGATGGGCTGGCTACATACAGTAGTCTACAGCAGAGCACAGCATCTGCCAGATCCCCAAGCCACCCCCTGGGGATCAATGGGCAGATTCCTGGGTTGTCCTTTGACGTGGATGTGTAGGTGTTGGGGAATGACCATCTGAGGTTGCCCACGACAAAGAAAATGCCCCTGTGCCCCGGTAAGTTCTGCAGGTATGCGTCCTGGTAACACAGCACTGAAAGACGGCCTTTCAGTCTCCACACCCAAGTGTGCGTGACGTACTGATAAGCCGCCGCACGCCGCCCTCCGCCCCGTCAGTGCCAGAAACGTGGAGATGGTTTGGCACGGACCATACGTGGAACGGTCTGATCTCTTAGGATCTGGATTGGTGTCAAGAGGTTAGGCGCTGACATGAGTGTGTGTACAGAGTAAGAAGTGTACTTGACGAAAGATTTCTTGTGAGACAATATAAATCAAAAAATTATCCAGGTAGAAGAGAGCAGATACATTCATCATGTCAGGTGGCCTGCCCAAGCTTGGTTCACGCCTTGCAGCCTTTCTTAGCTTTCCATGCTACCTAGGTAGGCAGGCCCGGCCGCTAATCGCAGGTCCGTTTTAAGTGCAGCCAGAAACGGCGCGTCGAGCCAGTGACTGCATTTTCGATTTCAGCCAACTTCTCCAAGTTGCGCCAGCCTTCCCACAAAAACCCAACTTCACCACGGCGCATTCTGCACCCGGTTCCGAACCATCCACGGATCAGTTCACAACCGCCGGAACCATGGGAAAGCGCAAGAAGAGCTCCCGAGCGCCCCAGGGCAAGAAGAGGGTTGGTTGGCCCCATCCCCGTCCGTCTTCATCCGTTTGCGCAACAGCTAACGTAGCCCTGCCGCTGCTTCCCAGGGCGACCCTCTCCCCACCGTCTTCACCTGCCTCTTCTGCAACCACGAGAACTCCGTTACCGTCAAGATCGATAAGAAGGCCGGCATCGGCTCTCTGGAATGCAAAGTCTGCGGCCAGCGCTTCCAATGCACCGTCAATTGTACGCTCAAACACCCCGAGATGAGACCAGGCCCTATGCTACGCGCGCACGTGGTATCCGGGTATGGTACGGAACGTGGCTAACCAGCATGAGCGCAACAGACCTGTCGGCAGCGGTGGACGTCTACGGTGAATGGGTCGATGCGGCAGAGGAGGTCGCTAAGGACGGAGGCAGCGCAGCCGTGCGGGACTACGCCGAGGCCAGCCGCGACTCACGCAAGGACAGAGACACAGCCAACAACAGCGACGACGGCCATCAGCAGTACAGCGGAGATGGAATTGTTCCGGACGACGAGTATTAAATGAGAGGGACCCTGGACAGGCTGTCGACTGGCGACTGTTGACTAGGCGGAAGCCCTTAGCCACCGAATGTGGTCTGGGACGTACGACTTGGGCACGCATGCTTCATCATGGCCGGCCGAGGCGACGATGCACTCTACCATAGTCAAGCGCTTGACGAAGAGGTGGTCACAGTATTCCCAATAAGATGCACACACCCTGGAGCTATCGTAGGGATACCGCTGGAAGCAGATCAGTCTGCATGCGAGAGTTCGGATTGAGCACGAACGCCTAACCAATGGATCAGTGAGCTGTGATACGATGTCAGCATGCTCAACTTCGTTGAATGGGGTATGCAAAGAAGGAAGGCATGGGGCATTTACCGGACAGTTGGATGACGGCGCCGCTCTACATGGTGAAGAATCTATCGCCGAAATCGCCCAACCCTGGAACAATATAGCTACGTCGTGTTAGCAAGACAAGAAAATGTGTGATGGGAGCCAGTTCCGCACTTCTTTTCATCGAGTCCCTGTTTGCAATGTCAGCTTCAGGTTCCAGGTGTACAACTGACTTCCTTGTCTGGGCCGAGCTTACCTGGTCAATAAATGCGGTGATAACGTGCAATTTAGGGAACTTGGCCGAGAACCTCTCGGTGCCCTCAGGGCTGGAGATGAGATTCAGGAACAAGATCCTGTCCTCGGGGACGCCGCGCTCCTTGAGCACCTCCACGGCCATTGTCGCGGAGCCGCCTGCCGCCGATCAGCACTCCATCACACACCACGCAGCCAATTGCCATGCTGCCATGCTTTGGTGACTCACCAGTTGCGAACATGGGATCCAGAAGCAGCACCCAGCGATCAGCAATGTCCTCAGGCAGCTTGGAGTAAAACAGCTTCGGCTGGGCGGTCTCCTCGTCGCGCTGGATCAGGATCTTGCCGATGCGGACTGAGCGGCAGCACTCCCGCAGCCCCTGCTCCATGGACTCTCCGGCCCGCATGATAGACACGCCGCAGATCTTGCCCTGGAACGCGAGGCCGTCATAGTGCTGGTTCGTGGGTGTCACGACGGTGTGTTGCGTGGTGGGCAGGTGGTTCAGCCCCTCCTCCACGAGCAGCCTGATGATGCGGTTCGAGTAGAAGATGAAGTCGCCCCGGTCGGTGGACTTGTCGCGGATCTTACTGAGGCAGTTCAGCACTCGGGGGCTCGTCCCACCGGGGTTGGGAGGGACTCACGTGAGCAGGGCAATGAGCTGGGGCGTCTGGTTCAGGACGGTCACATTCTGCTGCGTGGGCTCCTTGGACACTGTGGCCTTGGGCTTCTGGCTGTCTGGTCGGTAGTCCGGCCCCACGGTCTGCGTGGGAGCTGCGGCCGACTTGCCTCCCTCGTCGCCTTTCTTCGTCGACATCGTGATGCTCAGGTGGTCTCCGCCCGCCTCAGGAATGCCGGTTAGGTGGGTGTGGGGTTCGTGATATTGGACTTGTTCATGCGCTTGAAAGGCTATAGTAGGGATGATCCTCAGGGTATGGCAATTAAAATTTTCTTTTTTGCTCTCTCCTGCTTGTTCTTCTCCCAGGAGTGAAGGACTCGGCTTTTCGAGAAACTATACTTGCATCAACTGAGAGCTGAGGGGTGCTCGGGTGAAATGGTCTACAGACCCTTTTTGAAGCTGGGCTTTGCCCTTGCCCAGCTAAGGCCGATTAGCCCTGTAGCGTGTGATAAGGCGACGACAGTGCCTATCGCGGGCAAGCGGGGCTGAAGAGTGCTGTACTCTTTGGTTTGCAGCGGTACCTAGCAGCCTACTAACCCTGTGTTGGGTAGTCTACCTACCTAGGTGCCGAGTAGTTAGACTAGCGTCTCCGCTGCTTGCTCCTGCCAGTAATAACCACAGATGCAGTGACGCCGCTTATCGTGCCTGCCGGTCGGTCCCCCCCCCTCTGGGAGAATGACGACCCCCTCCCCGTTCCAACGGATGTTGCATCCTTAGCGCAGAGGACCCCTGACCGGCGAAACGTCCAGGACCGTCGGCCCAGCCTTTGTTTTTGAGTCGCATCCATCAACATGACAAAACCTGGTTGCAACCGCTCGCGCCCATTGAACTCATTCCACAGAACCTCCACCCAGCAGATGCGAACAGACCACACGGCCCCATTCACACACAAGCCTGACAAGGTGGAATAAGAAGGCGGAACTCCCTCACCCACGCCATCCTCTGCGCTGATCAGCAGTCCTCCAACCGCCCCTGCCAGTCGCGTCAGCGGTGTATTCCATTGAGTCGTTGATGCGGCACTTGCATAAATTGCCCACAACCCAACCGAACGAGCTCGCTTCCCATCAGATGTCGATTCCTGCTCCGCATCCAAGTATCGACCCGACCACATTCCCATCAGAGACGAACGCTGCCATCCTAAACCGAGCACGATGATGGCCACCCCAAAGGGCGCCGGCTTCTCCCGCAACAGGCGCGTCACGACATACAGCAAGGCATTTGGGCGAAGGTCGCGGCCGGAGGAAAAGGGGAAAGACGGACGAAGTGTCACTGCTCCGCTCGAATCCAGCACCATCTGGGACTTCCAAGATGACGACGAGATTAGTAGCCCGGTCGTCACGTTGCCCAAGTCCAAATTCAAGCAATACGGTCGCAAGATCGAACAGCAGAAGACACGCCGCGTTGCTGAGGTCACCCCGAGACCAGCGCCGGTCGCGCAGGCAAAAGTCCTCCCAAATCCGAAGAGAAGGAGAACATCGCCCAGTCATGGAGATTCTCGAGGCTTTCGCGCGCGCGCTTACTCGACGCCACCGTCGCCGCCTCCTTCTCTTCCGTCACCACCTCACGAGGCCATGCCGCCACCAAAGACCGTCCCTAAAGCATCAAAACCAAGATCGATCTTGCGGGTCTCTTCCTCCGGCTCAGCCAAAGCAGCAACAAAGGAAACGACAATGAGAGACGCCCCCGCTAAGAGTGTGCCCTTCTCTCCAGCGATCCCGAAGAACCTCAAGACTTTGAGTATCAACAAAAACAGGAAAGAGTCCGTGCAGACGCAGATCCCCTTCCGACCAGGTCAAACCCCGCGCAACATTTCAGGAACCCGCCAAGAAAAGGCATCAACTTCCAAAGTAGTGAGCCCCACTATTGGTGACTCACAACGCCAGCATGGTTCTGCAACTCGAAAGCGAAAAAGGTTGATCGATGAGCTCGCGGCTCAGGCGGACGAGAGCTCGGATGAGGATGACGATCCGGTGGACTGGTCCCAGGCCTCGCGTCAGACACCCGAGCCACAGGATCTGCCAAATTTCCCTAGCACGCCGGAACCAAAGATCCCCAAAAGTTTTGGGCGTCCGGAGTCTGCAAAGAAGAGGACAGGCCCCAAAGTGACCTACAGTGCCCGCAGAACGCTTCTTGCCGAAGGCAGTTCAGCCGGTGGCCTGGAAACTGTCGACGAGGACGCGTGGTTGAAGGAGCCTATCCTTCCCACTGGCGGTTCTCAGTTCGACATGGATGATGACGACGACGACGAAACATACACAAAGGGTGCCGTGCGTAGCATACACGAGCTGCGACAGGCTGGCGCGAATAGCAGGTTTGCAGACGAGATCGAAGACTTGCTGGCGCGGATCGGCCGACCGAGCGGCAAGACCAGCTCCAGCAGGCGTAATGCCCTGGTCGAGCTGTCGCAGAAAATGTCAGACAAGAGCTTTGTCCGGAAGTTCCGTGACCACAACGGCGACAGGAGCCTCTTTGAGCAGGTCGGCAAAGAAACAGACATCATTGCTGGATATGCGCTTGTGGCTATCTTGACAACACTCCTGGCATCAACGGCATCAACCCATATCATGAGTCAGCTCCAGGGCCAGGGCCTGTCATTGCTTCTCAAACGACTCCTCACTATCCCTGCGGACATTCAACCGATTTCCAAGGACAGGACGAGCAACCTGTCAAGGAACGGACAGCAGGCCATGTCCAAGTTGAAGGCATCTCTTCTCATCCTCCCGATCTGGGAACCGACCACGCCTTTCATGCTGTCACCCAGAAGATTGGCTCTCAAGGCTCTGGAACTTATTGTTAAGCACTCCGGGCCGGTCGAGGGCGAACTCTTCTCTCCTGATGTGACAGACCAACTATTCTCGCTGTTGGCAGATGCGTCTGAGCCCGACTCTTGGAAATACCCGCGCACAGATGAATCTATAGACTTCCATTTGGCACTGTCGCTCTTGGAGTCTTACTCGGTCCAGGCCATGCAAACCGAGTCGAAGGACAGGTGGACTTTTAAGCACCTTCCCATCATTGCTGACACGCTTGGCACTACGCTCCGACGCAGCAATGGTCGTCTTGGTGAAGTTGGCCTCCTGGTCCTAAAGCTGACCCTCAACACCGCAAACAACAATCACGACGCTGCGACTGCGTTCATAGAGAAGGGAACTGTGCGAACGCTTGCCAATGCGCTGTGTGACACCTTTCAGACGGCGACGGCCGCGATCGATGATACGGACGTCTTCAACATCCATCTCGAATCGCTTCTGCTGATGTCGGGCGTCTTGATCAATTTCTCCGAGCACGATCGAAATACGGGCGGGGCTCTTCTGAGTGCCCAGGATGACAACGAGGCCCCGCTCAACAGGCTTGTTACGCTCTTCCTTAATCACCACGCAGCCACGTCCGAGGTAAGCTTGCTTCTAACAACGTGAACGGGTTGGTGCGAGATCTGAACTAATTTCTTTCACAGGCGGATTCGGTGGAGAAGACTCAGTTGAACGTCGCCTTCGGGTACCTGTCATTGCTGCTTGGGTACATGTCCCTGTACGAACCAGTGCGAAAGCGATTCAGCTCTATGCACAAAGCAGGGAATCTTGCGCCTTTACTGGAGTCGATACGCGAGTTCATCGCATATCACCGTATGACAGACGCTGCAATCGCGCAGGCCGGTGATGGCCAGGAATCTCAGTACTCGAGCTTCACGACGAAGCTGCAGGGTCTTGTGGAACGACTGGAAAGCTACGCATAAGCTCATAAGGGCGAAGAACGCTCGTGCAAATCGGAGGCACTTTACAAGCCCCTCCTCGTGTTGAGCATTGGTGTTAGTTAAGAAGGGAGGTACTTCGGCAGCAATGCCCAAAGGTATTGTACCTTGACCGGAATGCATTTTTGGCAGAGTGGGCTCGTTCACTTGAGAAAATAATACCCCTTTGGAGAATTGAGAGGCCGTTCAGTAGATTCACGGGAGGTTAATAGCTTGAGCGGTGTATGATGTTACGATGTTTATGATACACAGAAATGGTCTCTGGGTCTCGGAGGCATGTTTGATTGATAGAAAACCAGACACACAATACACCCAGAAACCTGTTGACTTTGACAATGGCTCTGAAATTGCCATCCCACAATGTCACTTCTACAGCCTGAAAGTAGTAACCACGGCTATGGCGGTTCCGGGGGTGGTTTTGACGTGAATAAGTCCCAGTGGCAAGAATTACGTATGCATGTAAGAATGCTCACACCCCGTGCAGGTGCAGGTCGAATTGCCTGGGTTAAAGCTGCCTATGTGGAATACACGAGAAGGCTGAGCAAGTGACAGGGACTTGTGCTCCATGAGTGCCAGAGCCCCTTTACCTTACAGCCCAACTCCCAAGTACCTAGATCCCTACCTACCTAGGTAGGTACTATTCACGCTAGGCGGTACCAAGGTGTCCCAAGCGCCCAAGTGTTCTAGAAGCTCAACCCATCCCTGGTGTGCCTGCCCGTTGTCCCCCCACTGTAGCATTCAATCGACGTAAGGTGCATTGGGGGGCAACAATCCTGCCGTCGCCCTTTCCTTCACTTTCACGCCGTCTTCCACACCCTCCCTCCGACAGCACCTCACCTCTTCCCAATACTCTTTCTTCTAGTCTGAATCGGGCTTCACACCCTATTCAGGCCACCAATTCATCTCTAGATAGCACCTAGAGGTGAAGACGATCCCAACAAGTATAGAACGGTCAAGTGTGGCATTGAGGACTGGAAGGACCTGAGTTACCTTCCCATTGGAGTGATGGCACCATCAAAGTCAAGGAAGGTCGCTATTGTCGGCAGCCGATCAGTTGGTAAGTCTTCCCGAGTCCCGGTTTTGCACTTTTATTCTCCCAACCCAACTGCTCGGTTATTGCCAATTCCTCGTGTCTTTTGTTTCACAGACGCGCTCGTTGCTGTCGGTTGTCACGCTGGACGCTCGCTGTCACATGCTTGCAACTGCGATTGGAGAACTGACGTGACAACACAGGCAAGTCTTCGCTTGCAGTCCAGTTCGTCGACGGCCACTTTGTTGAGAGCTACTACCCTACAATTGAAAACACCTTCAGCAAGGTCATCAAGTACAAAGGCCAGGAGTTCTCTACGGAGATCATCGACACCGCCGGCCAGGTGAGTCTTCCCAAATGCCCCACGCCTGCGCGCGCCCGGGAGGCTGACAAGGACCTTGACTGTGATACATAGGATGAGTACAGCATAATGAACAGCAAGCACTTTATCGGTATCCACGGCTACATGCTGGTCTATTCAGTTGCATCTCTCCAGTCCTTTGAGATGGTTCAAGTCATTCGTGAGAAGCTTCTCAACCACCTAGTAAGCTTGGCTTCCCTGCGTCCAGCCCCGTCCCCACCACCAACCCAAACAAACTCCCTTGCAAAGTGGTCATGACTTGGTTACCTACCACAGACAGACTGACTGTTATCACTACTTTACAGGGCGTCGAGTGGGTCCCTATCGTCATTGTAGGCAACAAGAGCGACCTCCGCCCCGAGCAGCGCCAGGTCAGCACCGATGACGGAAAGAAGCTGTCTGAGAAGTACAACTGCGCCTGGACTGAAGCCAGCGCTCGCTATAACGAGAACGTTGGCCGGGGCTTTGATCTCCTCATCGCACAGATCGAAAAGGCGCAGAACCCTAATGAGCCTCCAGCCGGCGGCAAGTGCCTGGTGATGTGAAGAGCAGTGACCGCATAGTTTGCGAGACTACGACGGCAATCGAGAGGGTGGTGCTGGGTGCACCATCAGAGCACCAGCTGGGATGCAAGGCTCTGTGCCAGGATGTTGAACATGGCCAAGCCGGTTGGTAATGGTTGGCGGAATACCGGTTGCCGTACATGTGCATGGCTTGAATACGTTATTGGAAAAAGGGTTTGGATTGCTGACATGGCTGACGACATTGATACCTATGAGGTTTGGCTTGCCAGGCCGAAAGATGTTTGAGTTCTCACTGTACGATGCGATGCGCACGACGTTGTCCAATGCATGGAAAGGGGACAAATCCTGCCTTTTGAGGCCTGTCTGAAGGGAGAGCTGTCTCTGATGCTGCCAACGGTTAGCCACGAACTGTTGCTACTCATGTTAGGGTAGAAATCAAAACCCAGTCTACCATCTCTTCACCCAGTGATTGCTCATGCTGCTGTGAACATGATCCAACATGGGAGGTTCCACGGTACCTTTCAGACAAAAGTCAACCATCTCCTACTCGTGTTCTGCCCGTGGTCCGCCCAGCAGCAGGTCCGAGGGTGGCTGTGGAACTAGGCAATGAAGGCTAGAGGGTGTGATAATTCCAGCAAGTTAGATTTGGAGATGTGACATGTCCCAAATGCATAGCCAGAAGCATAGCCAGAGTCAGGGGCAAGTCTGGCCGACTTAGTCACATTGGACTTGATTGTTGTGGCTAAGAGTCATCTTTCTCTCACCGGGAAAGTCTTAAGAAGCTCTCCTGCTTGCAATTATAATTGACCCCTCATTCCCCTCCAAGACTTCAGGTACCGAGGTACCTAAACATTCAGGACCAAGCACTGCAAGCCCACTCTGACTCAACAGAGATCAACCAATACTTTACCCAGCCAGTCGCTGACACCCTGCCCACCACAAGTACCCTGGTACAGCCCGCCTGTGAGCCGACAAAAGACCAGAACAGAACAAAACTTCAACCCAAATCGAGAGAGGCCGCGCAAACGGGCCTAGAAGAACAGCCCAGCATGCTTGACGTTAACGACTTCATTGCCGATCGCGGCGGAAACCCTGAGAAGATCAAGTGCGTCCTGCCCACCACTCTGACCTGAGTGTCGCTGTCGCCAGGAAGCACGTGGTTGACCTAGCATATGCAGGGAGTCACAACGCCGCCGTGGCGCTCCTGTCGAGATTGTCGACGAGATCATTACAGTATGGGATGACCACCGCAGGACGCTGTATGCTGCGACACAGCTCAATAGCAAGATCAACGAGACCCAGAAGGCAATTGGCCTGAGGAAGAAGGTTTGTCGCCCCCTAGCCCAACCCCACCTGCCCAATACCTCGGGGAGCACCACAGCTGATCAGTCTCCTGGCAGAACAAGGAGAATGCAGACGAGCTCCTCCAGGAGAAGGCGGCACTCGAGAAGTCCAAGAAAGAGCTCATCGACTCTGCTGCCGTGAAGGAGGCCGACCTGAAGGCGAAGCTGAACACCATCGGCAACATCGTGCACGATTCCGTTCCCGTTTCCAACGACGAGGCAAACAACGAGGTCATTCGGACATGGGCTCCCGAGGGCGTCGCTGTCGAGAAGAAGGACGTCCTGTCCCACCACGAGGTGCTCACCCGGATAGATGGGTATGACCCCGAGCGTGGAACCAAGGTCGTGGGCCACCGTGGCTACTTCCTCAAGAACTGGGGCACGTTCCTCAACCAAGCCCTGATCAACTACGGCCTGGAGTTCCTGATGAACAGGGGATACACCGCGCTGCAGGCCCCCCAATTCATGCTGAAGGGCATGATGGCCAAGACTGCCCAGCTCTCTGACTTCGATGATGAGCTGTACAAGGTCGTCGACGGAGAGCCCCAGAACGACAAGTACCTCATTGCCACCTCGGAGCAACCGATCTCGGCTTTCCATGCGGACGAGTGGCTGCAGAAGTCGGAACTGCCCCTGAAGTACGGTGGATACTCTACCTGTTACAGGCGAGAGGCTGGAGCACACGGCCGTGATGCTTGGGGCATCTTCCGGGTGCACGAGTTCACAAAGGTTGAGCAATTTGTGCTGACCGACCCTGAGAAGTCGTGGGAGATGTTTGACGAGATGATTGGCGCCTCCGAGGAGTTCTACAAGTCCCTCGGCCTGCCATATCAGATCGTTGCGATCGTCTCGGGTGCGCTGAACAATGCTGCCGCCAAGAAGTACGACCTGGAGGCATGGTTCCCATTCCAGGGCGAGTACAAGGAGCTTGTGTCTTGCTCCAACTGCACTGACTACCAGTCGCGGGGCCTGGAGATCAGGTTTGGCAACAAGAAGCAGACGGACATCAAGAAGACCTATGTCCACGCTCTCAACTCAACACTGTGTGCCACCACGCGTGCCATGTGCTGCATCCTGGAGAACTACCAGACTGAAGATGTAAGTTCTGAATCTCCATTTTGACTGCAAGGTTCTGATCTAACTCCTTTTGCAAGGGTCTGAAAGTACCGGAGCCACTGCGCAAGTACATGCCTGGCGCTCCCGAGTTCATTCCGTTCACCAAGGAGCTGCCCAAGGATTCTACTTCTCAGAAGCAGAAGGCAAAGGAGAACAAGGCCTCCAAGCCTAAGGATGCGGCAAAGGGTGCAGCTGGCGCTGCGGCTGGCGCTGTTGAGAAGGTGGCAGAGAAGCTGAAGGAAGCCTCTGTCTAGGTTCTGCTTTCATGAAGAAAAAAAAAGCCGACCAATTTGCGCCTATTTTGTAGGGCTGGCTGGCTGGCACATCCAAAGACTCCGGGTTTTGATTCAAGAAGGCCAAAGACAACACGGTTGAGACTATTGCTATGGTGTGAGCATTTGCTGTCTAGAGATACCTGCCTCGCATGAAAAATAAAAGAGGATGTGCAAGAGACCAAACTGAATCATAGAATGATCCGACTAGAACGCTCAAGCTGCGTGGTGCGAGGACCGTGTAGCCGTCCAACACTAGGTGGAGTGGGCTCAGGGGCAGTTTCCCTTTTCGGAATTGCCGCCCGTTGCACCTACCTCCCCTTTCTGGTACGCAGTGAGAGGCCCGGTTTGGTGACTGGAATGTCAACTCACAGAAGTGCATTGATGATTCGTAACAACCACTTGAGGCACTGCTTTTATGTTCGCATCAACCCGGAGACGTAGTCTGCGAGTGCATGTTTGGTCACAGTGGTCATGTGGCTGTGAACCTGTCAGAGTCGGACATGAATGCCTGACCCTATGAATAACCTGATGGCCCCAATCACGCATCAACACACTTCAGGCCGGCTTCATATTTGATCACAACTCCACATCTCAACCCTCTTGTTCTTTGATTTCCTGTGCCGAAAAGAAAGACGCAAACATGGCGGATTCATTAGTCTCAATGGAATGTCCATTCTGTGGGTGGACGAGCGAGTGGCGGGAAGAGTACGAGATGATGTTGGTACGTAGCCGACGCCCCAGGCATTCCAGCATCCTTTGAACCCACGGGAGTGGCGCTGACTCTCGACTCCAGCACATGGAAACCTACCATCCCGAGGACGGAAAGTCACCATTTGTTCCGGATGAGGGTCTCCCAAACCCAACGAACACGGCAGAGGACTCAGACGGAGCCGGCGATGCTTATGTCGAGTGTCCCCTTGACGGATGTACCGAAGTCCTGGTCAGGGACGAGCTGGACTATCACCTGGAGCTGCACTCGGACGAGGCAGAGGAGAACAATGTGGCTTCTCGCACACCAACACCAAAGCCGTCCGCGCCGCAGGCGCCGGAGGAGAGCCGCTCGACACCATCACCGCAGGAGGAGAGCAGCGACCCACCGTCCGACGAAACCTACGTCGAGATCCCAAAGTCTAAGCAACAGCGGGCTATCTCCGCCTGGAGGAACATGTTGGCCATGCCGAGCAAGCGCCGTCCTAAGAAGACGGACAGCACCGTTGGAAGCACGCCCTCCAAGGCCACCAACGGCGCCATCTCCAAGAAGGTGCCCGTCAAGCTTGGTAAGGCCGAGCTGGGTCGGTATCACAGCGAGCAGCGCATGCCGGACTGGCTTGTCTCTCACCTTCGAAAGTACGGACAGGCCGTCGGTCGGGACGTGATACCAGTGATAGCCCAGCTGTTGCAGCAATCACCCACAACGGAGTACGCGTATCTGTGCCACCCGTGCACGTGGCATGTGTCCAAGCTCCGCCGCGAGGGCGGGTTCTGTGGCTACAGGAACATCCAGGTGGTGAGCTCCTATATCATCGGGGCGAAATTCGAAGGATCCCACCACTTCAATGGCAAGTTGCCTTCGGTATTTGATATCCAAGACTATGTCGAGGCCGCATGGGACAAGGGCATCAACAAGCAGGGCAGGATCGAGACCGGCGGCATCATAGGGACACGAAAGTATATCGGTACGCCGGAGGCACAGGCCATGTTCGTTTCTCTGGGCATTGCGTGCGACGCGCAGGGCTTCAAGAACAAGCAGCAGCCGGGCAAGGCTGAGGCGCAGATGCTAGTGGCCGTGGAGAGGTACTTCCAGCAGGGCATATTCAACCCGGAAGAAAGAGTGCGGTGCACCACGCTCCCCCCCATATATTTCCAGCACGCCGGCCACTCGATGACCATCATCGGGATTGAGAAGCAGATGGACGGCGGGATCAACTTGCTCGTTTTCGACCCCATGTTCCGCGACTCCTCGGTCATCACGGAGAGGGTCGGTCAGAACTTCATATACAAGCATCCGGATCACGCCTTGAAGGCGTACCGGCGAGGCAGCAAGTACCTGAGGCGGTACAGGGAATTCGAGCTTCTGAGGTTGGTAACAAAAGAGACGAGAACCGTGGGCGGTCCGGCAGGTGCTGACTGACTTGACTCCCACACAGGCTGAGGCCCCCAATCGAGGCCGTCGGGGGAATGAATAAGGGCCATCCTTCTTTGTCCGCGTCGCTATGCACCACCGAGCACAGAGTTGACGGCGGCACCTACCTGGAACCGGAAATTTGAGTCGGACGGGTTGGGAAGCAGGGTAGAAGGGGAAAGGAACGGTGGAGGACTGATCGGTGCTGGAGACAGGAGAATGAGCATGAGCATGAGCATGAGCCTGGGAGTTCATTTTGCGCAGGGGAGGGTCCAGCTGGCTTGTTATAGCACACAGGATGGCGTTATCAGCACTGTAGACTGTCATTCTTAGAGAGCCTGTATGCTTCATTGCATGGATGGATCGTCTACGCAGGGTTTGTCTTAGACATATTCAATGTTACACCGTCTCAACGGCACATGCTTCTTCTTATCATGTCCTGTCCGTTCTGTACTGATTTCGCCTGTGGAGCCAGACTTCAGCCCAGAAGGCGGTCTTGAAGCTGTCCCATCCGTGAACCATCTCCCTGCGTGAATAAAGAGCTGTGGTCTCTTCTCACGTTCCGCACCAGTCAGCCTTCTCGGTCCCTCGTGACCGTACGCCCTCTCAGGATTGAAATGCCGATAACCTTCCTCCGTGATTTCACTTGGAGGTCTGCTCGGCGAACCAGGCCTGCAGCTTCTCCAGGGCCCGGCCGCGGTGAGAGATCTTGTTCTTCTCGATCTTGTCCATCTCGGCGTATCTTTTTATAGCGAGGTCAGCGGTCCGATTGTTTCTGCAGAGTGGCACAAACAGACGCGAGGGAGGGAGGGACGGAGGGACAGCTCAGACCGAGACCTCCCCTCCTCACGACCCCCGGGTTCCTTTCGACTTACGTCTGTCCCTCGTACTCAAAGATGGGGTCCCAACCGAAGTTGGCCGGCCCGCGCGCCGGCACGATCCTGCCCTGCGTGACGCCCTGGAACAGGATGGGCTCGTGGCCGGGGCCCTGCGAGAAGCCGAAGGTGCAGACCGCCTTGGCGCCCTTGTCCTCGTAGGCGGCGAGCAGGTTGTTGAGACCCTCGTGGCCTAGGTCCTTCATGAACCACTTGCTGTTAGGCGAGAGGATGTCAGCCAACTCAGTTCCACACAACACTTTTCCTTTTTTTTTTGGGCCTAACTCATGTGACAACAACATACATGTATGGTCCTGGCAGGCCCTTGAGCGCGTCGAAGCAGAGGCAGGTGTCCTCCACGAGCACGGGGCCGCCGACCTGGATGGGGTGTTTTCGGTCAGTGAGTCTGTCCTGCCTCGGCTGAGGTCTATGAAAATTCTTTACGAAGGGGAGAAGGGGCGCACCTGTTCTGCAGCACTCTTGCACTTTGCTATCGTGACCTCTTCCAGCGTGCCCTGAACCTCGATCAGGTCCAGCGCCTGGCTCCGGACCTCGATCGTGGGCTCCAGGATGGCCTTGACCTCGCCGAGCTTGTTCTTGTTGCCCGTGATGAAATTCACCACGTGAGTGGCTGACGTCGGTTTTTCGGTGGCCATGACAATCTGTTTGCTTTTCTCGCAAGAATCCAACACTTTGGTTTGTAAAATCGAGGCCTTAAAAATAAACAATCACAAAGATGTTGCGAAGGGGGCAGCTACTGCTTTCCGTTTATGTATCCATGTGTGTAAATGGCCCTCGCCGATTGAGTCAATCCGCTGGGGTCGGGGGCTAACGGTGGAACATGTTTTCGGCTTAATCGCATATCACCACTTACCGCCAGGGCATCGAGCCTGAAGTGAACATAAAGAGAGTCGTAAATAGAATCAATTAATCTCTAATTAGCATAGGCTGAGGCCTTTGGGCTGTCTTTCGGCGTATTGTTTTGTTAGCCATCGGTGAGCATGCGAAATACTCAGGTCGCCGTAATTCAAGAAAACCAAGACAGAAACCACTCTTGGTTGGCGCATTGTTCATGGGTATCATTGCATTTTAACTCGCCACTCCTAACGTCGGCCTGCGAAGCTCGAGGCCCGCACAACTGCTTCCTTCTCATCGATCCGCGTTGTCTTCCTTCCACTGCTTCAGCCACGCCTCGATGCGCTCAATGTTGGTCTCCATCTCCTCGGGCGTGTTGCTCTGGAGCTCCACCACGATTTCCTCGTCGTACGACTCCCGCGCCTCCTGGGACAGCACCTCCATGATTTCCGAGTCTATGTTCTCCTGGAGCTTCGCCTCTGGGTAATTCCTAGCAACACGCATTAGCACTTTGCTGAATGTTAAGCCTTGCACCTTGCTCCGCGTGCCCCCCTTCCTTGCCACTGAGTTTTCATGCAGCTCACAGGAAGGGCAGGGCGGGGGAGCCTCGCAAGCTCTGCATCAGCCGTAAATCCTCCAGACTCACCTCGCTTTCAACCCGGTCATAATGCACCGCCGAGTCCACCCTCAGCACAACAACGAGGTCGATCCAGCTCTTGGGGAACAGATCGCACGCGTGCCAGTCGATCATGCACCCTCCGGCCTTGCACTCGTCCTCAATAGCGTCAAGAAGCTACAGATGACCTCGTCAGCCACAACACCCTGCAGCTGTTCCCATCACCGCTGGCTGGTTTTGCTTCGGGCGCTCACCTTGTCCTCATCCACGATCCAGCTCTGATACTCATCGTCCCAGCCCTCGTGGCACTCCCTCCCCTTGACCACCTGGTTCACACTCAGGTGCTTCAGCCCCGTCTTCTCGGCCAGCACCTCGCAGTGGGTCGTCTTGCCTGTGCCAGGCGTGCCGGTGACGATGATATTTGGGAGGGACCTCGCCATGTTTGGTTCAGGCACTAACTATCCAGGCGGAAATGATATTGGGTCAGATAGAATTCAAAGTGCAAAATTGTGCCTCGTAAAGCGTGATTTACGTCAATATGAAAACAAGAATTGGGATTTTTGGTGTTTTGCGGCAGTATCGCTAAAAGTTGTTTTGTCAAGAGTTCGGTTTGTTGCAAATGATATCTTATATCCCAAAAGGCGCTGTGGAAAATTTCAGAGGATTTTGACCAGTTTGGTTTGGGGGGGGGGTTCTCAAGGGTAAGGGTATGCAGCGTTTTGGGCAGCTCCGTTTGGTCACTCCGTCTTGAGTTCCTCAACGAATCGTCGCAAAGGTTGATGGGGCAGCGACTCAGGCAGAGAGATGCCTCGTTGACCCAGCGCCGGAGATGTTCCACTCTGTTTCCAAGCTTAAACACTACTATACAAGGTTGGAAATGGTGCAGACAATTCACACATCGGACCGATTATGCTGAATAATGGACGGCGTTGAAGGACTCGTAATGCCCAGAGTTCAAGACTTTCGAAACCGCTCCTGACATGATTAACAAGATTTGGGCAGGAGGCTGTGATGTTCCAAATAATGACTTGTTTCCGGGATGAGCGGTCGACTACCTGACAAACGTACTTCTGTCAACGCCTTGCCCCGAAAAGCGCCGCCTGGGGACACTTGTCTACCCACAATGCGGCCGGTGTATGCTGGTGAAGATCATATTGGGACCCCGAAACAGCCACAATAAAAGCCCGGAATCCTCCTCTACCTCAAAGCGATCGGAGTGTAAAAATTTTCCACATCAATGTCCTCCTCTGTACTCGTCGCTGCCCTCCTTCCCTGCCCTTTCCTTTTGGCGCATGGACACGCAGAATTCACCAAGCCCCCCTTTGCGAATTATGGTCTAGAGGCGTAACCGATAGGCAAAACCGTAATGATCAACAAGGAAACTGCATGTGTCGTCGAAGACCTGAGACCATGTCAAGACTGCCGTAGAGACATTTCGTCGGCCGGGCGAGTTCCCATCGACTGGACCCCGAGGTGAGGTGATGCAAAATCCAAGAACCCGAAGCAGATCCTAAGCGACAAAAATCGAGACGCTTAGCTCTGCTTGCACTCCGCTGCCTCCTGTTTGGGCTTTGATCCGTCATCCTAAGAGTCGTGTTAGAGCACGGTCAACATGCATCGATAGGTGCTCAAGGGCCTTACGTCATCCTCGTCGGACTCCTCGTCCTCGTCACGGTCCTCGCTGAGGTCGTCCTCGTCGTCGTCATCCTCGAAGTCCTCCTCGTCGAAGTCCTCCTCATCCATCTCCTCGAAGGCGAGGGCCTCCCCGGTGAACCAGTCGATGGCGCGGGGGATCAGCTTCTCCTTGATGTCCTCACCGAGCTGGTAGTCGAGCTCGAGGCGCTCCTCAATGTCAGAGGCGGCGTCATCGTCCTCCTCGCTTGGTGCGTTGGGCGGGGAGAAGAAGTTGAAGAAAGACTCGGTGGGAACGGTCTTCTTGACGATACGCGTCTGTTTTGTGTCTGTTTGATTCGAGTCAGCTGCTTATGTCCAACAAGCGACGGCGACGTCTACAGGGACAGTGGCTTACTCTTGTTGCGCTGCTTCTTTTGCTCGACCCTTACTGTGAGGTCCTTACCCTCCTTCCAGTTAATCTTGTCGCCCTCGGCGTGGTCGTAGATGAAGTCGCCACCGTAGCCGGACTCGTTCTGGTAGAAGTAGGTCTTGGTGATGGTCTTGTTTGTGAAGTACTCGTTCTCGTCGAACTCGAAGATCAGGCGGAAGCCAGGCTTATCCAGGTACTCCATGCGGATGTCCGTCAGATGCTTCAGGGCACCCTCGTCACGGTCGGTGATCATCTCAGCGAGGGAGATCTGGTTCTTCATGGCGGACAGCCAGAACTCGGGGATACCCTTGACAGCCTCATTGGACTCGGCGGGCTTCTCGGCCTTGTCAGCAGCGCCGGTGGTCTCCTCGTCCTCATCCTCCTCGTCGTCTTCCTCGCCGGCCTCAATCTCCTGCTCTGTGGGCTCAGTGGTGCCATTGACGACGGCGGCACGCTTCTCGTACAGCGGGGTGAACTTCGCGAAGTACTTCTTCTCCAGCTGGAGGACCTCCTCCTGGAACTCGGCCTCGAGCTTGGAATGCTCCTTCTGGATACCCTTCAGGCCGGCGACGCGCTTCTTGACCTGGGTGGGTAAGGACTCGATGTAACCGGATGAGCGGCCAACGAGACTGCCGAGACGGCCTTGGATCATCTGAACGAGCTTTGGGTTCTGCGCGAAGATAGAGGCAGCCGCGGCACGGTCCAGGTCCTCTGTTGTGGCGAGGATATCAGCATTCTGGGTCACCACGGCCGACAGGGTTTCACGAGCGAGCGGAGCGCGGGGTACTACTAACCCTCCTTGATGCTATCAACGCCGGGTTGCTGGGCGTGCGATGAGATGGGAGCATTGTTGGCGGGGGTGTTCTGGGGGGTACTGCAGGTTTGAGGTTGTGCTGTCAGCGGCGGGCTCAGAGCTGGTGGGCTTTTTTTCCGCGGTTGTTGGTCGTGTTGACGGGAACGCGGGGAGAGCAGGCAAAGCGCCTGTGGCAAGTGGGACTGGGCGTCTGGGAACGGGGACTGGGGCTTTGAGAATGGCGCTGCAACTTACGGGGCCACGGCGATTTCAGGCCGCTTGTTCTTGATGGGCTCAGCCATTTTGGAGGTGGTTGCGATCTGGGAAACGAAGGGATGGGTATCTCGGAGAGACAAAGTGGTGATGGCTGTGGGAAAATATGGAGGGAGAAGGAGAAAAGCGGTGATCGATCGTAGCGCGAGGGAAGGGATTGAGGAAGGAGGTGGAGGGCCCGAGGGATGGGATGGTTGATTGCAAATTTTTGGAGACAGAGGGAAGGCGCTCCACCCCACTCTTTGGCTCTGGGCGGCTCTAATCGTTGGGCGGCGAATGGCTCGTTGAACACGTTTTTGTTGGCGAGCGAGGCGGCGAGGGAGTGAGTGACTGCGTGCGTGCGTGCGTGCAGCACCAAGTCTGCTTGCCGTGCCTTTCCTTGCCTTCACCTCAAACCACACACACACACACACACACACACACACACACACGCGCGCGCGCGCGCGCAACCAACCAACCCATGCAGTGCCCGTGGACCACACTACAGATACCGTTCGTTCGTTCGTTTGTTCGTCCGTCCGCCCGCCCGTCGACTAACTTTGACGACTTTGAAAAGTCTAGCCGCCTGGCACCCGCCCCCTTCGTGTTATCCCCATCGCCTATCGCCATCATTATCGCCACCACCCAGTTCACCATGAACCATCATCCACCATGTTAGGTAGTTCACGCCAGGACAGACATTCTGTCTTGCTCATGCATCCAAGCCCCGGTTGCACGGTGTCTGTTTTTTTTTTTTTTTTTGTGCAAAATAGCTTCGCTCACGATCATGCGGCCCAACGCCCACGGAAAATATAGCCCAATGGATCTAGTAAGTGCTGCATCCTGGAACCGTCTTACTACCGGGCGTCTCACATCATGCCGATTTATGCTCCGTAGCCCCGGACCGGCTACTGCTACCAGCAAGCATCGCAGGTCAACCGCCTGCTGCTGCTGGCAGAGTCGGCAGGAAGTCCAATCATGCCCAGGCGGGTGGGCGAGCAGGTGGATGACATCCCTCAGACGGCACTCCACGTTTTCATGCAGCAACACACTTTCTCACATCCTGACTGTTTTCAAATCCAATGCAACTGGGAGCTTACCTGCTCATAACGGTGGGGGGATGGCAAACCGCAGGTTTTGCCCTTCGTCTCTGCAAGTATGCTCGGGGTCAGCGACACGGCGGCCGACGCTTGGTCCCAACCTGTCCTGGCCGATTGTGAAGCTCTTCTGACGGGTCCGACTTGTGCACTCATGCGTAGGCCCGTTCTCCCTAGTAGATGCACGGGGCTCTGAGTCCGCTTGCATGGGAACCGGGCTTCTACTGTCGCCTCTAGGGAAAGCGCAGCCCGATCTTTTCGTAACGTCGAGTTATTATATGTAGGTGATGCAGGGACGGGCGGCTGTGCGCAAGCCGAGGTTGTACGGGGTTCTGTGTTTACATCGAGCACAACATGAATCCGCTCCGGGCTTTGAATTGGACTTGGACTTGGACTTACATGGGGGCTGTTCCGAATCCAGGGTGGCCTGCTTTTCAATTTCACACTTGCATGCTGCTGCTGCTGCCAGTGCAGACCACGCACTCGCGCGGCTCACCTCGTGGGAGCTCACGTTCTTATAGGGCGCCCAGCACCTCACAGCAAGGACAGATGAACACGCACGGAGATGAACCCTCGAGGTGGCCAGTCCGATGATGAAATATCGAGACCTGCACGCATTTCGTTTGCTCATGGAAGGTGCTTCGGTGATTGACGTAGCACGCACGCCTCCGCGATACCGCACGAGGCTTGTCCCACTGCACATGTCCTATCGTCTGAACTGCTTGTACCCCACACTATCTAGGTATTTTGCTTCATATCTGCTGCGTGGCTGCCTGTCTATGCGTGCACTGCAGGCCGGTATCTGTCTTGGGTGACATCTCGTGCTGCTGCTACCTGCCGTGGACGTGCAAGAGCAGCACCGTCCTTCTCCATGGGGTCATGGAGAGCCGCGTGGAGAGGGAAAAGACCTTCCGAAGTCGTCGAGAAATTTTTCATGTCATGGCACAGCGAGGACGGCGTGCGTGGGGGGGCTACAGAGGTGGCCAATGAGTCAGGCCCCACCATTTCCTCTCCTAAACAGTCATCAAGGTGTCGGGAGAACTAAAGTGGTCTGTCAAAGGAATCTGTATTTAAGCGCATCTAGTTCTCCTAATTGTAGCCCGGCTTTTGCAAATGCTTATGACAATAGCGTCAAGTGAATCTCCGTGTTTCGCTGTCATATTTTAACATCACTCCTTGTCTCGCCGTCAGAGAAATTCCTTGCTGCCGTTGTCATCCTACCCGCCGTTGACGTTTCAGCCCACCAAAGCCCTGCAGACTCGTCATACCACTCGCTTCCCGAAGACTCATTCCTCAAGCAAACCAACTACACCATGGCTCCTCAGGCTCAAGACATCGCCGTCCGTGGGTCGGCACCCAGCAGCTCTCATCACGAGCTCAGCGTCTCTCCCTCTGCCACCTTCCACAGCCCTTCCAGCTTCCCCCACAGCTTTGGCACAACAACCTCAGCACATCAAGCCGGCACTAAGCAGCTCAAGCCCTTTGAGACAACAGACATCAAAATCCTGCTCCTGGAAAACGTCAACCAGAGTGGTCAGGACATCCTCAAATCCCAGGGATACCAGGTCGAGGCCCTGAAGACTTCTCTTCCTGAGGAGCAACTCATTGAGAAAATCCGGTAAGTTACCCGGATGACTCAGTTCTCAACATCCCCCTTCCCCATGTGGATGCAGCACGCAGAGGTTAACATATCGCAGTGATGTCCATGTCATTGGCATTCGTTCAAAGACAAAGTTGACTGAAAAGGTCCTGAAAGAGGCCAAGAACCTTCTCGTCATTGGTTGCTTCTGCATCGGCACCAACCAAGTGGACCTTGACTATGCAGCCAAGCATGGTATTGCCGTCTTCAACTCACCCTTCGCCAACTCCCGCAGTGTTGCCGAGCTCATCATCGGAGAGATCATCGTGCTGGCCCGCCAGCTTGGTGACCGCTCCAGCGAGCTGCACCGCGGCACCTGGAACAAGGTCAGCTCAAAGTGCTGGGAGATCCGTGGCAAGACGCTGGGCATCATCGGCTACGGCCACATCGGGGCTCAGCTATCGGTCCTGGCCGAGTCCATGGGCATGAACGTCATCTACTACGATATCGTCACTATCATGGGACTGGGTACGGCCCGCCAGATGCCTACTCTGGACGCCCTGCTCGAGGAGGCCGACTTCGTCACCTGCCACGTCCCCGCCACCCCCGAGACCAAGGGTATGATCTCGACCTCCCAGCTGAGCAAGATGAAGGACGGCGCGTACCTGCTCAATGCGTCGCGCGGTACAGTCGTCGACATCCCCGCCCTGATCAACGCCATGCGCGGCGGCAAGATTGCCGGCGCCGCCCTTGACGTCTACCCTAATGAGCCCGCCGCGAACGGCGACTACTTCACCAACGACCTGAACTCGTGGGGAGAGGATCTGCGCAGCCTGAAGAACCTCATCCTCACCCCGCACATCGGCGGCAGCACCGAGGAGGCCCAGCGAGCCATCGGCATCGAGGTCGCCGATGCCCTGGTCAAGTACATCAACCAGGGTCTGACCGTCGGCTCCGTCAACCTTCCTGAGGTGACGGTGCGCTCGCTGACCCTGGACGAGAGCGATCACGCGCGCGTCAGCTTCATCCACAGGAATGTGCCGGGTGCCCTCAAGCAGTGCTACGACATCCTGATGCCGCACAACATCGACAAGGCCACCAGCGACAGCAAGGGTGACATAGCCTACATGATCGCGGACATTAGCGGCGTCCAGATCAGCGACTTGAGGAACATCTCGGACGAGCTCAACTCGCTCAGCTCGAGGATCATGACGCGCATCCTGTTCTAAGGATTGGTTTTTTTATGGGTTCAGGTCGTCGGTAGACAAAAAGAAGGTTCAACAATGAGTGGCGTTTACTGGATAAATCGGATGGCAGTCGAGAAAGGCTTTTAGATCATCTGGGCGTTCAACAGCACCCTGGCATCTTACTCGCATGCGGATTTCGAGTCTTTTTGAGTAATAAAATACTGGCCTGATCATCCTGGGTTTTCTGTATCCTTTAGCATGACGAACCCCTACGCGTACCCTCGGCGGACTTGATGAGTATTTCTCGTAGAATACCGTTTGTTGACAAGGGCTACTTTGTTCTCTTCCTCAGGAAATTCTAAACGCATCCCTACTGTTAAATACCAGGTAGACCTTCAGCTTATGCTTGCAAGGGTCGTGAGAAGTTTCGGGTGGCATGATTGGCGTGCTGTACAGATTTGAGATGACACCTGGTCAATTAGAAGAGGCAGAATATGGACCAAGCCGACTGTGCGTGACATCCTACACTTCAACAAGAGATTATCAAGTCTCCGGACATCCGAACTCACCGACCGTGCGGGAGGAATATGCTTTGACCAGAGAGCTTCACTCGTCGAGGTCGGCCCTCACGCACTCGTCCATTTTGGAAGATCAGCCGCCCGGACGTTGAGGTAGCATAGTGCCCGCTGGGACGCTGTTGCATCCATCTCGCTTGCATCGCGGCGCACCTTTCGATCAGACCTCAATCCCCAGTGATGGTTTGTTCCGCATAGACGAGCTACACACGTGCATCTCAGCAGCCATCACGACAGATGAGAAGACCAGGGAGAGCTTTCGTCAGCGGTGGAGCTGCATCCAGCTTCCCGCGGGCTGTCTGTCGGTCCCGCCATCGGAGATGATATTCATGCGGGTGCGAGCGCACAGAGAGTCTGGTGCAGGCTTGACACTTTTATGGACACAGAGGTTCTCAGTTCTCACTTTCACTCTTTGCGCTTGTCTGTTGGTGAGTGGGTGTGCAGAGGCATATGAAGTGTGAGCGAGCAGCGATGAGCGCGTTGCAGCCATTGGTACGGTATCATGTTTTTTTTTTTAATTACTTTGCCTATTTTATTTGCCGCGGTACAACGTGTGGTTACCTGCGAGTTAGCCCGGGGTACTAAGGCATGCAAGGTGTTCTCGCGACGCAGATCCTCAGGGGCTCGCTGGCTGGCTGGTCCTTCTCGCGCGTTCCAGAGGAAGGGTCCCCTCGTCCTCGCCGTGCGCATGCTTGGCCCTTTTGCGGTCTGCCCATGGGGAAGCGGAGATTGCTATTCAGCTCAGGGGCAGGCCGAGTAGCTGCTGAAGAGCATGAATGGTAAATACGCATAGAGAATACGGGAACGAACACCGCGTCGATTTCTCATGCAAGACAAATTGTTGCATCGGAGAGCATGGGATCTGGGTTAGGGAAGCTGTTGGGGTGGCTCTTCCCTTGGCTGGATCTTAGGGGCCGTTCTCTAGCGCGGGGACCTGAGGCCTTGCCCCGGCAGGGGGTGCGGTGGACAGCTGCAATGACTTCGACTAGGTACCTGCTCTCTCTGCGTATGAAGGTATATACAATTATTTGTAGGTAGGCATCCAGGTACTCACAGTAGACATAAAGCAGGCACTGTATCACAAAGTCTCGAGGTTGGACGACCTGTTTAATATGACCTACATACGCGTTAGAGATAGTAGATGAAAAGCCTGTGCAGCCGTCGTGTCTACGACGAGTCAACCCAATAGAGCCCTTTCCGGCCTCGTGGACTGACAGCTGAGGCAGGGCAGTTTCGGTGTCCCAACAGGTTACCCTCCCTAGGGGCTCGAGTAAAGTACCTCCCAGGCCGGCGGTGCACGCAGAACCGCTTTGTATCCACCGCAGTACAGTACAACACGTCTCCGCCTCAACGTGGAGTGACAAAGTAGCCTCCCAGTACAGTATGTCGGGAAGACCTATGTACCTGCCACAGTAGCTGCATGCAGGAGCTTGCATTGGCCCAGTCGGCAGCACGTTGACTGAGCGAGCCCCACAAAGCGCAACCTTCACACCGCGACTTGCTAACCTCTGACACGCCTCTCTCCCTATGAGCCAGTGCCAACCCCCGTCTGCGCTGTGGCCCCTTTTCACCGTTGCGACCAGGACTGCCAGACCGCATGATGGCCGGACAGTAGAGTACAGCAAAGCACCAAATTTGTTTTAGCCCAGCACGAAACGGACCACAGCCACGACCCTTTCTCTGGACGACCGACCTCCAACGACGGCATCGCGTCCGGATCCTGAACCTGAACCTGCATCTGGACTGGCCTTCCTTTCACCACCGCAGCACAGCACACCACGGGCATCGTCCTCGGCGCTGGCTTCCATTATCCTGCCCGTCCTCTCCTGGTCAATGTCCTCCGGCAGCGTTGAACACTGGCTTGTCCGTTCCTGATTGATAGATACCCTCCGGTCTCCACCTACTTCTTTGGTAACTTCCACGAATGTCTCTTTCTCCAAGGACTCGCCAACCTTGCTCCCGGTAGTGTCTGCTACGAACTGCCTCCCTTACGCCGCCGACCTCCCCTCCCTATCTGATACACGCTCAATGCGGCCAGCGCTATCTCGATAGAACACCCGACACAGATCGTGTAATATGTCCTCGAATTACGATGTTGGCACCCGGGCGTGGCAGCCCGATGCCGCCGAGGGCTGGGTTGCTTCCGAGGTCACAAAGAAGCAAGTAGATGGCGACAATGTCATCCTGACCTTCAAGCTCGAAAATGGCGAGGTAAGTAGCTCCCGAGACCACTCGGGACCGTCTTCGGAGAGGCAGCCACTGACACAGCGAGTATAGGAGAAGGAGCTCAAGATCCCCCTCGCTACCCTGGAGAAGGGCAGTGACGACACCCTGCCTCCGCTGATGAACCCAACCGTGCTCGAGGCCAGCGATGACCTGACCAACCTTTCCCATCTTAACGAGCCAGCAGGTATGAACCTCCAGCTCCAAAAGCCCCAGCTTGCCGTCTTTGCTTCTAACACGACACTCGTGCTCCAGTCCTGCAAGCCATCAAGCTTCGCTATCTCCAAAAAGAAATCTACACATACTCCGGTATCGTGCTAATAGCTACAAACCCGTTCGCCCGTGTCGACTCCCTCTACGTCCCAGGCATGGTCCAGGTATATGCTGGGAAACAAAGAGCAACCCAGGCACCCCATCTTTTCGCCATCGCCGAGGAGGCGTTTATAGACATGTTGCGGGACAAAAAGAACCAGACCATTGTTGTGTCCGGCGAGTCCGGTGCTGGAAAGACCGTGAGTGCCAAGTACATCATGAGATATTTCGCAACCAGAGAGTCGCCAGACAACCCCGGGGCGAAGTCCAAAAAAGGCTCCGACGCGTTGAGCGAAACCGAGGAGCAGATTCTTGCTACCAACCCTATCATGGAAGCCTTTGGTAACGCGAAGACGACTCGGAATGACAACTCGTCCCGATTTGGAAAATACATCGAGATCATGTTCAACAGCAATACGGACATCATTGGCGCAAAGATTCGGACATATCTGCTGGAGCGATCAAGATTGGTATTCCAGCCTATGAAGGAGCGCAACTACCACATTTTCTACCAAATGCTTGCAGGTGTCTCCGAGCAGCAGCGACAGGAATGGAGTCTCCTTCCGGTCGAGCAGTTCGAGTACCTCAACCAGGGAAACACCCCGACCATCGACGGTGTGGATGACAAGGCCGAGTTCAAAGCGACCATGAGCTCTCTGTCAACAGTCGGTGTTGACGAGGCTACCCAGACCGAGATCTTGAAGATGCTCGCCGGTCTTCTGCATATGGGTAACGTTAAGATCGGTGCCTCGCGGAATGATAGCGTGCTCCCGCCTGACGAGCCCTCTCTTGAGAAGGCTTGTCTTGCCCTTGGAATCGATGCTGCTGAGTTTGCCAAGTGGATCGTGAAGAAGCAACTTGTCACTAGGGGTGAGAAGATCACATCCAACCTGAGTCAGGCCCAGGCCATCGTCGTCCGAGACTCAGTTGCCAAGTATATTTACTCGAGTCTTTTCGACTGGTTGGGTCGAGGTCACCAACCGCAGCCTGGCCACAGACGAGGTCCTGAGCCAGGTTCAGTCCTTCATTGGTGTCCTGGATATCTACGGTTTCGAGCACTTCGCGAAGAACTCTTTCGAACAATTCTGTATCAACTACGCCAACGAGAAGCTGCAGCAAGAGTTCAACGCACATGTGTTCAAGCTTGAGCAGGAGGAATACCTCAAGGAGAAGATCGACTGGACCTTTATTGATTTCTCAGACAACCAGCCCTGTATCGATCTCATCGAGGGCAAGCTGGGTATCCTGTCCCTGCTTGACGAGGAGTCGAGACTTCCGATGGGCTCTGACGACCAGTTCGTCACCAAGTTGCACCACAACTATGCCGACAAGAACGCTTTCTACAAAAAGCCCCGTTTCGGCAAGTCCGCTTTCACAGTGTGCCATTATGCCGTCGACGTCACGTACGAGTCGGAGGGTTTCATAGAGAAGAATCGCGACACCGTGCCGGATGAGCATATGGCCGTCCTGAGGTCAAGTAAGAACCAGTTCCTGGTATCGGTGCTCGATGCTGCCGCATCTGTTCGCGAGAAGGACGTGGCATCAGCAACCACGAGCTCGGTCAAGCCAGCCGCCGGCCGGAAGATCGGTGTGGCTGTTAACCGCAAGCCCACTCTTGGCGGCATCTTCCGATCTTCGTTGATCGAGCTCATGAGCACTATCAACAACACGGATGTTCACTATATTCGTTGTATCAAGCCCAACGAGGCCAAGGAGGCTTGGAAGTTCGAAGGGCCCATGGTGTTGAGTCAGCTCCGAGCTTGTGGTGTCCTCGAGACAGTCCGCATCAGTTGCGCTGGATACCCGACGCGTTGGACGTACGAGGAGTTTGCTCTTCGTTACTACATGCTGACACCGTCGAGCCAATGGACGGCGGAGATTCGGCAGATGGCCAATGCTATTCTGGTGAAAGCCCTGGGAGAGAGCACCGGCCCAGGTCAGGACAAGTACCAACTCGGTCTGACCAAGATCTTCTTCCGAGCAGGCATGTTGGCCTTCCTCGAGAACCTCCGCACTAACAGACTCAACGACTGTGCCATCATGATTCAGAAGAACCTGAAGGCCAAGTACTACCGCCGCAGGTATCTTGACGCCAGGGAATCCATCGTTCAGACCCAGTCCGTTGCCAGGGCTTACATGGCAAGGCGAAAGGCTCAGGACTTGCGGACCATCAAGGCTGCGACTACCATTCAACGGGTCTGGCGTGGGCACAAGGAGAGGAAGAACTTCCTTCGCATCAGGGCCGACCTCGTACTTGCTCAGGCTGCCATCAAGGGTTACCTGCGCAGGAAGGAGATCATGGAGACGCGTGTCGGCAATGCTGCTTTACTTATCCAGAGAGTATGGCGATCAAGGCGGTCGCTGCGGACCTGGAGGCTATACCGCAAGAGGGTTGTCCTTATCCAGAGCTTGTGGCGTGGTAGGAAGGCGCGGAAGGAATACAAGGGTCTCCGTGAGGAAGCCCGCGATCTCAAGCAGATTTCCTACAAGCTTGAGAACAAGGTTGTTGAGCTTACTCAGTCCCTTGGCACAATGAAGTCGCAGAACAAGGAGCTCAAGGCACAGGTGGAGAACTACCAGAGCCAGATCAAGTCCTGGCAGACACGGCACAACGCGCTCGAGGCCAGGACGAAGGACCTTCAGGCCGAGGCCAACCAGGCAGGTATCGCCGGAGCCCGCCTGCAGGTTATGGAGGAGGAAATGAAAGAGCTGCAGGCTCGTTTCGAAGAATCTGCCGCCAACCTCAAGCGAATGCAGGATGAGGAGAAGCAGTTGCGAGAATCCCTGCGGGCAACCAACACAGAACTCGAGGTGTCCAAGCAGGAAGCCACTCGCCACGACAGTGAGAAGAACTCGCTGCGTCAACAATTGGTTGAGCTTCAAGACGCACTGGAGCTTGCCAGGCGCGAGGTGCCTGTCGGAGCTGAGATCAACGGCAACGGCGTTCAGCCTGCTGTCAACGGCCTCATCAACCTGGTTTCCTCCAAGAAGCCAACTAAGAGACGGAGCGCTGGGGATCCCCGGGATGTCGACCGCTTCAGTGCAGCGTACAATCCTCGCCCTGTCTCGATGGCTGTCACTGGCCGTCAAGCTGTCATGTCAGGATCGACTCTCATTCCTGGCGCTGACAGCATCGAGATGGAACTCGAGGCTCTCCTCGCCGATGAGGAGGGTCTCAACGAGGAGGTCACCATGGGTCTTATCCGCAACCTGAAGATCCCTTCGCCCAACACCAACCCACCTCCCTCCGACAAGGAAGTCCTCTTCCCCTCGTACCTCATCAACCTCGTTACTTCCGAGATGTGGAACAACGGGTTCGTCAAGGAGTCCGAGCGCTTCCTTGCCAACGTCATGCAGTCCATTCAGCAGGAGGTTATGCAGCACGACGGCGAAGAGGCCATCAACCCAGGTGCTTTCTGGCTCTCCAACGTCCATGAGATGCTCTCCTTTGTCTTCCTCGCTGAAGATTGGTACGAGGCGCAGAAGACAGACAACTACGAGTACGATCGACTCCTGGAGATCGTTAAGCACGACCTCGAGAGCTTGGAGTTCAACATCTACCACACCTGGATGAAGGTCTTGAAGAAGAAGCTCAACAAGATGATCATTCCCGCCATCATCGAGTCTCAGTCGCTGCCCGGCTTCGTCACGAACGAGAATAACAGGTTCCTCGGCAAGCTGTTACAGACGAACTCGCAACCTGCGTACAGCATGGACAACCTGCTCAGCCTCCTGAACAGCGTGTTCCGCGCCATGAAGGCATACTACCTGGAGGATTCCATCATCACCCAGACAATCACGGAGCTGCTCCGCCTGGTCGGCGTGACGGCCTTCAACGATCTGCTGATGCGCCGTAACTTCCTCTCATGGAAGCGAGGCCTGCAGATCAACTACAACATCACTCGTATCGAGGAGTGGTGCAAGAGCCACGACATGCCCGAGGGCACTCTCCAACTCGAGCACTTGATGGTAAGTTCTGCCGCGGACCTCGGCTTCCGTATACATCCACTAACGACGTTTACAGCAAGCAACGAAGCTTCTGCAACTCAAGAAGGCCACTCTTAACGACATCGAGATCATTCAGGACATCTGTTGGATGTGAGTAGTGCTGAAGCAAGGGCCCAAACGAGATGGACGGTGCTAATCAAAGATAGGCTATCTCCCAACCAAATTCAGAAGCTGCTGAACCAGTATCTCGTCGCCGACTACGAGCAGCCCATCAACGGAGAGATCATGAAGGCCGTAGCCTCACGAGTCACCGAGAAGAGCGACGTTCTGCTCTTGCAGGCCGTCGACATGGACGACAGCGGGCCTTACGAGATCGCCGAGCCGAGAGTGATCACTGCTCTCGAGACCTACACGCCTTCATGTAAGCAAGACGTCTTGTCCACTGATCTGCAAGTATCTAACATGACCGATTTAGGGCTGCAAACACCCAGGTTGAAGCGCCTTGCTGAGATTGTTTCCGCGCAAGCGATCGCTCAGCAGGAGAAGATGGAGTACGGCTCCCAGAGCGGGTACGAGAACGGTGACATTGAGGAGATGGACGAGACACCCGAGGCTATCGAGGCCAGCGCATAGAGTGCGCGGCCGGGGCTTCGATTATCGTCTGGTTGTTTCCCACAGCAGTCTCCAAGGTCGTTCCTGTTGTCTCCGTTTAAGAATGCCGGTAGCAAGAAGCCAGAAGGGAGCCCCTTGCGTGACTGCACGAATGGGCAATACCGGCGCGTGAGGGACTAGGGTGCCCTCCGATGTTGGGATTAGGAATTAGAAGGATGGGGACATGAGGCCATGGTTGTACGTACGTCATGTATGATTGCTTAGGTGTGTATGTATGTGTATGTGCAAAGGTTGGCGTGCGCGTTTGGCAGGTGCAATTCATGCCCTCTTAATCCATCTGGAATAGCATGGGGTTTCTTAGGGATTCCGGAAGAGATAAAGGGCGGGCAGTCTGAGGTCTATCGGGGTGGTTGATTTACGAGAGGCCAATGCGAAAGAGACGATGAAGGCGACGACCACATACAGCAGCGTAGACTTTGGCGTTATAGTCCATATCACCGGGGCGACTTCAGTATCGAGGCGTTCTGACTGAGCACGTTATAGTGTTACATGAAATGGCCCTGGGCTTCCTGGCAGTATTGAAAGAAAAGCAAACTTTCTCAATATTCCCCAATTCCCACTCCCACTCCCACCACCAGTGCGTCTTAGTCTCAAGCCATCAGACCCCCCATCAGGGTTCAACCCCAATCACACCCCACCAATGACGTCGCAGCCAGGCGAGAAATCGCTAGGTTTCGGACGCTCCCGCGAATAAGTGCACGAGGTCGCTATCGGGAGGATATCTTAGTTCTTGCCGGCTCTCACGCACTCATCCTTCCCACCTGGCTTCATTGCTTGATCAGGCCACAGCGACGAGGCAGAACCATGTCCTAGCCTCAGATGCGAAAATTAAAGTAGACGACATTCGACCTCGCTGGCCCAGAAGCCTTCCTCTTCTTCATACATGGCCGACAACCGAGGAAGAGGCGCGCCAGAGAGCGCAGAGAGCAGAGAAAATGGCAACAGCACCGGCAACGGCTACGGCTACGGCTACGGCCACGGCCACGATCCTCAGGATGGCCGCGGGAGCACGCCCCAGACGCCCAGGCTGTACAGGCTGAACTCGAACCAGAGCTCCACCAGCATCTTCGAGGACGTGGAGATGGCACACGATGAGGTGGGTGGCGGTCACGCGGGGAGCGCACGCCCGCGCGCCGTGTCTGAGACACTGCAGCTGACACGACCTGCAGCTTTACTCGGGCCCCATGGCCGAATCACTCCCGACCAGTGTGAATGCATTCGCCCACCGCCGCCGGAGCCGTGCCGACTCCACCACCAGCTTCGCTTTCTACCCCGACTCCCCAGAGGACGAGACCAGGGGAGACGACATACTAGACGATATGAGGATCGAGGACCTAGACGACGTCCCCTTCGCAGTGGATATAGGAGATGAGGAGGACGAAGAAATCGAGGAAGGAGGCGAGACGAATGGGGTGCTCCTGCCGAACGGCGGCGAGTTTGAGAGCGACGAACCTGGGGAGGATGAAGAGTCCTCGATGCTCCGGCGATCCTCCACACACTCCCGCCACTCGGTGCACTCCCGGCTCCTGCGCCGCGACAGCAACATGACCGAGACGAGCGCATACGGCGGCGGCAGGTTCTCCCAGAAGGTGTACATGGCGAACGAGGACCTCGTCGTCGTGCTCGCCGGATTCCGGACCAGCGTCGTGGGCCTGTCCGCGTATATCTTCATCTGCGTGGCGTCCCTCGGGCTCGGCTGGCTGCTGTTCCGGTGGATGCCGCGGTGGCACGTCTGGCTGACCGGCAAGCAGGCGCCGCTCCGCGAGGCGTCGTGGCTCGTCGTCGAGAACCAGTGGAACGAGATGGCGATCCTGACCGTCGACGTGAAGCCGTACGGCAGGGTCTTGTCGACCGTCTTCGGGGCGCCCACAAAGAAGGGCTCCTCAGCCTACCTTTTCGAATTCGACGACGACCCGATCTTGCAGGAGTTGAGGGTGGTCAACTACCGCTATGTGCGCTTTTACTTCCACCCGCTCTGGGACAAGTTCCGGCTTGTCAGCGGCTGGAAGGATCCGCTTTGGTCGGATGTGAGGTCCGTGAGAGATGGGATTGACAGCGACGAGAAGAATCACCGTGAGCTGGTGTTTGGGTCAAACCTGATTGACATTGAGCAAAAGTCCGTCTTCCGTCTTCTGGTCGATGAGGTCTTCCACCCTTTCTACGTCTTCCAGATCGCAAGTCTGGTGCTCTGGTCGATGGACCAATACTACTATTATGCGGTGGCCATTTTCGCCATGTCGGTGGTGAGCATCGCCACCACGCTCTTCGAAACCATCTCGACTATGAAGCGACTACGCGAGATCTCTCGCTTCGAGTGCGAAGTTCGAGTCCTCAGAGATGGATTTTGGCAGCACATATCCTCGGGGGAACTTGTGCCTGGCGACATCTACGAGATCACGGACCCGAACCTAACCCAGTTCCCAAGTGACAGTCTCCTGCTCAGCGGAGACTGCATCGTCAACGAAAGCATGCTGACCGGGGAGTCGGTCCCCGTCTCGAAAGTCCCAGCAACGGACAACACTCTGTGGGAGATGGGTCTCAGCGCTTCAGCGGTCACACCTGATGTCGCGAAGCATTTCCTCTTTTGTGGCACCAAAATCATCCGCGCCCGACGACCTCAAGATGACCGGAACCAAGAGGCAGTTGCCTTGGCCATGGTCGTCAGAACCGGCTTTGACACCACGAAGGGGGCTCTGGTGCGGTCCATGTTATTCCCAAAACCGTCCGGGTTCAAGTTCTACCGCGACTCATTCCGATACATATCCGTCATGGCTTGCGTAGCTATGCTGGGCTTCGTCGCTACTTTCGTCAACTTCATCCGCCTGGGTATCGCTTGGCACCTCATTATTGTCCGGGCACTGGACCTGATCACGATCGTCGTGCCCCCTGCGTTGCCGGCAACGCTGACTATCGGCATAAACTTTGCGATAAACCGGCTCAAGGGGAAGCAGATTTTCTGCATCAGCCCCCAAAGGGTCAACGTGGGCGGAAAGATAGACATCATGTGCTTTGATAAGACCGGTACGCTCACAGAGGACGGCTTGGATATCCTCGGTGTGCGGATCGTGAACAAATCAGCACATAGGTTTGAGGACCTTCTCACAGATCCGGCTGCGATAGCCAAGAAGCACAGCGCGTCAGCCAATGACGCCCAACCCTATGTGGCCAGCAAGGCGGCGCTATTCACCATGGCAACCTGCCACTCTCTGAGGTCCATCGAGGACGAGCTTGTTGGAGATCCACTGGACGTCAAGATGTTTGAATTTACAAACTGGTCCTATGAAGAGGGGCAGCAGGGTAGCGGGGGCGACGATGAGGAAGAGAACCGAGGTCTCTCGCCCTCTATCGCGCGGCCGCCGCCAGAGATGCGCCTTGACCTCCACAACAGCAACGCTACTGGCCAGCAGGTGCCACTTGAGCTGGGCGTGCTGAAACTATTTGAATTTGTATCCCAACTTCGCAGAATGAGCGTCATTGTCCGCACATTTGGCCAGGCGAGTGGCGACATCTACGTCAAGGGCGCGCCCGAGTGTATGCGGGAAATCTGCCGACCAGAGAGCTTCCCCTCGGACTACGAGGAACAACTCTCATACTACACCCACAAGGGCTACAGAGTTATCGCGTGTGCTACGAAACACTTGAAGAAGCTGAGCTGGGTAAAGGCACAGAAGATGACCCGGGCGGATGTGGAGTCTGACCTCGATTTCGTTGGGTTCATCATCTTTGAAAACAAGCTGAAGCCCACGACCGCAGCCGTTCTGGACGAGCTGCTGCAGTCCAACATTGGCTGTGTGATGTGCACGGGAGATAACATCCTGACTGCGATCAGCGTCGCAAGAGAATGCAACATGATTAACAGGACGGCACACTGTTTCGTGCCTCGATTCGTGGAAGGGCACTCGAGAGATCCCGAAGCGAAGCTACAATGGGAAAGCATCGATAACAACCTCCTCACGTTGGACGAGAAGACCTTGGTGCCGCTCCCTCCCCCAGCCGAAGTGGACGCGTCACTCCCTTACGATATCTCGGACCTCCGGAACTACTCCATCGCCGTCAGCGGCGATGTCTTCCGCTGGGTCGTTGATTTTGCCCCGGCAGAGGTGCTGCAGAGGATGCTTGCAACGGGCAAGATCTACGCGCGCATGTCCCCAGATGAGAAGCATGAGCTTGTCGAGAAGCTCCAGAGTATCGACTATTGCGCAGGTTTCTGCGGAGACGGAGCCAATGACTGCGGTGCGCTCAAGGCCGCGGATGTTGGGATATCGCTCTCCGAGGCGGAGGCTTCGGTGGCAGCACCGTTCACGAGCAGGATCTTCGACATCGGCTGCGTGCCCGATGTCATCCGTGAGGGCAGGGCGGCGCTCGTTACGAGCTTCAGCTGCTTCAAGTACATGAGCCTGTACTCTGCAATCCAGTTCACCTCGGTGTCGTTCCTCTACGCGTCGGCATCCAACCTGGGCGACTTCCAGTTCCTGTTCATCGACCTCGCGCTCATCCTGCCCATCGCGGTGTTCATGTCGTGGGCCGGCCCGTCACCAGAGCTATGCAGGAAGAGGCCGACGGCGGACCTGGTGTCGCGCAAGGTGCTGACGCCGCTGCTGGGGCAGATCTGCGTGTGCATCGTCATCCAGGCCGCGGCGTTCGTGGTGGTCAGGAGGCAGCCGTGGTTCATACCGCCGAGGGTGGACACGGAGAAGTCCAACATCAAGAACTCGGAGAACACGGCGCTCTTCCTGGTCAGCTGCTTCGAGTACATCCTGGCCGGGGTGGTGCTGAACGCGGGCCCGCCGTTCAGGATCGGCGTCTGGAAGAACTGGCCGTTTGTCGCGACCATCGGCGTCGCGCTGGCGATCACCGTGTACATGGTGATGGGCCCGGCGCAGTGGGCGAAGAAGGCGATGCAGCTCACCAAGATGAGCTGGGACTTCAAGTTGTTCTTGATCACGCTGGGGCTGGTGTACCTGGGCCTGGCGTGGACCAGCGAGTATCACGTCTTCCAGAGGCTTGCTGCTGTGGTTGGGAAGGTGAAGACGGCAGTGACGGGGAGCAAGAAGAAGAGGAAGCAGTACAAGGTCATCCGGGAAGAGATGATGGAATTGATGTGATTGATGCTTAAATATAGGAAGGATGGGAAAAGTTCAGAGGCGTGATTGGAAATATAAAGCAGCTATTAAAAATACAGTATACAGTTCAGTCTAATATGTATATTTCACAGGTCCTTTGAATTTGGGATTTGAGGTCGACGCTGCTCCCCCGGCCTTTCGCCAAACATTCAACTATGTCTCTGGAGGTTAGTTGGGTTACATTCCTGGGCCGGTTTGGTCCCAAGTTGCACCCGCACCGAGTGTTTCAAAAGCATGGCAGAGACAGTGGCCGGCTCGTTCCTTCCCGTTGCGATGTATGACCGCATCACTTCAGCTTGGTGGGGAATTACCGTCCGACACATCCATGCCCTGCACCGTAGTATTTACCTACCTTCCCCTAGCTTGAACCAGAGCTCTCGTGAGCCTCACGAGCTGCCTAGTTGCTTTTTGACAGCTGTTGCTACCAGGCTCACTTGTTCTCAGCCTCCAATTGCGGCCTGCACGCACTTAATCCTAGTCTCTTAACGAACAACTCGCATGTGTTGGTGACGATTCGTACTTGGCGACTCACCATTATCAAGTCACGATGAATTACGGTAAGTCTCAGCTCATAAATCTCAACACATCACCAAAGCCGATATGTTCAGCTTCACGAGGGCATACTAACCAGCATCGATAGTCTCGGACCAACTCCTGGACACCGTCCTGGACAGCGGGTACCTCCCGCACGCCGTCATCCGCGTCGGCATCCGGCGGCAGCTCCGCCAGCGCCTCGACGAGATCGCCTCCTCGTCGCTGGGCGACGCGCTGGACCGCAAGATGGAGTACATCGCCACGTCGCGCGCACGGCCCATCGCCATCGAGACCGCCTCGGCCAACAAGCAGCACTACGAGGTCGGCACCGGCGTCTACGTCAACACCCTGGGCCCCAGGATGAAGTACTCGTCGTGCCTGTACCCCAAGGGTACCGAGACCCTGGGCGAGGCCGAGGTCGCGATGCTGAGGGCTTATGTTGAGAGGGCCGAGCTGAAGGATGGCATGCGGATCTTGGACCTGGGGTGGGTGTGATCTCATCATGGCTCGGCTTCGCGCCGCTTGTGCCCCTTCTTTTGGGAATTGTCAATTGGCTCTAGCTGACGAATCATCTCATTCAGCTGTGGCTGGGGCTCGGGCGCGCTCTTCTTCGCCGAGATGCTGCCAAATGCCAAGGTGACGGCGTTTTCCAACTCCAAGACGCAAAAGCAGTACATCGACTCCAAGGCAGAGGAGAAGGGGCTGAAGAATCTGAATGTGATCAGGGGTAATGTGGTTGATTATGAGTTTGAGCCTGAGTCTTTCGACAGGGTCGTCTCCGTCGAGGTCAGTCTGCAGTCGATCTTGGATGCTTGTCTCGAACCTCTCCCATTACTGACGATTCGCCCCAGATGTTTGAACACATGAAGAACCACGAGAAGCTAATGGCAAAGGTCTCGAGGGCTCTGAAGCCTGGCGGCAAGTTCTTCTTGCATATCTTCTGCCACAAGGACACGCCCTATGATTATGAAGATGGCTGGATGACCACGCACTTCTTCACCGGAGGTACAATGATGTCCTTCGACCTGCTCCTGTACCACCAGCAGGATTTGAAGATCCAGAAGCAGTGGTGGGTAAATGGAAACCATTACTCCAAGACCTGCGAGGTGAGTTTGCCATCTTGGACTTACACAGCGTGCGTGCGGCGACTAATCTTTGGCCAGGACTGGCTCTCAACGATGATTAAGAACCGGGAGAAGCTGTGGCCTCATTTTGAGGAGACTTACGGCAAGGAGAATGCATACACGTGGTATAGCAGGTGGCAGATCTTCTACATGGCTTGCTCTGAACTGTTCGCATTTGACGGAGGCGACACTTGGGGTGTCGCACATTACTTGTTTGAGAAGCCCCAGCAATGAATGTAGACTTAGAAGACCGCTCTCGGGTAGATTCATAGTGGCCACCCTCCTCTATGCTATTGCGTAATTGATGTTCATTGTGTTCTCGCCATCTGAAGGCCTTTCGGAAACGGTATCGAATATGTCGTCTGCATTCCCTGTTCCTGTTGTGCCAGCCGACCAGACCGCTCGGGATCGGTAAGTCTTTAAAGCTAATCCTTCTAGCCATACCCTCTTCTCGTCGTCATCTAATGGTCCCAAGGGTGCTTCCAGCCCAGCAATACCGGCCCTGTACGGATGTGTCAGCTATTCTGTGTCGGATCTGGGTCGAGGGCGGGCTTCTAGCCCCAGGGCTCTGGTTGTCACGAACCGTCCTTCTTTGCGCGGTACATCAGCTGAGATTGAATGTTAGCAGCTGCTCCTCTGTCAATTGGGCGTTAAGGGACCCGAGCTTACGAAGAACCACATGCTGGCGCCCAAGCCTGTCGCGCAGAAGCGGTAGAATGGCGGCACATGTGGCCGAAAGTTGGCAGGAAAGCCCTTGGGAGGTTGAGGGGCCATTTCAGACAATAAATCAAGCTTTCAATGGGTGCGCAGCTCGCAGTGTAGGCTTGGTTTCTGCTACGAGTCTAAAGTCGCGGGCAGTAGTCGTCTTTCGAGGTCGTCCTTCTCCAAGCAGGTGATGTCGCAGTACCAGGCGAGCCGGCGTTCCCCCCCGTGTTCCGTTGAGTGGTCCGTGCGCCCCCCCCAGCCGGCCGCAGTGCTGTACCACTCACGAAAGGAGTCCCTGTCCAACAATGGCGCATTGGGCTATTATTCTTCGCCTTATTCACCATTTAACCCCTCCATTGTTCACGTCAACCTCGTATAAACAGGTTTTCCCAGGTGGGATTCCTGCGGGCATACCTGCAAGTCCCTCTCAGATGGCCCTTCTTCAACCGCTCCACAGATGAACTCTGTTCGACAACGTCACAGCCGAACAGCCACTGATCGCATCAACCTGGCCGATCTTCACTAAACAGCCTCGCAAGTCGCAGTGGAACATTCCATCCAGCGAGCAGCCTCTCGCTCGTGAGGCACTCGTCCCCAAACGGTGCCAGACCGACAACGAACAACCACAGATTCTCGCCAGCAAGGGTGCCACCACAGCCTCACCATGAGCGCGCCGACCCTGGGCGCTGGCGCGACCAGCTCGCCCCGACACTTTGCGCTCGACCATATGCGCCCAAAGAGCAGCTTCGTCGGTTGCTCTCGGATCGGCGATTTCGAAGTTCTGGGTAAGCTGGGAGAGGGAACATTCGGCGAGGTTCACCGCGCCAGATCCAGGAAGACCGGCGCCCTCGTGGCCTTGAAGAAGATCATAATGCACAACGAGAAGGATGGAGTGAGTTGGAGCGAAGCGCACCCGTCGATTAGATATATGCAACACGGTCGCTGACGGATGCAATTCAGTTCCCCATCACCGCTCTGCGGGAGATCAAGCTCCTCAAGCTTCTATCACACAAGAACGTTCTCAGGCTGGAAGACATGGCTGTTGAGCACCCAGCGAGGAGCAGTGGGTTCAGACTCTACCCCAGCCACAGCAGTGGTTCACTGACACCTCATGTGTTAGCCGACAAGCGCAAGAAACCCGTCGTCTACATGGCCACTCCATACATGGACCACGATCTCTCTGGCCTGCTCGACAACCCCTCCATCACCTTCACCGAGGCGCAGATCAAGTGCTACCTAGTGCAGCTTCTCGAGGGTCTCAAGTACCTGCACGAAAACAAGATCCTACACCGAGACATGAAAGCGGCGAACCTTCTAATCAACAACAAGGGCGTCCTCCAGATCGCAGATTTCGGTCTCGCGAGGCTCTACGACGAACCGCCCCCTGTGAAAGGCCGGGGTGGCGGCGAAGGCAGACGTGACTACACTAGCCTGGTGGTTACGCGCTGGTACCGGCCCCCTGAGCTTCTGCTACACCTTAAAAAGTACACCACGGCCATTGACATGTGGGGAGTTGGGTGAGTCCTCCCAAGTCCAGAATACAAGGCATCGCGCTCATTTGTTGTCAGTTGCGTCTTTGGAGAAATGCTCTGGGGAAAGCCGATCCTGGCTGGTGAGAGCGATCATCACCAACTTGAGATTATCTTCGACCTGTGTGGCACACCCACGGAAGACAACATGCCAGGCTTTAGGCACCTTCCCGGAGCGGAGGCAATCAAGCCTCGGCCACGACCCGGCGACCTTGGCCATCGCTTCGCTAAGTAAGTCAACCCTAGTCTGTCTGCAGTTCTAGTAGCGTGTCTAACAATGTGATAGGTACGGACAAGGAGCTGTTGCCCTCCTCAGAGAACTCATGCGGCTTGACTGGAAAAGGCGCATCAATGCGATCGACGCCCTTGAGCATCCGTACCTGCATACGGCTCCATTACCGGCACAACCTGGCGAATTGCCTATTATGGAGGAAAGCCACGAGCTCGACAGAAGAAAGTTCCACGACCGTAAGGCGGCCCTTCCTCCCGCTCCCAAGGGCGGGACTGTTGGACGCGGACCGCAGCCGCATGATGGTGCTGGAAACCCCAGCTTTAACAGCAATGATGTTTATGGCGGCCGCAACGGCATGAATGGCGGTCGATACCCTCCTCCCCCTCACCGAAATGGCCCTGGACCAGGTGAGAGGGTGCCGGCTTGGTCGCGAGGCCCACACGCGCTTCCGCCACGACCTCCACCTCCCGTCGATAACTACGGCAGCGGCGGACCGGATATGTATCTTGACGGACACCGAGATCGGGACCGCGACCGCGACCGCGATCGTGACCGAGCGCCTCGAAACAGACCACCTGTAGTCGGCAGGAGCGATGTCGACACATACATCCCAAGCTATCGCGAACGTGAACGAGAACGGGAGCGCGAGCGCGAGAGGGATCGGGACAGAGACCGCGACCGTCCACCTCGAGACCGTCGTTACCGTAGCCGATCGCCCATCGGTGGAAGGGTGCCTGACAGAGACTGGGACTACTCAAGAGACCGCAGATAGCATCACGGCTTTCCCTGAGCCCGCAGTCGGTAAAGCCAGGGGGACAGAAGCATCAGTTTGGAGAAGGGCCCCACTGAGGGCACATATTTGAGGACTGTTGGCTGTCAGCAGGACGCTCATGGTGAACATGCTTCGATTCTACGAGAGGAGCATTAGCCGGGTGTTGATGGAATTGTGCAGTAGAAGCTGAGGCTTCGACAGAAACGGCAGTTGTTCACAGGTTGAGGAAGAAGGCGTCGAGTGGCGCCCAGGTGGACTACAGTGGATTTGCACCCCGCACCGGGTTGGTGAAATAGGTGTTACAGCAGCAGGCGTAGCTTGTCATTGATTTGCCTTCGGAGCCAGGCGAACGGAGGGACAATAGTTTTGATACCAAATATGGGCAAAGTTCCCCTACCAGTGGAGCAATCTGCAGCATTACAAATAAGTCTCTTCAAAACGAGTCGTCCTCTTCTTCCAGAATGGTCCCAATGCGAGACGCCGCGGCTGACCTCCTCTTCCTCTTGATGTTGGGGCCGTCCCGCCAGCCCTGCACGGCTAGGCTACCAAGATCCGAGTCCGGGGAGCTGAGGTTCGACAGCAAGGCGTCGAGCTTCTCCTGCTCGCTGCTGTCCAGGAGCGGGGTGGTCGGCCGCTGGCGGTGGAACCCGGCCTCCTCCTCATCGCCGCCACCGATGTATGGTGAGGGCGGGAGCCTGTTGCCGTGGGACCTGCCCCGGGCCTTCTCCTCGTCGGGGCTGTCGTAGAGGCCGAGGATGGCGAACATGCTGCTTGAGGTAAGCATGAGGATGAGGCCGAAGATGACCCCCACGAAGGCGGCGGAGCCGAACTGTTTGGAGAGACTGGGTTAGATCCTTTTGGTCTTGGCTCCATCGGTTTCATATCTTGATATTGATAGTATCAAGATATCGATATCACAGCAGCAGGTAAGAAGTCTCAAGAAAAAAAGAGGGTGTGTGGCCGCTCATGGACGTACGTAGATGTATAATGGCTGCAAGGCAAATTAGCAGGGGTCCTTCAAGCACCTGCTACATGAGGCTGAACAACTTACCTCGAGCCTTGGGAGCCTGTTGAAAACGAAGATGAATGGGGAGAGAATAAACCTTGATGAAAGCGCAATCAGTCGATTGGTCACTGGAGTGAGTCTTCACAGCTCGCTCATATTGTCACGAATGTGATGTGTTCTCGGGTGCCGATCCAGGGGCTTTGGCTGTCTACCCACCGTACGGTGTATATCACCGGCGCAAACACGAAGAGCAGGGCATTATAGAAAGCTGATATCGGCCATGATGCAAGACGCAGCAGGTCCAGGCCAAAGCGGGCGATTGCGGTGAGTGATGCAGTGAGTGCTGCGTAGATGGCGTGGAAGATGAGAAAGATGATGGAGAGTGCTGATACCGCGGCGTCCTGCCAGGCCATCATCGTCCGAAGCCGACGGGCAGGATGTACGGTCAATTGATCAAGGGATTATAGACTCATTGCTTCGAGAAGTTCTTCAAGTGATCACCAGACAGGACCTACGGCTGTCTGATGCTGGACAACGTTGTTCAGAATGCCGTCTCCCGGTCGAGCAGGAGTCGCTCAGGGTTGCAACATTCCAGGAGTGTCCCAGCGTTGTTTGGCAGGTACGGTTGATGGGACGTTGGCAGGGTGGGCTCCGCCGTCGCTACCGTCTACCGTACCCGCTGCAGTGCAGCAGTTACCGTCTGGCCGTGCAATGACAGTACCCTTGTTAGGCGACGAGGTAGGATGTGGGGAAGACCCATGCCTGGCGGGCGCCGGGCCAGAGGAGATTGGCTGGATGGAGCCTCCCCTCTATCGATAAGGTAGGTAGGTAGCTAGCCCAGCAAGGAGACAGGCAGACAGGCCGCAGGAGAGGGAGCTTGGACAATTTATGGGCGGGGGACCCATCATGACCACACAGCTGTCTGGGAGTCTACCGACGTCTTCCTGGGCATCTTCGGAGCAGTCGATCTGAGCCGGACCGACCTCACGGGCAAAGAATTCAACATTGCCGACCGAATCAGGCCGTCAAGCTCACAAGGTCTCTTGTGCTCTTGCTTGCCAGTTGCAGGCCTCGTTCGCTTCAGACACACACTACAACTTGTTCTTTAGTAAAGCCAATCCCGCTGCCCAGGCTGGCAGACGCCACCGTTCTGTCCTGCCTGCCTAGTTATCCTGTCCTGTCCCATCCTGTTCCTGTTCCTGTCTTGCAAGTCGCTAGCTCGTACGGGTCCAGGGTTCACTGTCCATCCATCCATCCATCCCACTCAGGTCAGGTCCACACTATCTGCCGCAATCCACCAGCCTCGGCCGCTCATCTTTTGCACTACTTTGCCTCGTCACCGTTGCCGTCACTCGTTGACTTGAGCATCGCCCTCGACCTTCTCAACCACCCCGGGCCATCCCCCCCCCCAGCCACCCAGCCTGCCTGCGTCGCCCCTGACTCGACAGCTGCAACGATATCCAGCTCAGCTGACCCGTCGACGTATGGACTAAATCCCATCATCTGATCGAGGTCTGATCCAAGAGTGGCCCGCGCCCTGCCTTGTGCCTGTCCTATCCCACCCCCCGTCTTTCCTTTTTCCCAGTCTGCCCTGCCGCATCCCACGCCCACGACGATCTCCTCTCACCCACCATGGGGAACAACCCCTCCACATCCAAGCAGGGGACCCCCACTCCGTCCGCTTCTGGCCACGCCCAAGGTCACGATTCCCCCAGGCGCCACCAGCACCAGCACTCGCTGTCGCAGTCACAGGCGTCCAGGGACCGCGACCATCACCAAAGGGGCGGCAGCACGGCAAGGCCACCCATCTCCGTCCGCAACCACCGCGAGGCCGTGCCCGCACAAGCCTCGCTAGCACAGGCCCATGGCTCTACCGACATCAAAAACTCCCAGGCCCTCCCCATCACCTCCCTAGCAGCATCGCCAGCCGGTTCCACAAAGTCCGGTACCAACGCTGGCGCCGCCTCCTCGACGAGGCCCTCAGAATCCAAGCCATTGCCCGTCCCAGCCTCAAAGGACAAGCCAGCTCCCGACGCGGAGCCGACCAGACCCGTCGACGTGCCCAACACAACCAGGGAGCCAGAGCCGACCTCACCCGTCTCCCCCCTCGACGCAAGCGAAGCCGGCATCCACGCTCAGGGCAGCATTTCCGACATGTCTTTTATCGGGAGGCCGCCGCGCATGCCCCTGCCCATCGAGGAGGAGGTGCATACCCCTGGCTCGCCCATTACCGCGCCAGCAGATGTCGGGGAACCCGTCGAGTCGCTTGACCTGTCTGGAGGAGACGGTGACATTGCAAGGAAGTCCTCCAACCTGAGCACCACAACCGTCGACGAGGACGACGCCGAGGAGCTGCGAGTGGACAAGACAAGGCCGACTGTGCCCACGCGGCTGGAATGGCTTCGGGGAGGTGAAAGGGTCTACGTGACCGGTACCATTTTTCAATGGAACCGCAAGCAACGGCTCCATCCTGTGTAGGTTCTCTCCATTTCGGTGGGGCAATGTCGTGCGGGTTCCAGAAACGACCGCGCGTTTACTAGGACCCTCGCGCATGCATGCATCGTATCACGTCACAAATTTTCAAGAATAGTCAGGCTGACAGGTTTTGTATAGCGAGGGCTGTCCGGGAGTCTTTGCCACCACGATCAACATCCTGCCCGGCACGCATCATATCCGCTTTCTGGTGGACAATAATATGCAGACATCGCCAGACCTGCCAACCACTGTCGATTTTGGCAACAACCTGGTCAACTACATCGAGGTCAGCCCCGACGATGTACCCGCGACTGCACAGGATGCGGCCCGTACGCCACAAGAGAGGGACGACAAGCAGCTCGCCGAGCTTGAAGAGCAGGAGAAGACCCGTCAGCGGAAGGACAAGCAGGTCCTTCCTGTCGAGGCCTTCTCGCGCGTTTATCCACAATACTTGCTCGACTACGACAATGAGCCCGAGGACTCGCCCATCTCCCAAGCCGCAGCTGCGGCCATCGAGAAGCTTCCCACCCCACCAAGCCTGCCCGGCTTCCTCTCGAAACCAATCCTGAATGCTGCCACCCTGCTAAAGGACGACAACAGCGTCCTCAACATGCCGAACCACACCACCTTGAACCACCTGGCCACGAGTAGTATCAAGAACGGGACCTTGGCGGTGTCGGCGACCACGAGATACAGAGACAAGGTAAGAGGTTCACTGCACTGTCGCAACCTATACCCAGTCAAAGTTGCTGACATTCGAGTAGTACGTGACCACCATCATGTATAAGCCGGTTCCCGGACACGACTAGGCCCGTCTCGTGCATTGAATTTAATAGCCATCTGCCTTTGGGTTGGCGTTGGGGAAATGGCAGGCTAGTCAAGGGTTGATATCCTCCAGTGGGTATCCGGAATGGCATTGTTAGGGCGGCTTTGGACATGGGATAGTAAAAGTCGTTGGTAGGGCATGTAAATACTTAGGCGTCGAATCGCAGCGTAGGCATACCAGCCCAGGGGCCGTAGATGGATCTCGGACCAAGAGATCGCCAGCGAGGCATCAGACCATCTCGTGTGTCAAACGCCCGTTGCTTCAGACCCTCCACTTGACATGTACCTCGTCGGTCCGGAAGCGCTGCGTGACCGTGGTATCCTGAAGAGGGGTTCGGAAACCGGACTCGTATGCCAGAAGGCCGGCATGTGCGATCATGATGCCGTTGTCGATGCAAAACCTCTCGTCCGTCGCGTAGACACTGCCGCCCCTGTCCCGTGCCATGGCGCCCATCATCTCCTGCAGCCTCACGTTGGAGCCCACGCCGCCCACGATCAGGACCTGCTGGCTGCCGACGTGGGCCATGGCGCGCTCCGTGATCTCCACCAGCATGGCGAACACGGTCTCCTGCAGGCTGAAGCACAGGTCCTCCTTTGTGATCTCGACAGACTTGCCCTCGGCGGTGGTGACCTTCTTCCCCGCCAGCATCTGCGCGGCGAGGTCGTCGACCTTGGCCAGGATGCCGCTGAAGGAGCAGTCCATGCCCTTGACGGCGTAGGGCAGGTCGTGCAGGACCTCGCCGCTGCTCCTCCTGGCCAGCTGCTCGATGTTGTAACCCGGGGCGGGGTCGTTGGGGATCATGATTGTGCGCGCGAAGCGGTCGAGGCAGTTCCCCACGGCGATGTCCAGGGCCTCGCCGAAGATGCGGTACCGCTGTTCCGCGTAGGCGATGACCTGGGTGTTGCCGCCCGACACGTACAGCACCACGGGGTTGGCGGCGCCCGTGATGGACCGCCCCATCTCGATGTGGCCCACGCAGTGGTTCACGCCCACCATGTCGTCGCCCTTGCCCCACAGCAGGGCCAGCGTGCGCGCCGCGACGGCGACGCTCGTCAGGGGCGCGCCCATGCCCGGCCCGCCCGTGAAGGCGACGCAGTCGATCTCGTCGCGCGGGCGGGTGACGCCGGCCTTCCGCAGGGCCTCGAGGGTGACGTTGCAGAACTGGGCGCGGTGGTGCTGCGCCGTCCTTGGGCAGGAAGCCGGCGCCGGCGGGGGCGTTGTAGGTGTGGCGCACGTTGGAGAGCACCTCGGCCTCGGGCTGCGTGTCGCTGGGGATGGGCGGCAGCGGCAGCGCGTGCGAGATGACGCCGACGCCTAGCTTGTTGGCGCTGCCCTCACAGCCCAGGGCGAGGAGCCGGGCCTTGCCATTTGTTGGGGCTGCCACCGCGGGAGACATGGTGGTATATGTCTTGGAGGGGCAATGAAGACGAGCTGGGGAGACGGGCGTCCTTTTCTTTCCTCCTCGCTTCTTTCTTTTTGGCGAGTCACCAGTCCCAGTGTTCCTTGAGCAGCGGTCTGACAGCTAACTAAAGGGCTGTGATGGCTCAGAGGCAACTTGCCAGCGTGCTTCTCGATGTATGGTGCAGGCTACACATGTTGTGTACAGAGCAGTACTGTAGGTCTACTTGACGTATTGAAAAGTGGGCGCGGGGTCGACATCATGGATCGGCAACAGGCATTTTACAGTCCCATTCGGCACCGAAAATCAGGGGTCCACAGCAGCTTAGACAGGGTTTCCGACTGGCATTCCTTGGCGATCAAACTGATGCTACTCTCATATGCAATCAATCGTTCCATTTTAACGCTAGTAGGCTGCAAGTAACACACCCTATATTTTTTCTACCTCACTTTATCTTTCAACTATTTCCACCTCCCACATAACAAATATACCCTTAATATAAATATACTTTATATTAAAAGATAGCTGCTTCTTTCTTAATTCTTTTAATACTTATTTAAAAAGGGCGGAGGAAATATTAAAAGTATAAGGTATATTAATATTTAATTTTAAGGAAAAATTTAAAAAATTTTAAGGGGGGTGCTTTTTAGCAAATCTAAGTATATTTACCTTCCTTATATAATAATTATAAGTGGGTGTATGGGTGAAGGACCTCATTAACTGCAGGCATTCACTAAGGCTCTGGGCCCCATACCCCTTAGTGTTATGAGTTGGCCTTAAGCATCTGCTGAAAGGTACCCAAAAGGAGTTATAAATTGCAATATTTAAGAAGTAAGTTAAGCTTTAAAAGGGCTTAACTTTAAATTTATTTTTTAAGTATATGCCTTATTATATAAAAGAGTTAAGTATAATATAAGCTTAGCATAAGTATATATTATAGCTTAAGTAATAACTTAAGCTTATTATATAACCCTTTTTTTACTCTTATATTATACATAATAAGAATTAAACTTAAGGCTCTTACGGTTTTATGTTAATTATATATTTACCCTTATTATACACTTATTTTAAAGTTATATTTATTTATTTTAAAAGTAATAATTTATTATAAGCTAGCCTTGGGTTATTTGTTGTAAGATATTTAAATGGGGTTTATATTTAAAGTATAAAGGAAAAGGTTTACTCCTTATTTATATTTATATTAAAGCCTATTTTTATAAGGCTAAAGCCCATTAATTAATTATAATAAGTAAAGCTTAAATTATAATATATCCTCCTTTTTTAAATCTTTATAGCGGGCCTTAAAGGGCAGCTATATAATAAAAAATAAAGGATATTATAATTTAATTGCAAATTAAATATTGCTCTTTACTTAACCATTTAATTATATCTTAATGCCTTTTAATTACGTTAAAGGCTTAGTTTATTATTTATAATTAATATATTTTAGCCCTTATAATTTAATATATTAATTAAAGTAAGTTAATAAAAGATAATTATTTAAGCATAAGTTAGCGGCTAAATTAATAGCATTTTTATAATCTTTTAATATAAGCCTTTTATATAAGCTTTTTTACTTAAAACCTTAAAATTATAAATTTATTATATAATTCGCAATTAATTAGCGCTTAATTATAAGTAATTTATTTTATTAATGGGAATTTCTTAAATTTTAAGCATTTTCATGGCATTAAATTAGCTAGCATATAGCTGGTTTGCTTTAAGCTTAGGCTGGCGCTAAGCTAGCATTACTTTTAAGCCTTACCTTATAGAAAAATTTTTATACCCCTTTAAATAAATTCCTTCCCCTTGCTAATCTTAATTAATAAAAGCTATACCCTTATTTTCTTATAATAATTAAAATAATTATACTTATAATAACTAAGTTAGTTATATATAAAATATTTAACTTTACTTATTAAAATTACTGCGATATTAATATTTATTACTTTATTATTTTAAGGTTAATGTGGCAGTTACTTTAGGGTGTAGTTAAATAGTAAGTATGGGGCTTAATTAGCTTTAATTTAAGGGTTCTTAGCAGGGGCTATTTAAGGGTACTGTATGCCTTATTTAATTAGCATATAACTTATAAGGCTTATGCGCTTTACTAGTAATGCTTATAATATATTGTCCTTATAATAGTTGCTATAAGTGCTGGGCGTTAAAAAAGATATAATATCCTTATTATTAATAATTTTAAACTTATTAAGAATGTTATATAAGTAAAGGCATTATAATTATTAATATTAATGTTTTATTAATTTCCTTTTGCTGCTATAATTATTTTTGCTTCTTTAAGGTATTTTTAATTATTATTATATTTAAATATATAATTTTATATGCATTAATTAATTTTTAATAATTAGCTAACTTATAAAGTAACTTTTAATGATTATATTATGCTAATTAACCCTTTTAATATATAAAATATCTTAATATGCTTTTTCTTCCTTAATGCTTAATCTTTTTATTTAATATTTACTTAACTTTATATTCCTTTAAAGGTAAGTTATTATTAAGTTTATTATTTTTTATATAATAATATATTAAGTTAAATTTTAATAACTTATAATTAAAAGGATTATCTTTAGTTTAATATTAATTAAGATATTATATATTTATTATTAAGTAAACTTAAATATTTTTATCTTAATTATTAATTTTAAAATTAAGTTTATAAGCTAAAGAAAATACCTTATGCATAATAATAAATAAACCCTTTTATAATGGTTAAATCTTATTATTTTATTAAAATAAAGGCTTATAAGCTTTATTTATGTAAAGCTATATCTTATTGCTAACCTTAAATTACTTTTAATAATAAGCGGCATTATATAATCTCTTGGATTTTAATATTATAATGTTTATAGCTAATTAAGCATTTTATTATAAATACTTTTATATAAATTAAATATTTAATAGCTTTTAAGTAATATTAATAAATTGCTTAAAAGGGAATAAGATTTTAAACTTAAATAAAAACTTATAAGGATTAACGTTAATTAAACGTTAATAAGCTTTATTTAAATTTTATTATAAAGTAGGTAAAATATTTACTTATAATTTACTTAAGTATTTTGTTATATAATAATGAATGGCTATTTTTATATCTTGGTTTTTTTATTTAAAAGTACCGTTAAATTATAAGTAATATGCTATAATTATAAGTAATTAAGTGTTAAAATTCTTTTATAAACTTATTTAAAATTAAAAAGTAAATTTAGCATTTTAATTAAAGATAATAGTGTATAAGTAAGCTTAATTACTAAGAAGTAATTGCCTTTTTAGCATTATGCCTTATTATTTTAATATATATTTTATATGCTTTAAAATTAATAGTATTTGCTTAAAGGTTTTGCATATAATAAGCATTAAAGCGTTAAAGGAATTGAAATTCTTTAGCTGTTAAGGCGTGTTTATTAAGAGCATTATTAGTAGTTTTATAATAAAGTTAATAAAGATAATGTATATTAGCTTAAATAAAGCTTAAATTAATTAAAGGCTTTTTATTAACTTTTAATTATTCTTTTTTTATACTTTATATTAATAATAATAATGTATATACTGTATAATATAATATTTCTTCCTTAAGAAGTATATATTATTTAGCGTTTTTATTATATAATTTTTCTTAAAGTAATGCTTATTATTATATATATTGTAAAGAAACTTTTAAATTAATGCTTATAAAATTATTAATTGCTTTTTATTATTATTATTTATATTATATAATAGCTACTTATATAAGCGGAATAAGTGGTTAGGCTTTAAAGTAAAAATAATATCTTTATTATAACATTATATAATAGGTTTATATCTTATAATATTTAGTGTGCATAATGCCTTAATAATCTTGCTATAAGTAAATAAGGCTTTATAAGCCTTTATAAAGTAAATATATATTTATAAAGATATAATAGCTTTTAAGAAGAATAAAATTAAGTTATCCTTTTCATTACTTTAATAATTATAAGCTTATAAGTTATTAAGAATAGTATTTAATATATTAAGGCCTTTTTATTATTTAATTACCTTATTATCCTTTGTTATTAATTATAATAAAGCATTAAGAATGAAATTTAGCTAACCCGTTATATAATAAATATTAAATTAATATTTCGCTAAATAAATTAAAGCGTTAATAAGGCAGTAATTAATGCAATTAATTAAAAAAATACTTAAATAAGTGCTATTTAAAATATTCTTAATAGCATTATAATTTATTAAAATAATTAAAGGCTTATAATAATTAAATAAAATTATTATATATAATTACTTTATTACTTATATTAAATAAGTAACTTTTTGCTTTAAAGGTTTATAATTAGCTTTAGCTTTAATAAAATAGCGGCTAAAAAAGATAATAAGTAGAATTACTTATATTAAAATATATTTACTTAATTCTTATATAAAATTTTTTTAAGTTAAAAGGCTATTATATTAAAGCTATGCTATAAGTAATTATTTACTTATAAAAATAATTTTTTATAAGAATTTATATAAAAGATTTATATTTTTTAATAAATAAAGATTTAAAAAGTTTTAAAGCTCTTAACTTCCTTAAGCATTAGCTTATAATAAATGCAGCAAATATATATTTAATGCTTACCTTTATTATTAATAATAACCTATTTTATTTAATAACCCTTAATTAATAAAGCTACCTTATATTATTATAATGACTTAAATATTTAGGTATAATATAAAATTATTATATAAAAAAAATTAATAATGCTAAGGTATATTTTAAAATTCTTAAGCAATGCTAGAAATTTAAGCTTTTAAAAGGCTTTAATCTTCTTTTTAATTATTATTTATTTAAAAGCATTAATATAAAAACTAAGCAGCTTTATAAAAGAGTAATTAATATATAACTTTATTAAAAAAAGAAAAACGCTATGTTAATTAAATAATATTAATATTTACTTAAAATAAGTAATATGCTCCTTATATATATTAAAGAAAATTATAATATTATTAATAAAAACATAGTA